CAAAAGATCTGGGGGGAGGAGTAAATCACAGAAGCCAATAATTACAGAAAGGTAAAAATCTCCTGTTATTTGATTTTAATAACTACTTAGTGCCTTAAAAGGGGGAGGGAATAGACCAGGCTGGCTCCTAATTATACGTATTTGCCATCTTCAAAGGACTAAAACAAAAAATTAAAAATGCATTATTCAAAATTACAAAGATAAGTAAGTACATGAGATTTAAATAATTAAACTTAAAAAAATTTTTTTTGCTAGGTTTGAAGCATATATATTTCTAAAATTATTACAGTTAAAAACGACACTGAGACTTTTTGGACAACCTATCAAATTAGTGATTACTCAGACAAGTTACCCCTTGTAACCAATCCATCAATCATTCTAATTCATCAATGCACATTTAAATTTCTGATCTCCTCAGCTAGGAATTAGAACCATTGATGAATTTGGGTACATTTTGTTCTGGCACCTAGCCCTTCAGTTTTCTGAAAAGCAATCAATGAGCTAACTATTATACTAACAAACACTAGAAGGTAGAACTCTATATCTAAAGGATATCTAAAGGAATGCTCTGAAAAATAAATAAATAAATAAATAAATAAGCTCTCTGTTCCAATTGAATTCAATTAACTACTCCGTTTATAATATCAAATTTTCATAAAGTTAAGGCATACTGAAATTGTTATTGCATTTTCCTTGGCCTTAGTTTTATATTTGGTTTTAATCTGTCTCTGCCCCGCCCCCCCTTGTTTTGAACTCTAATTTGTTGTTTAAAAAAATCATAACTTGAAGCCTTGGCTGGGTAGCTCAGCTGATTAGAGCATCATCCTGGTACACCAAGGTTGTGTGTCCAATCTCTGCTCAGGGCACTTATAAGAATCAACCAATGGATGTATAACTGGACCAACAAATCAATGTCTCTCTCCTCTATCTTTCTCTCCCCGCCACTTCCTTTCTCTTTCCAAAATCAGTAAGTAAAAAGAAAAAATACTTTTTTAAAGTCATGACTTAAAAAAATATCACAGATTAATACCTGAACCTTCTAGAAAAAAGCTATTAGGATAGTCCAGTGAATGATTCACATTCTTTATGCTACTCCTCTCATGTTCCTTATGAACTATTCACTAAAAAGATGACAATAATGACTTAATATTTTATTTCTAATGCCTAAAGGTGGTTAGCTTGTTTTCCTTGCTTTCCTTTTAAAAAAAAAAAAAAAAATGTTTACCTCTGTAGATCCATGTTCTTCAGCAGCAAAGCGGAAGAGGCTTTCATGGAGTTTTGTGAACGCATCCAATCCCGTCTCGATAATTTCTGCTTCTATGCTGGGATCCAAAGGCTCGGTCTCCGTGAAGTCCAGTTCCCAAACTGTTTCCACCCATTCTGGCAGGAAAATGCAATTAAACCAGTAAGTGCAAGTAAGAAACCAATCATTTTTGGACTCCAGGTAGATTCAAGAAGAGAAAAGTTTATTAGGCACAACTCACATTTAATTATACCATCATATAAGCTTAATTAAAGGAGAGCAGAAAAAGTTGAGAAAATATATATATTTTTAAATTATAACTGACATTTGGTTATTAGGTGGCTATTGTCTAAAAATATCAAGGAGAAAAGTACTTTTTACATAAAACAGTTGGGGGGGGGTGAAACTTCAAAACACTTAATGATCCAGCTTTCCCATACATTCAGTCTGCAGAAGAAAGAAGTTAACCAAAGATGGCTCCAGATGTCCCTTTGTGAAAATCTTATATAACTATTTTAATAAGCCCATATAAAATTCTTTATTGGGCCCTTGGAGAATAATTAGCATGTTAGGAAAAAAAAAAAAAAAAAAGGCACAATTTCCCCAAGAGGTTTAAACTAGAAGAGGCAAGCCAGATCCACACTCAGAGAAATATCAGTGATTTCAAAATACACTGACAGAGCCCAGCCAGTGTGGCTCAGTGGTTGAGTGCCAGAGGTTCCCCGTAAGGACACATATCCATCCTCCTCCTTATCTCCACCTCCCATCCCCCCACACCCCCACTCCACCCCCGCCAAATACATGATTTGGAAAAGACAAACAGAAGAAGGGAGCAAAAGGAACCATCACTCCAGACCCCACCCTGGGGCCCTGAGTGGCAGGAGAGGTGGACACTGCCTTTGCAACCTAACCTTTCTCTGATGCTGTTGGGATAGAGAAGTCTTATGTCCGATCCTTCTACAGGCACCAGGACTGTGTCCCTGTGTTTGAGCGGAGTGCCTATTTCCTGCGGTGTTTGGAGGGGTGGGGGCTTCGCCTCAGTATTCCAGAGGGGCAAGGCGTCCCTCTGTTGAATGGAAAGGGCAGATGGGGGAGGGAGGAGTCAGGGGCCCAGCAGGCCAGGGGGAGGGACAGAGGGAGGTTGGCTGTGGGAACACACTGACCACCAGCAGGCAGCTCTTGCTTTGAGTGTTGGTCATAGCAACCGGTCAACAGGTGGTTCGGTAGCTTAAACTTAGATAGATAGATAGATAGATAGATAGATAGATAGATAGATAGGTGCACACCAGTATTTGACCTCATTTCTGGATCACAGTCCCCATTAGAAAAGAACTGGTGACAGGAACAATAGTTATCACTCTTTTATTATTATTATTATTATTATTATTATTTACAACAGATGAGTGATAAAACAGGAACAGACATATAGAAAGCAATAATAGAAACTATTCCTGGAAGATGGGGAGGGGAAGTGGTGGGAAGGATGATTCTTCTATATATGGACCTAAACATGGACACTTGCCAGAAAAAGAAAAGCAGAGAAGTGCATCCCAGGCAGAGAGAACTGCAGAATAGCACGGAGGGGGAAGAAAGCAGAACCTTATTGAAAATGAACAAAATAGCTACAGCGCAGATATTAAATGTGAACCGTGAGAGTTATTAGTATTTTTTTTCAGCAGTACGGGGTACTAACAAACTACCTCTTCACAAACCCCTAAGAGGTAGCTATGATGTCCCATTTGACAGATAAGGAAACCAAGGCTTAGCAAGGTTAAGCAACCTGCTGCTGGATGCTAAGCGGTAGAGTCAAGAGACAAATCAGAGTTACCTCTGACTCCAAAGATTACAAGATTGGAAAAGACTGCAGTGAGAGTGAAGGCTCACCGAAACCGGTTTGGCTCAGTGGATAGAGCATCGGCCTGCGGACTGAAGGGTCCCAGGTTCGATTCCGTCAAGAGCATGTACCTTGGTTGCAGGTACATCCCCAGTGAGAAGTGTGCAGGAGGCAGCTTGTCGATTTTTCTCTCATCGATGTTTCTGATTCTCTATCCCTCTCTCTTCCTCTTTGTAAAAAATCAATAAAACATTAAAAAAAAAAAAAAAAAGAGTGAAGGCTCTCCTATGGCAGGCCCAAGACTTGGCCATTTATTAAGGAAACAAGGGGAAACCTGAAAGGTGGAAAGACCTGTCAGATGACATCTGAGTCTTCCAGGGGATCCTAGCGTGCAGATTTGCAGAATAAGAAGGGCAAGGCCGAGAAAACATGCAAAAGAATTAAACGATATCGGGCAACCTAAGCTCTTTTTTTTCTTTTTCTTTTTCTTTTTTGACGTTATTCTATTTTAGCTCTGTTCTAATCCCGGCTTCGCTGAGAGTGCAGAGCTGCAGGGCCCAGACCTAGCAGAGCCAAACGACCCGCCTCCACTCCACCCCAGCCCAGCCCAGCCCAGGCCTAGGCTGAAGACGATCACGGGCGCAGAACACCACCGCCCAGCCTCCCCGATTCTCGAGGCGTCGTCTCCTCACCTAGGCTGAGATCCACCGGGCACCAGGACTGCAGGCCGCTCCCGAGGCCCGGCAGCGCCACCATGATCACCCGGAAACCCGCTCGCCGGCGCCCTGATCAACTTTCAAAGCTCGCTCCCGCGCGCGCTCCGAGCCGCCCCCGCGGGCCAGTCACAACACGCAGGCCCGCCCGCCGACCAATCAGCGAGCCCCGCCGGCCTCACGACACTAGCCAATCAGCAGGGCATTCTGCCGCGTGCGCAGCGGAAGGGGCGGGCCAAGGAAGGAAACTAAACCGAGGCTTCACTAAAGGGGTGTTTTTTCTCCCGTTTTCCCTTCAAAGTAGGACTTAAGAAATAAGTTAAATTCGAATAGCGCCCTCCCCGCCTCATTTTCCTTCAATGGGAGGGCACCTTAAAGGGAATTTGAGACAAGACTTTTTCGTACGGTGACTGTCACCTTTGCCCCCCTGTCAAGTGACATTTCGCGTGAGTGGCCAAGGGCTTCCTTTTACCCCGTCAGACAGCCGTCGAACGTTTGTACGTATCCAGATGTGGACGGTAGACAAACGTTTACCGAACCAGAACGACAGAGGGAAAAACAGGGACATGAAGCGTTGCGAGAGGACATCTGCAGGTCTCCTTAATTGGACGGGACCTGTGGGCCCGAGTTCTGGAAAGAGGCCGTGGCGGCCATGTCAACTCAGGGAAAGGCAGGCGCCTGCGCCCACTGCACATGCGCACTGAGCGCCCTGCTCGGCCGCCGGGTGGCAAAGGGCTAAGGAGGCAGAGGCGTGCGCATGCGCGTGGCGTCTCCCGAGCCTCCCGCTGAAGGCCGCCTCCTCCTCCTCCTCCCCGCCCCCCGCCCCCCGCCGGGATCTCCGGAGCTGCTCGAGCATCGTACACCGCAGGAGCTGGCAGGTTCGCTCCGTCGCCCCGAGCCGCAGGCAGGGCACCGGCGGGTGGGCGGCAGCAGCCGGGCAGCCCCGGCTCCGCACCGCCCCCGTGAGAGTTGCGCGGCCGCCCTCGCCCCTCGCCATCTCCGCCCGCTCAGGACTGGCGGGCCCCGCGGCGCATCTGCGCTTCTGGGCGCGCAGCCGGCCCTGCCCTGCCCTCCGGGTGTAGCGGGCAGTGGTGCCGCGCCCCCTTCTGGCTGCGGGTCCAGCCCGCTGGCCTTCCCTTAGGGCAGCCCAGCCCCGGAGGAGAGCCCGGCGCGCCCGGCCGGCGGTGGCGGCGGCAGCGGCGGCGGCGAGATGAGCTTCTTCGGCTTCGGGCAGAGCGTGGAGGTGGAGATCGTGCTCCACGATGCGGAGAGTCGGAAGCGGGCCGAGCACAAGACGGAGGACGGGAAGAAGGAGAAGTATTTCCTCTTCTACGACGGCGAGACGGTCTCCGGGAAGGTGAGCCTCGCGCTCAAGCACCCTAACAAGCGGCTGGAACACCAGGGCATCAAGATCGAGTTCATCGGGCAAATCGGTGAGTCGGCGGCTGGGGCCTCCCTTCCCCACTCCCTTCCCCCCCCCATCCCACCCCACGTCCTCGCGCCGCGCCAGGCGCCCACTCGGGGCGGGACCCCGGGCCGCCCCGGCGAGGCCTGCGGTGCCCTGAGTCCCCTGCGGTCTGAGCCCCGCCCGAGGCCGCCCCTGCGTTACGGGTTTCCCTGCCCAAAGGGACAGCGCGCCACGAGGCGTAGCGGTGCCCAGGGCCCCTCTTGGTGGCCGGCACCGCGGCCCAGAATGTCCAGTTGTCCCTTCTACACGCCGCTCAGATGGCACAGACACACCAAAGTCTCAAGGAGCCCTCTCCGGGGATTTCGGAGCGAGATGCCCACCCAGCCTTCGCTGCAGGTGGCCTTGCCTTCCTCTTGGCCCCGAGTTCAGCTAGTCTGTGCCTCAGTTGCAGCCTCTCCCACCTCTTGTTGCTTCTTAGACGCGATGTGGGAGAGATGGCACACCAGTGCCTCCTCTCTCACCTCACCTCTGAACTTCCTGTCTTATCCGTGTTTTGAGGGCACTCCCCTGCAGTCTTCAGATTCAGCGTTTCTGTCTACCTAAGCCTGTACTTCTAAGAGCGTTCGTTTTCCGGTGACTCGTTTTCTCCTTAAAGACAAAGGAAGGATGCTCCAAAGACTAAAATTAAGCGGTCCAAATTTCTCAGTGCTCCCACCGTCTTTAATCATGATGATGAACAATTGGAACTGGACAGTAACAAGGCAGTTAACCGCTGCCAGAAGGTTTTGGAAGCTGCCAGTCAGGATGCATTAGTCTCCGATTCTAAGGCTCTTTGGAGTTTCCTGTTTATTAAACACTCCCATGCACTTCTGAAATACATTGTTTTTCCCATAGGTCAGGAGCAGATTTCCCAGGGAATACTCCCCCCTGTGGGTGGAAACCCTCTAGCAGGGAATTCATGCCCTGTACCCCATGCTGCATGGTTAACTCTGTTTTGAGGCACTTCCTGGGAAAGCTCATTAGATGCTCTCTCAGGTCCTCAGAGTTCAGCGAAGAATCTGGTTTCCCTTTTTACAAAGGCCAGAAACACTGGCCCGGGGTGGGAGGGACCTGGGGAAGGGGGTCCCTGTGCAGGTCTATGCAGGCAGTGCTCAGCCTGACCCGTTTGCCTCTGGCATTTCATAGAAAATGAAATCGGGCGGGAGACCAGCTGATCCCGTAAGGAACCTTTTTATCGTTATGTCAAATCCAGAATGAGTGTGGCCTTTTACGTATCGGAAATGGATCTAAAGCAGTAGTCGGCAAACTCATTCGTCAACAGAGCCAAATATCAACAGGACAACGATTGACATTTCTTTGGAGAGCCACATTTTTTAAACGTAAACTTCTTCTAACGCCGCTTCTTCAAAATAGACTTGCCCAGGCCGTGGTATTTTGTGGAAGAGCCACACTCAAGGGGCCAAAGAGCCGCATGTGGCTCGTGAGCCGTAGTTTGCCGACCACGGGTCTAAAGAATGAGTTGCATTACCTGCTGCTCTCCGGCTTCTAGCTTACATAGGGTTTCTCAACAGCATGCTGTTGACATTTGGGGCGTGGTCATTCCTTTTTGGTGTAGAATGTTTAGCAATGCCTCCCCCCTCCCCCCAATCCCCGTTTCTACCCACCCAATTCCAGAAGTACCCCCTAGCTATAACCTCAAAAATGGGGTAAAATCTCCCCCTAATAAAGAGCCACTGAGCCGAGACCAGTTTGGCTCAGTGGATAGAGCGTCGGCCTAGGGACTGAAGGGTCCCAGGTTCAACTCCGGTCAAGGGCATGTGCCTTGGTTGCAGGTATGTCCCCAGTGGGAGGTGTGCAACAGGTAGCTGTTTGATGTTTGTAATTCTCTATCCCTCTCTCTTCCTCTCCGTAAAAACTCAATAAAATATATATTAAAAAAAAAAAAAAGCCACTGAGTAGATAGGATGAATCCCAAATATTGTCAGCTTGGTGTCACATATGAGATAGTGAAGTCCTTGCCTACTTCGCGTTCGGGTTTTCAAGTAGTAGCTTTTAACACTTGCATGGATTCTTTGGCTCTGCCATACCAGCGTAGACAGGCGGGTTTAGCCTGTGTCTGAACCACCATTCCAGGTGGCAATACCTAATCAATACAGAAAGATAACCGCAATGTCTGCTGCCCTAGCAGGACTGAAGGAGCTGCTCAGGGGGAATGGTATCAAGACCTTCTAGTGGTCGGCAAACTCATTAGTCATCAGAGCCAAATATCAACAGGACAATGATTGAAATTTCTTTTGAGAAATTTTTTCAACTTAAACTATATAGGCAGGACACTGTTATTAACTTAATTAGAGTCCTCCTAAGCTGGCCTTTGCTAAAAACCCAAGCGGCCAAAAAGCCACCTGTGCCTCTTGAGCCGCAGTTTGCCGACCCCTGTTCTAGTCTAATCGAAGGGGCCGCTTCCTGTACCTGCCCCAGCTGGTTTCTCCTCTAACTCCTGGGATCCCGGAATAGCGTCCCTGCCGAGTTTTCTCAGAACGTTTTATTGCTGCCCCTGCTAACTCTTTCTGGGCCCCTGAGTTCTCAGGGCAGACTTGACCTTGTGACTTGGGGGACGCTGTGCCTTTTTCTGGGCTGCTTTCTTCCCCGTAAGGCGAGGATAACAGGATCGCCCTGTGAGAATGTCGTGAGGTCAGAGGGTTGCGCTTCATGCGGAGTGTGGCATTTTCTGTGTCATATACCTAAGACAGTGTGCCAGCTGACCTCAGGGCACCAGAGCGAGGCCAGGGAGTAATTTTGTTGAAGTTGTGGTCTTGTGGTTTTCTCCTTCATTGCGCTGCTTGGCTGTGTATGAAGTGGGTGGAACTTGGTCAGATTCTTTCTGAGATCTGGCCATATGGTAAGGAAAGTTGATTGATATCATTGGGCTCTGTTTCCCTTCCTCATTGGTTTCCATTTTAACTTAAATTTTTTTCTTATAAAGCGTAGTTTTTGGTTCTTTTCTTCTCCCTATCTCTCTATCTCCCCTCCCTTCCTTCCTTCTTTCCTTTTTTATATCCTTCCTTTCTCCTGTCCTCCATCAGAAGAGTTAGTTCCATACTTTGAAAATGAAGTGGTTTATGTGATTAACCTTATCCTTATTTTTCCTCCTGATAAAAGTGTATTTGTTGCTGGCTGGAGGGGGGTCAATGAGGGAATAAAAAGAGGATGTATGTAATAATTTCAACAATAAAAGAATTACTTTTAAAAAAGAAAGTATATTTGTCCCACCTGTGTATTCATTAGAGGGACTCTGCACAGGGTCCTTGCAGAAACAGCTACCCAGACCCCTTGGTGCCCCATTCTCCTAGTGGCCCAGGCCCAGCTCAGAAGAGCTCCTATCTTTTTTGTTTTTGTTAATCCTCACCCAAGGATATTTTTCCACTGGTTTTTAGGGAGAGTGGAAAAGAGAGGGAAAGACAGAGAGAAACATTGATGTGAGAGAAACACATCGATTGGTTGCCTCCTGCAACAGCCCTGACCAGGGCCGGGGCCTGGGAGGAGCCTGCAACCAAGGTACATGCCCTTGACTGGAATCGAACCTGGGATCCTTTGGTCCTATCTTGATGACGATTTAGAGGTAACTTTTGTTCCTGGCTCTTTCTCACTCCGTAACTTGTTCTAGTAATTTCCTCTGCACCCATGACTTAAGTGGCTTCTTATATTCACAAGACTCCCAAATCTTTTCTATGTTCTGACCTGTACTCTCTTCTGAGTTCCATGCCTGTGTTTCTCACTGCCTGCTAAGTATGGCCACCTGGATACCCCCACCCCACAGGTCCCTCAAAGAGGCATCCAAACCAGAAATCCCTTTCTCTTCCAGCCCTCCTGCTTCTCTAGTTTTGTTTTGTTTTGTTTTGTTTTGTTTTCCATTTTGGCTTATGGCACCTGCATCCATTCAGCCTCAGAAATTTAGGAATCATCTGAGACTCTTCATTCCTTCCACCATACATCTAATTGCCCTCTTTTTCCCCCTTCCTTCCTTCTTTTCTTTTCTTTTCTTTTCTTTTCTTTTCTTTTCTTTCTTTTCTTTTTTTTTTTTTTTTTCTTTTTTTTTTTTTTTTTTTTTGAGAGAGAGAGAGAGAGGGAGAGAAAGAGAAATATTGATGTGAGAGCAAACATTAATTGGCTACGTCCTGCAACCCAGGCATGTGCCCTGACTGGTAATGGAAGGGGCAGTCTTTTGGTGCACAGGATGACACCCTACCAACTGAGCCACACAGGCCAGGGCTTCCTCTCCATTCTTAATGCATTTATTATTTCTATTTGTAGCAAGTAGTCTCCTAACTAGTTTTCCTGCCTTTGTTTTTGTTCTTCTTTCAATTCACCATCTATAACAGTAAACTATCTAAAAGGCAACTCTGACATTGTCGGTCCTCTCCTTAAAATTCTTCTCATCAGTTCTGCACTGGGTAAAGGAGGAAGTAGGTGTAACTCTTGCCTGAGCTGGCCCCTGCCTTTGGATGTATCTGAGCTCGTCATCACTAGTCAAGCCTGTACTTTAAAAACTCCAGAGGAGCCGACACCGGTTTGGCTCAATGGATAGAGCGTCGGCTTGGGGACTGAAGGGTCCCGGGTTCGATTCCGGTCAAGGGCATGTACCTTGGTTGCGGGCATATCCCCAGTAGGGGGTGTGCAAGAGGCAGCTGATCGATGACTTTCTCTCATCGATGTTTCTAACTCTCTATATCTCTCTCCCTTCCTCTCTGTACAAAATCAATAAAATATATCAAAAAAATAAATAAATAAAATAAAAACTCCAGAGGATTTCTCTATTTCAATTTACTCACCCAGGAAATGCTAAGTAAAAGGCACATTGAGATGAAATCGATTGATTGTAATCTGTTAAATAAGTTGTGGCAGGGCTTGGAGCAGAGCTGCGCCTGGCTGGCTACGGGCAGCTCAGGGGTGTGGCTGCCCGGCAGATTTACTGGGGTCCAGAAGATCTGAGCAGAGTGGCCAGCACGAATCGTAATGGGGTTGCCAGTTAGCAAATAGTGCGCGGGAAAATCAGGGTGAAGAGGAAGCTCGTTGCAGGTCCTTTCGCCTTTGCTAACTTGGTTTCTTCTAAGACCACCTGTGTCCGGGCCCAGCAGCAAGCCTCAGCTTCTTTCATGGGATGAGCCTGGGCTGCCCAGCCAGCTCCATTTCCTCCCAAAGTGGCAGCTTCGCTCCTCAGCCGTTGGTGGCAAGTTTCACCATGAAAGCATCCTTCCTGCAAAATCCATTTCCTCCTGGGAGGTTGGAGACAGGGAAGTTACCTTAACAAAACCGCTTAGTCAATTCACTAGCTTGAAATGCCTATCCCCTAGGGTCTTGGGGGCCCAGAAGAGCTAGGCATGCCTTGTGCCTGCATCTTTGGGGGCGGGGAGAAACAGAGGCAGTTTACTGCCTCTTTAGGATCCAAACCTCTCACTGGAACAGCCTTGGATTGTTTTATTTAAATCCTGTCAGAGGAAACCAAACTTCCTGGCAAGTAGCAAAATACGGGGCTATTTCTGCCCCTTTGCCTTCACAGTGTTTGCCAAAGCACTGCAAACAGCTCTTAAATGACAAATGAGAAAGGCCAGTCTAGCCCCACTCAGACACTGATCACTCCTCCATGACATTTGGGAGAAGAGCTTATATGGATATGTGTCCAGGAGGAAAGAACTGAAGCAGAGCATGGCGCTATGCAGGGAAGGCCCTCTGCCGCCAGAGGTCCTGGCCACAGCCGGCTGGGTCAGGCAGCCCGTTGCTAGGATCCTCGGATGCTGGCAGCCTGACTGCTCTCTGAGGGCTCCAGGGGCGTCCCCTTCCTTGTTTCTCATGGCGCCTTTGCGCTGTGTAATCACATTTGTGTGTTTTTCTATCCTGCTCTTGGCTCTGGGATCTCCCACTTACGGGTCATGGATTGGGGCCTTGCTCCGCCTGCTTTTGTCCCCTGGAATGATGGCTGGAATCCAGTGCTTGGGAATTGAGGCAACAGGTTCCCCAGTTGAGGGGTCAGAGCCCACGTAAGAGCCAGGATCATCCACTAGGGCTCACGTGGCTCTGGACCAGCAGAAGTGGAGGAGCCCTTGATGTGGGCTGGCCAGTGGCTCTGCTCCTACCCAGTCACTGCACAGCATTTTATTCAGGAGCACAATTACTGGTTTTAGGACTAACATTGGTTGCTCACCATTTCCCCCATAGTTTGCAGCTGTCAGCTCCCATTTAGTGACTTTGTGAATTTTCAATCACTGATAATCAATCACAAAATGCTGCCCACTGCTGGTTCCATTTAGTATTTGGGAGAGAAGGTGGATTGTTTTTAATATAAGATGGATCAGCTGAAACCAGTTTGGGTCAGTGGATAGAGCGTCAGCCTGAGGACCAAAGGATCCCAGGTTCGATTCTGGTCAAAGGGCATGCACTTTGGTTTCAGGCACATCCCCAGTGGAGTGTGTGCAGGAGGCAGCTGATCGATGTTTCTCTCTCATCGATGCTTCTAACTCTCTATCTCTCTCCCTTCCTCTCTGTAAAAAAATCAATAAAATATATATTTTTTTAAAATGGATCAAAGAGTAACTACATAGGAAATTAGCAACAACTGTAATCACAGAATACCATGTACATTCACACAGATGTAACAGCACTGTATGTAACCACACCACCGCCACCTTTGGGGAGGCAAGAGAGCTGGTTCTTGGACCCAGGATGGCCTTGATCGTTACGAGGACTCAGATCTTGCACTGTCCAGGGTGGACCCAGAGCAAATACATCTCTGCCCCACATCCCCTGATGCTGAGGTCTCCCTGAGAGAGATTGCCTGCTCCGTCCTGAAGATCCGGGACCAGGCCTGTGGGTGGTTGTCCCAGACACTCCTCCCCGTGGACCTGTGTCTTTATCCCCAAGCAGCCAGCTGCAGAAATGGCCAGTGCGCTCTGCCTGCTCCATTTTCCCGTTTGGTCTATCCTACTTCAGGGTGCAGCCTGGCAGTGGCCTGCAGCTCAGAAATACCCCAGGGGCGGACCTCGACTGCCCCTTGGCCATGGGTATTCAGCCAGTATTAAATGCCTGCCATGCAGCCGGGTGGGTTGGGGAGGGCGCGGGGAAGCTGGGCATATAGGCCTTACCTCTAATCACCATGCATAGAGTACTAGCAGAAGTTAATATTTAAATAGCAGAGTACAAAGAGGCTAAAAATAATATAGGTAGAGGGTGGCATGAACTTATATCAACAAAATGTACCAAAACTATTTCCAGGGGAGGGTGAACTTAGAGCCTTGCTTCTTAAAGTGAAGTCCTAGGGCCAGCGGGATCAGCCCATTCCCCAGACCCCCTGAATCAGATTAGGGTGGGGCCCAGCAATCTATGTTTTCATAAGCCCTCTAAGTGATTCTGATGCCCACTGCAGTCTTAGAGCCACTGTTTTAGATGGAGGTAATAACATTAAAACTCTGTCAGATTGGCCACACACACACACACACACACACACACACACACACACGTGTGTGTGTGTGTATTTAAAAAAAAAAATTTTTTTTTAACCTCACCAAGAGGATATTTTGTCATTGGTTTTATAAAGACAGGGAAAGAGAGAAACATATTGATGTCAGAGAAACCCATCGATTGGTTGCCTCCTGCACATGCCCTGACCAGGACCTCAGCCATGGAGAAAACTACAGCTAAAGTACGTGCCTTTGACCGGTCGAATCTGGGACCAGACCCTTCAGTCTGCAAGCCGACACTCCATCCACTGAGCAAACCGGCTAGGGCATAGCTAATATTTTGAGTGTTTGCTATCTCTTAGGTACTATTCTAAGTCATGTCCCTTCCTTGCCTCCTTTAATTCTCACAAAATCTTATGAAGTGAGTTGTTGTACCCCCATTTTCTAGAAATAGGTCATAGAAATAGGCTCAGTCCCATAGCAGCTAACCCTAGACTCTAAGCCAGTTAACCGTGCTGTGACTCCGTTCCCTTACCTTTTAAATTGGTGATAAATGCCGATGGATATGCTTTAAGAGTTACAATTTTTTTTTTGAAATGTGCTTTAAAAATGTGGTGTTTTTGATAGTGGTTCCCCTGAAGTGTCCTTTACTAAGGTCTGCCCTGCTTTTCTGAGCAGGGTTATATGGGGTTCTTACTGTGCCATGGGATTTCTCTATATTAAACGGAAGTGTTTGGAAAGGGGGAGGTGGAGGGAGACCAGTATATGAGGAATGCAGGGAAGGAGCGGGTCAGGAAAAACTCTGGTCTGTTGAGGGGGGAGGTCTCTTAGGAGGCAGGTGCCCATAGCCAGGATGAAGCCCCTTGCCAGGCCCGGGGTATGTATTACCATAGAGATGTATTACCATAGATGTATTACCATAGAGAAGGCCGATGCTCTCTCCCCAGAACTCTACTATGACCGCGGGAACCACCACGAGTTTGTGTCACTGGTGAAGGACTTGGCCCGGCCGGGAGAAATTACCCAGTCACAGGCCTTCGACTTTGAATTCACCCACGTGGAGAAGCCGTATGAGTCCTACACAGGGCAGAACGTGAAGCTGCGGTAAGTTGTGCCCCACCCACCCCCAGAAACTGCCCCCCGCGGAGCAGGACCTGAAGCTGTCCACATTTTCCAGCGTCTATAAAGGTATCGAGAAGGAAGAATGCAGAGAGCAGTGGTAAGCTGGTAAATGGGTAGCAACAGGCTCTCTGGGAGGAAAAGCCCCTGCTTTTGCATTTGCTAATTTCCGTAGTATAGATATTCCCACCGTGGCCAATTTCAAGCTCCCAACCTGACATCCCGAATGCACAGATGGGAAGAGATGTATAGTAACTACATTTAGCAAACATTACTGACATTTGGAGACACTAAATATAATTCCCCAAGAGCAGAAAATTGTAGCAAAATAATTAGGAAACAATGAATTTTTGGTATGTATTACCATTATTTTTCATATAATTCATTCAATTATAAGTTTATATAATTGCAAATAATTGCTGTGTTTAACCACTGATTCATACAGTCCCTGCAAATTCAACAGTCGCTTTCCTCAGGACACACTGACCCTCAATCCAGTTCTAAGGACAGCAGTGTGATCCTGAGCTCTGTCCCTCAGCATTTTCACTAGAAAAGTGGATAATAGGTTTGTTTCTAATTCTAGATCTGCCTGCTCCATTTTTGGGGGGTTTGATAAGAGAATGTATCTAACAAGTTCTTCAAAGATTAATGAGCCGGGACCTGTTTGGCTCAATGGATAGAGCGTCGGCTTGGGGACTGAAGGGTCCCGGGTTCGATTCCGGTCAAGGGCATGTACCTTGGTTGCGGGCATATCCCCAGTAGGGGGTGTGCAAGAGGCAGCTGATCGATGACTCTCTCTCATCGATGTTTCTAACTCTATCTCTCTCCCTTCCTCTCTGTATAAAACCAATAAAATATATTTAAAAAAATAAATAAATAAAAAAAATAAAAAAAAAGATTAATGAACACAATTTGAGGACATGGGATTGCTTTTACTGTTCCAGTCTTGAAACTCTTGAGGGTAGGGACTGATCCCAGGGGCTTTGGGGTTTAAAAAACAATCCAGAGCAGCTCTAGCCTCTTGGACGTAACCGAGGGTGATGTGATATCACTGGGATGAAGCAGACTTCCTCCTTCGCTCTGGACACCAGGTTCCAGGTCTTGGTACTATCTTTAAGATCCGCTTGTCCTCCTCACCTGAAGACCTGAATTTAGAATGCTGCAGACTTTATTTTTTTCTCCTTTATTTTATCTTTTATTTTTATTTTTCAGTTACTGTTGACATATAATATTATATAAGTTTCACATATACAACATAGCGATTACACATTTATATAACACAAAGTGACCACCCTAATAAGTCTAATAATCACCTGATACCATACATAGTTATTACAATATTATTGACTATATTCCTTATTATTTACTTTACATCCTCGTGACTTGTGTTTATAACAGGCAGTTTGTTCTTCTTAAGCCCCACCCCCTTTTCACCCTCCCACAATTCCCTTTCCATCTGACAATCATCAATTTGTTCTGTGAAAGCAAGGACTCCAAACAGACAGACGTATGTATGTATATCTACATTCATAAGTGCATGTTTATGAATGTGGATGCCCCCTGAGTGTCCATTGGCCGATGACTGGATAAAGAAAATGACTGGCCGAAACCAGTTTGGCTCAGTGGTAGAGCGTCGGTCTGCGGACTGAAAGGTCCCAGGTTTGATTCTGGCCAGGGGCATGTACGTTGGTTATGGGCACATCCCCGGTTGGGGGTGTGCAAGAGGCAGCTGGTTGATGTTTCTCTCTCATCGACGTTCTAGCTCTCTATCTCTGTCCCTTCCTCTCTGTAAAAAAATCAATAAAATATATTTTTAAAAAAAAAGAAAGAAAGAAAAGAAAATGACTGGATAAAACAAAACATACAATGAAATGTTATTTAACATTGAAAAGGAAAGAAATCCTGTCATATTCTACAACATGGATGAAGCTTGAAAACTATGCTAAGTGAAATAAGCCAGTCGTAAGACAGATACTGTATGCTTTCACTTATTCGAGAAGCTTAGAGAAGTCAAATTATAGAGACAGAAAGCAGAGCGATGGTTGCCAGGGGCCTAGGGGAGGAGGAGTGGAGAGTTAGTGTTTAATGGGAACAGAGTTTCAGTTGGGGAAGTTAAAAAAGTTCTGCAGGTGGATGATGGTGATGGTGGCACAACAATGTAGACGTAATGCCGCCAAACTGTACCCTTCAAATCACATATGATTAAAGTGGTAAATTTAATGTTATGTACAGGGTGAGCAAAAGTAGGTTTACAGTTATGAATACATGGAACAGTTTATTCTTATGTTGTTACTTATTAATTATTGTATTTTCTATACAACAATTGTAAACTTACTTTTGCCCATCCCTGTATATTGTAGAGGACAAAACCTACCCATCTTAGGTTCACTGACTGGGCCCTGCAAAATAGACTGACAAAAGGCAGATTAACAAGAGGAAAAACAAGTTTATTCACATGTGCATTGTGCATACATGTGAAACTGTGAGAGTAACTCAAAAGGGTGGTCAGTAACTCAAAAGGGTGGGCTTATGCGAGCATTTAACCAGAAAAACAACAATTAATATTAAAGAGAAGTAACAAGACAAAGGAAAGGGACTTTGAGCTCCTAGGAGCTACTGATTGTGGGAGGTAAACGTATGGGGAAATGGGCCAGATAAGGGTGGTTTTAGAGAGGCTGGCGATAGATTTCTCTCTGAATCCCCTGGGCTGCTGAGAATCTAGTGTTGTCTCTGGTGATCAAGAATGCCCTTCTCGCTTCGGCAGCACATGTAGTAAGATTGGAACGATAAAGAGAAGGTTGGCATGGCTCCTGGGCAAGATGACATGCAACTTGTGAAACGTTCCATATTTTTTAAAAAAAGAAATAAAAGGGGCAAGACAAGACAAGAATTTTTCTTGCACCTGCTTCTTCTCACTTCCTTTCAGCCCTGCGTGAGCTGAAAGGACTTATTTGGGGGTGGCATACTCCAAACCCCTTTGTTCGTTTTACCACAATAAAAAAAAAAAAAAAAAAAAAAAAAAAAAAAAAAAAAAGCAGATAAAGGAAGGTGTTGCTGTACAAATCAGATAAAGGCTTTAAGATTGCTGTTGAGAAAGAGAGGAGGCCAAGAAGGAAAAATGAGCTAAAGGCAATGCATAGAAGGTGTAAAGTCCTCATTAGGGCTTGTATCTTACTCCATAGGCAGAGGGGAAACGTGAAAAGATTGTCTGGGGCTCTTTTTCCTCTGTAAGCAGGGGAGTGGTTCTTTTGGAAGAATTTAAAGTCAGTCTGTGGTATTTGGTGGGTGCTTAGAATGTGGACGCAGAACTGGTAGAAGGCCGGAATGAGGGCCTAAGGGTTTTGCTTTCGGGGACACGATGGGAACAGGCAGAAAATCAGGAACTTCATAGACATCCACAGGGTTTCCTAGTGAGTGGAGCTGCGGAAGGCGCTGTCGGGAGGAAGAGATGGTTCGTAGATAGGATGATTCATCCAGCTTTGACGTTTGGAGCACTGGCAGAAGAGAGAGGTGTGAGAGTTCACCTGGTGATTGGAAATGCAGGCCTGGCACGCAGGGTGCACTGCTGGTAACATCTGCTCAGCCCACAGCTGATCCGCTCTCCCCGGAGGGGAGCTCAGGACCTGTGGGCGAGGATGGTCAGAGCCGAAGCGGGCAGTGCGCTCCTGGGCAATGCTGGGAAGAGTTTAAGAGTGTAAGACAGATTCCTGTGCCCAAAGAGCCAGAAGCTCCTTGAGGACATAAAACCTGCGCACACATACATGGCAGAGAGTGGTGAGGGCATGAGAGACAGAGGAGTGACATGGCCCCGAATACAGAGCGGAGGAATCATTGATTAGAGCAGTGTTCTCCACCCAGAGCATGAGCTCACAAAGGGGTTCTGGGAAGGGTCTCTGCACACCCAGGAACTGTCACTGCAATCTGGGCATTTTCTTCTGGGAGGAGGGTCCACACAGGCAAATTCTCTAAGGAATAAGAACCGCTGTAGGGGCTCTCCCAAGTGGGTCAGTTCGGCGCATGAACCTAGGTAGCTCTGGAAACAGGGAGTGTTCCTTCACCCCATGCCTATATCCTCCAGGTATTTCCTCCGGGCCACCATCAGCCGCCGCCTCAATGATGTTGTCAAAGAGATGGACATTGTCGTTCACACGCTCAGCACGTACCCGGAGCTGAACTCCTCCATCAAGATGGAGGTTGGAATCGAGGACTGTCTGCACATTGAGTTTGAGTACAACAAGTCCAAGTAAGTGCCCGGGTTGTGGAAGAACTATTTCGGGGGGGTTGAGATAGAAGCTGGTCCGAACGCAAAGTGATGGAAGCGCCTTGTGTCTGGTTCATGCTGCAGGAGCGAGCACAGAAATAAGCAGGGCATGTATGTGCCAGGAACTCAAACCTCATGTGACTTAAACTAAACTTTATTAAATTAAGAAGGCACCTTAAGTTGAACAGCCTATGATGTCTTTCAGAGTCAAGCTAAACTAGCTTTAAGACTAATGGTTTTGGATTCAAAGTACAGCTGTTTCCTTCTACTGCTGAGAATCACCTCAGATACCGGTCCATTATCATCTGTTTCCTGTGACCAGTTGCCCTTAGAAGGCCAATGCGGAAACCAGACACCGCCTCAGGCCACTGCTTCCTCTCTGAACTGAAATGAATTGTAGCAAAGAGTACCTGCTGCCTTTTCACCAAGGCCTTGAAAGAACTTTTACTGGCAAGTTGAGAAGCCTTCTCTGTGTTAATCCGTGTTTACTGTTAGAACAAGAAAATACTTAAGGGCTTGTAAATCCCATGTACAGTTCAAAAAGGCACCACAGCCTCTTTTCAACACAGTACATTCTTGAAAATGGGATTAACGAGTTGATGGGTTTATCTAAATTGATGAGATTAACGAATTGATGGGTTTAATATTAGCGTTAGGTAAGGGTTAGGATTAGGGGCTAGGGCTAAGACAGGAAAAACTCACTGAGCTCTTGTGTGCAAACATGGAATGCCTCCTTGTCCCCGGTCTGAGGGCCAGATTCCGCTGCTGCCTGCTTTTGTCAATATGTTTTTCCTGGAAGGCGGCTTTTATTATTCTCTCTCCTCCCCCTGGATTAGGGATATGGAGTTCTGGGAATGGGGAAGCACCAGGTCCAAATGGATGCTAAAACCTCCCACTTATCCCTTTGCAGGTATAAATAAATAAATAAATAAATAAATAAATAAATAAATAAATAAATAAATCCAAAGATTTAGGTTCCAGTGTCCTCACTCATATGAACGGGCCAAGCTGTGACCCTGGCCATGTGGCTCAGCTTCCTGCAGGGTCACCCTGTGCACCAAAAAGGCTGCAGGTTTGATTCTTGGTCAGGGCACCTACCTAGGTTTCCAGTGTGATCCCCAGGTGGGACATGTTCCGGGAGCAACCAATGGATGTTTCTCTCCTACATCTGTGTTTCTCTCTTTCATTCCAAAATCCATAAAAACATATCCTTGGGTAAGGATAAAAAAAAAAAAAAGGACAAGCTATGACTTCCAACCCTGCCACTTGGGGAGCTTTACAAAGCAGGACTCCCCTTTTCTGCAACCAGAGTCTCACTGAGTTTTACTGGTCTAGGATGGATATTGTTTCTTGTCCTCCGGGTCGCTGTCATGGGCAGCCAAGACTGAAACCCACTGAACCAACCAAAGAAAGGTGATCAGTGTCCTCTCAGCTCCCCCCCCCCCCACCTTGCCCTAGAATGACGATGAGACACCCCCATCCTGAGCCTGGTACCCTCCAAGCACTGGCCTCAACGAGCACAAACCAATGATGGGTTTAGCATGATGGTGGGTTTTATTTTTTTTATTTTTTTTATTTTTTTAAAATATATTTTACTGATTTTTTACAGAGAGGAGGGGAGAGAGATAGAGAGCTAGAAATGTTGATGAGAGAGAAACATCGACCAGCCGCCTCTTGCACACCCCCCACCGGGGATGTGCCCGCAACCAATGTACATGCCCTTGACCGGAATCGAACCTGGGACCTTTCAGTCCGCAGACCGATGCTCTACCACTGACTGAGCCAAACCGGTTTCGGCGTGATGGTGGGTTTTAAAGTGCTCACCGTGTCCCAGATCGGGCCTGAGTGGCCTGGGCTCCTCCTTCCAAGTGGGCAGGGCGATAGGACATGAAGGTACATGTAAGGGAACAGACTTCTTCCCCTTTCTCCTCTCAGTTTTTGGGGCTCTGTGTGCCCTCCTGAAAAGGAGCCACCAAAGTGCATACCCACCAACGCCCTGGCCACCAGGCAAAGGGTGTGGCTGGCAGGCAGTGCCACTTGCAGCAGCTCAGAATAGCCAGGCAGCAGTGAGTTCAGGACCACCCGTGCATGTGAAAGGCACTCAGAGTCAGTGTGTGAGGTCCAGGACTGGACGCTCCCATAATCTGGCCCCGCCCTCGCAGAGCAGCCACCCTGTGAGCACAGGTCTGAGTGACGTAACGGGAAGAGCTGCGCTGTGAGCCAGGTTCTGTTCTGTCACTAAGAACGTGGGCGAAGGTGGGTTAGAAGGTTCTAAAAATGTTTGTACCTCTGGTTCCTGAGAAAATGAAGGACTTGCATCAGGTTATCGATGTCAAGCACACGCAAGAAAGGTAAGGGAAAGAGGAGAGGGGAGCCTGCAGCTCTTACATATTAATGCTTCTTATGAGATTGATTTAGAATAAAGGAATGTTCAGCTTATGAAAGTTGGAAAACCCCTAGAATCTCTGTTCTCTAAGCATTCTTTCCAAAATGCTTAGTGGCCTACATTCTGCTTTTGTAACTATTCTTAGGTTCTGTACTTAAAGTGTCTGCAGTCTTCCCAATTAGGTTATTGTAGCCTAAGTGCTGTGAAGTAATGGAAAGCCCTGGCTGGTGTGGCTCAGTTGGTTGAGTATTGTCCCAGGCACTGAGAGGTCTCGGGTTCAATTCCCAATCGGGACACATGCCCGGGTTGTAGGATCGATCCCCCATAGGAAGCATGCATGAGTCAGCCAGTCAGTGTTTCTCTCTCTCCCTCTCCATTTCTCTCTCAAATCAATAAAAAACATTTTAAAAAATAAATAAGTAATGGAGAGAACATAAGCTTAGGAATTAGGGATTTTGGTTCACATCCTGAGTGTGCCCTACTCAAATCCTGGTGAAATGACTTACCTTCTTCAAACTTGCTTTTCTTAACTAATAAGGAGGTTAGATTCTGAAGTCCCTGCCAACACTCACATCCTATGACTCTGGTCTTCAAGTTTGGAGATTTTGCTCTCTGCCTGTTATTCCTGATATAGGGCTGTGCCTGCACAGGCCACCAGAATGCCTGTTTGAACCAGAGACCTACATGGCCAGATTACCAACAGCTCACAGAGCACAGTCCTTGTAAACAGAGCCCAGAGAGAAGGTGGATGGGATAGGATGTGGCATCTTGCTCTGCTGCTCCTGCCTGGCCTGTCAGGTCCGTAGCACACAAAACTTTGCTGCAGGCCATCAAGGCCCAGGTCCCAAAGAACATTTATGGGTCTTAGAGAGGAATAGCAAGACCTGGCTTCTGCATTTGTGGGACTGGCCTCTTGCACATTAGGATATCTAAAAAACATACACAAATATGAAGCATGCCCAGCTGGTGTGGCTCAGTTGTTGATGTCAACCTGTGAACCAAGAGGTTACCAGTTTGATTCCAGGTCAGAGCACATGCCCAGGTTACGGGCTCCATCCCCAGTATGGTGTGCAGGAGGCTGCCAATCGATGATGTTTCTCTCTCATGGATGCTTCTCTCTCATGAATGTTTTTCTCTCTGTGCCCCTCTCCCTTCCTCTCTCTCTAAAAATCAATAAAAACATAAAAGAAACAAACAAACAAACAAAAAACAAATACGAATTACATAAAGGAAGTTATAATATTGAGCAGGTAGATAAAATAAGCAAGCCTGAATGGGTGATATAACATACTGGAGAAATATCCTTTGAGCTGTATATGGAAGAATGGAAGGAACAGAAGTTACTTTAATTCAAATAAAGTACATATTGGGAAATTAGGCTGTAATGCATCGCGGCAGGATGTGGGTGAGTGTGCACTGTGACCCCACCTTTAGCCAGCACGCAGGGAAGAGTACCCTCTCCTAGAATCAGAAAGGCCTGGAAATATACAAAGGGTCGGCTACTATACACACATCTTATTTTCTTTACTTTCTGTTCCCCAGATACCACTTGAAAGATGTCATTGTAGGGAAGATATACTTCCTGCTGGTGAGAATCAAAATCAAGCACATGGAGATAGACATCATCAAGCGGGAAACAACGGGCACAGGCCCCAACGTGTACCATGAGAACGACACGATAGCCAAGTATGAGATCATGGATGGAGCACCAGTAAGAGGTAAGCCTCGTCGTCCCGTGGCGCGGCCCCTCCTCCCCCACCATGTCTCCAGGTCCCACCCAAAACTGGAGGGGCGTGAGGGACTGTACTGCCAAAGTGAGATTTCTGTTAACCTCTAACTTCCTCAGCTCTAATGGCACGCTTGGGCTGAGTCTGTGACACTCCAGCCTGCCACCCGCCTTCCCCCAGAGAAGCTCCGCTTCTGCCTTGACCACATCATGAGCTTGGACTGGAAACTGAGTTATCCCTGTTACAAAAAAGCTCGCAAATTGGTTAACATACACGGTCTGAATTTATTGTAACTTCTGCCTGTTGACATTCGGACATTCTTTGCTGTTAAGGGGCAAGAGATTAATACAGACTAGTCACTTCTGTTACTTAGTTCTGGCTCTGGGAAAATGATGAATTCTCTGCATTCACTCACCAAGTATAAATACTCTGGCCAGCACCATCGGGGGCTGCAGTCAGTACTGGGACCTGGACGGGAACTAGTCCTCCTCTGCTCACCCGGAGCTAACGTTACTTCTGGGATGGGTGGGGTTCAGAGCTTTGTTTGGGGAGTCTGTGTGACTATTTGGGAGAAGCCATCACTTAGGCTCTGCACTGGCTCTGCTGCAGCGGACCATGAAGAGTGTATTCCTTCCCTGAGAAGTGCCTGGCGATGCCGAGGTCTAATCCACGCAGGAGGAGTGTCGTAGCTTAGCAGCCTGGAACCCTGGGGACAATGCTGAGCAGCGCCGTGCCAGGTCCTCGGGGAGGGAGGATGGAGCTCTCCAGACTCCCTGCGTTCCAGTTTCCACCAGCTGTGCAAGCAGAGCCAGTTGTCATTGTCCTTGTACAAAGGAAACGGGGCCATGAGAAACATACCAAACAGCGGATAACGAAAAGATCATTTCTATGTAGCTTTACACTGCGTTACAGCTTTGGCCTTTCTTAGTACAGCTGCTGCCCTACCTCTGTTCCACTTATGCTAGGAAAGGCATGGTGTTAGCGCTGGAGGGGATCTAAAATAATCTGTAGTTTGTTTCCATAATTTTCCACCTGAGACAATTAAGGTCCAGGGAAAGCAACAGACTTAGTTATTCGTGGAGAACTGGGACTAGAATGAGGATGTTGTTTCCCAGACCACTATGCCATCCGCCAGTCCATCCTAGTGATGTATTTTGGGGGCAGGCCCTAATTAGGATGGAAGGAAGTGGCATCGGAATTGCTGGGTGACACGATGAGTTTGCTAGAGTTTTGACAGTAGGCTCTTGAAAACCCAACAAGTAGACACATTCCATGTGATCAAAAGATGTTTGACAGTGGCTGTCCATCCCCACCGCCACTCGTGGTCCTGTGTGGGGACAGTGGGAGGACATTCTGAAGCGCAGCTGAACGAGAAGGGAATTGCAGTCACCTTCTGCTTCAGCTCATCACTGGGCAGCAGTGTCCTGCGTTCCATGCCATGCTCAGATGCCCAGTGATACGTAGGGATACGCTGGCCAGAGTGACTTGTGTAAGGCCGAGTGGCCACCTTGTCCCTCGCTCTGATTCCTGCCTGGCTCTTACAGGAGAGTCTATCCCGATCCGGCTCTTCCTGGCGGGCTACGAGCTCACCCCCACCATGCGGGACATCAACAAGAAGTTCTCTGTGCGCTACTATCTCAACCTGGTGCTGATCGACGAGGAGGAGCGGCGGTACTTCAAACAGCAGGTGAGGCTGGCACCTCCACCTGACCCCTGGGGGCCTAGCAACAGAACAAGAGGGCGTCCTTCTGCAAAGACTAGGCTCCTGTCGGCACACGTCTCCATGCCACTGTTAGTGTACCAGAGGTGGAAACGGATCACCTAGAGCCTCATAGCAACAATGAGGGTTCCCATAGATACCGAGAGTCTGCTTCCTCGGCCCAACCCCACAACCACTCTGCCTTCCAGCCCAAAGCATCCAGAGTTCCCTGGGACGGAGGTGGGACACCTCAATCTTTGCTGGGAGAGGGTTTTGCCTAAGATTCGCCCAGAAAACATTAGAGCCTTCGGGCAACCTAACCGCATGCCTTCCTCTCATGCCTTCATGTTGCCCCTCTCCCACTTTTGCAGGAAGTGGTGTTGTGGCGGAAGGGTGACATCATACGGAAGAGCATGTCCCACCAAGCAGCCATCGCCTCACAGCGCTTCGAGGGCACGACCTCCCTGGGTGAAGTGCGGACCCCCAGCCAGCTGTCTGACAACAACTGCCGGCAGTAGGCCCCCAGGGCCCAGAAGCTGCTGGGCTCCCACCCGGCACCCCATCTACCAGACACCAGCGGCTGGGGGAGGGGAGGATGGTGTGAGCTCAGCTGACCCGTTACTTGCAACCTGAAAACAAATCATGTTTTTGACTTAAATTCTTTTTCTGAAGAACCTTGGGGGTTTGGGCCAGGAGGCACTCTCCTTGGGGTTCTGCAGCTGGCGGAGTAGAGAGAAGTAGAATCCTGGAAGCGAGCATCCCTCTGGGGACAGAGCCTCCGCTGGGGCCTCGCACAGGGCTGCCTCACGCCGCATAGGAAGACAGAGTGCCAGCCAGCGTCCTCGGCCCAGCCTCTGGCTTCCTGATGCAGGAACTGACCAGTCCCTGGGAATCTGAGCTGCCACCGGGCCCTGGGTAGTCACCTCTTGTCCTCTCCTCTGCGTCCCTGAAGGAGGGGCAGGAGTTGGGCCTGCCTCATCCCAAGTGGCCAGGGTGAGACTCGAGATTAGGAAGCTACCTCTTTGGGAGTCTGGGATGTGGTGCTTTGAAGTCTCCACAAGCCACCTCCCTTCTGGCCTTTCCCTCCCTGCTGGGACGCAGACACCTCTTCTCTCCATCCTCTCTGGACTCTTGTCAGTAACATCCTGGGACAGAGCCTGTGGAAGGGCCTTTAGCTGACTGTCCCCTCACCCATGAAAAATCGTGGCTCAGAGACGCCCTGGGGTCATTGTCATGTATGGAAGGCAGCAGGGTCAACACTGCATGGAGCTGCCTGACTCCCATGTCACTCCCGTCAGTCCTGGGGGCTGTGTGATTCTGGGGTATGGTTTTGTGTGCCCAGCCCACAAGCCGAAACAGGGACATGTTTCCTTTAAGAACAGATCCCAGGAAGGGGCCTTGATCCCTTGCTTCCCTAAGCGTGGATCCACTATTCCTTGCTCTCCATTTAGTTGGAGAACTGGGGCTGGCTTTCAAACACTTGGACCTTTTGTTCTTACTATTGCCCACGCCCCTTCACTCCCCACCTAACCCTCGGGAGGGCGAGGAGGACCCCACAGGACCTGCCACAGCCTCAGAGCCGGCTTGCCAAATCCTGTCGCCCCCAGGTGGCTGGCCAGGGTTGAGGACCATTGCCGTTTTTTCTTCTTGTTCCTCTAGAGAAGGGTTCTTCTCGCAGCTGTGCTGCACGTGGGCCTGTTGCAGGAACGGTGTTGACATCCTTTCCTGCTTCACCTGGAAATGACCAGGCATTCCTCCCTCGGCCTCCCGTCCCTTCTTGGAAGACAAGCAGACCCCACTGACCAAAAGGGCAACATTTGGTGGTCTCGGGTCTCTGTAATTTGGCAAGCAGAGGGGTTTGTTGGTTCTTGTGTCATTTTTCAGTTAGTGTGGGAAATAGGGATGACTCGTCTTCAAATTTCAGTATAATCGTGGGCCTTTGGGCCGGGCCCGAAGATCAGGACTGAGACCAGGAAGGCGTTTGGGCCGACGCTCAAGGTTGACCGGGGGCGGCAGCACCAAGGAGGGTGAGGTGGTTTCCCTGGGCTGGGCCCCGAGTTCAGTACAGCGGACAGTCCCCTTGGGCACAGGGCTACTCGTATGGCTGTCCCTGGATTTGCAAGGCTGGGACGAAGTGTGTGGGGGAGGTGGGCTGTGCTCCTGTCCTCTGCGGAGCCCGAGACCAGGCTCTGGTGTGCCTCCCGTGGATGCTGTTCTAGCGGGAAAGCACCTGACAGCTCCTCTGCGTCCCCACAGACAACACACATCCATCCTCCAACTTTTGTACCATCTTAACTCTTTCTTCTGGGAGAACTAGAAGATAGAATTTGCTTTTATTCTCTCAGGACCTGTGCACAAGCTAGACCTTGCGTTTCCTCTTCCTCCGCCCTCATTCTTCACGAATGTGCCCCATTGGGGGTGAGGGGAGGCTCCCGTCCGTCCCTCCGTCACAGGTCTCCACGCCTAGGAGTGCATAGGTACTAAACCAAGCAGTGCACCTTGTAATTAAGCAGCTGCCGTGTTTACATGTTTCTTAATGTATCGTCTTTTCAGTGGCTGTATTTTAAAAAAAAAGAGCGCTTGTTTCAGTCGTCTCTGATTAAAGGAAGCCCTGTGCCCGGAGGCAACATGCCCGCGGTCCACCAGCTTCTGTGGTCTCTTCTGCCTTAACGCTGTCTCACCTCACACTGGAAGACAGATCCCACTGTGACAGCAAGACGCCTGCCTGCTCTGTGAACAGGGATGGGCACTTTCCTAATACCACCCGTTCCAGACCAGCACGTGACTGAGAAAGGAAGCCCGTGTACTTCCATCTAGCAACTCGTCCTGCAACCGCTGATGGTTTCAACCCCTGTGGAGCCTACATGACTCCAGGGCTAGTAAAGAGACCGGAAGTTCACCCGGCCAGTGTGGTTCAGCAAAGAGGCTTCCCATGCACCAAGAGTTGCAGTTCCGATTCCCCGTCAGGTTGCAGGTTTGATCCCCAGGGGGGGGGGCATGCAGGAGGCAGCCAATCAAATGTTTCTATCTCTTCCTCTCTCTAAAATCAGTATATTGAGAGATAGCTACAGCTCTGACATTAGTGTTTTATTGAGAAAAGTACAGAAAACCCACCCATGTACACAGCTGCAGACGAACATAACAAGCTTCACACCGTTTGTCGTCAGAGTCGTGTCTTGCCCATTCCAGCAGGTATCTCGGCTAACTCGGTTCCTTTTCCTCCAGGCTCAAAATAAAATCGAACTCCTCTACCAAAAGGGGAAATGAAAGGAAGAATTAGGTCTCGGGTCTCTTCTTGAACGGGAAAGCTAAGCTAAGCATCGCTCGCGTTAGTCAAAAACCACTTAGGGAGTGCTACACTCTGCCGAGCACTGCTGGGCCCCGAGTACAGTGACAGGCGACTCAGGACACACTCCACCCGCAGGGACAGTCAAGGTGAGGACAGACGCAGGGTAAGTGCTGTGCCCAAGTCTGATCACTTAGCAAATGCCAGTTGCCGGCGCCAGTTGCCGGTGGGCAGTGACGGAGGACGGGGCCCATCGTACCTCGGGTCAGGGGCTGCACTGAGAGCCTCTGCAGAGTGAAGAGCGCCATGTGCCGTAGGGGCCCGCCAGAGGCCTTGTGAGCCTGGTGATGCGTTCGGAGCTCAGCCAGGGGAATGAAGCGCTTCAGCATCCGCACGAACTGGACATCCACCTACATGACCAATGCGTGGGACAGACGGACGTGCTGCTGCACTCTGGCCGCTGTGTTAGCTGCTTGCAGGCGTCCTGTTCTCCAAAGTTGGGGTAACCCCGTCCAAGTCTGAGCTGAGCTCTGTATCCTGTCACAAACACCCCCCTCCCGTCCTCCTACCTTCTTCCTCCCTCTTTGTCCATCCTTCCCCTCGTGAAATAGGAAAAACCGTCTTTACCATGGACCATTTGGGGTTGTCTTTTTTGCTGGATGGATCATAATGGGGGTTGCTTTTCTCAAACTGTGTGTGGTCTGGGTAAGCCTCCTTCACAATCTGAAACCAACACCAGGTCTCCAATCACTTGCCTATATAGTCGGCTCCATGGCAATTCTTTAACCCAAGACCAGCGTTCATTTCTGGCCCTGCACATTCTCACCCCATCTGCCTTGCCTTAGAACCAATGGGGGCTCCAATATCTGGAAACAATACACGGTCTAAGGCAAACAGGATATCAACCCCACCCTGACAAAAATCTTAAAAGGATGTTCTAAAACCAAATATTCAAGGTTGTTGTTGGTTAAAATTTTTATCCTGATTATGCCTGGCTCAGAAGAGCTACCATTAGGCTTATTTTTTATTTGTTTTAAAATATATTTTACTGATTTTTACAGAGAAGAAGGGAGAGGGATAGAAAGTTAGAAACATTGATGAGAGAGAGACATCGATCAGCTGCCTCCTGCACACCCTCTACCAGGGATGTGTTCACAATCAAGGTACATGCCCTTGACCGGAATTGAACCTGGGACCCCTTCTCTCCACAGGCTGACACTCTATCCACTGAGCCAAGCTGGTTAGGGCCATCAGGCTTGTTGAGTGAAAAGACCAAGGTGTAGAAACAGAAACATCTGGGACCTGAGATGAAGGCCTATCTTTGGCCTAGTCCTGGTCACATGACAGGGCCAGGGCAGTTTCCCATATTCCTGTGCGGCCAGGGATGGGAAGAGGACTCTTTTTTCCGCTATCTATTGAAGCTAGCACCCTTTGAATCTGTCTACCTGAGTGGGTGGTGCTCCTGAAGGGGGAGGGAGGCAGATCCAAGCCTGTGCAGCTCACCTTCACAAGTCCTGCGATGCCTGGCTCTTTGCAGTTACTGTGGTAGAAGAAGGCTTCCTGCCCCAGCTTCATGGCTCTCAGGAAGTTCCGGGCCTGCCCCAGGGAAGCAGAAACAAGACTATCCTCCCCGCCTGTGTGAGCAGAACTGTAGTCTGCCTTTATTAGGTGAGTTTTCCTTTACCGCAGTTTCCCCAAATTCAATTTTTTTTCTTAATCCTCACCAGAGGGTATGCTTAGCAAGAGGAAGGGAGAGACAAAGAGAAACATCGACCTGCTGCCTCCTGTACATGCCCTGACTGGCCATCCAACCCCACCACCTGGGTATGCGCCCCGACTAGGAATCGAATCCACTACCTTTTGGTGTGCGGGACGACATTCCAACCAACTGAGCCACCCAGTCAGGGCATCCCCCCCAGTTCAATTCTTGTCTTTGCCAAGATACCCAGACTTGTATGGGGATGCTGGCTAACACACACACCACTTGTAAGGTGCATGCCATCTGAGTAATTATTTTTGAAGACGTTTTTAGCCTTGGGTTCTAGGGAAAAGCGGCCTTGGCTGAGATTCTGCTACTGAGTAAGGCCTACTCCAGGTCTCAGGGTCCTGCTCTTACCTGATAGTTGCGAACGCCATCCCAGCATGCTGTCTGCTTGGGCTCCGCTTTGAGATCCTCGATGCTGAACTAGGCAACGGGAACGAAAGCTGGGCCAATTGGTAAGAATTCAGGGAAGCTAACCACTCCCTCCCATACATTGTGGGTGCTACAGCGGGAATATGCAGTTAACCAGGAAATAGCTCTGGAGAGGCACCTGTATATTAAGTGATCTTTGTTAACTTTTTAGTTAATTAAGAGGATTAGTTAAATGGATGATCCAGAGCATAAAGTAATCTGGTTCTTTGTATTTGACATATTAAAATGTTATCTACGTCTAATTCTGTTTCCTCTGGGCTATCTGAAAATTGCTTTACATTCATTCCCTGGATTAGTGTAAGATAATGCTAGAACATGATAGGTGGCAAGAGAAAAGTAATCAGTTTGGCAAACTACAGCCTTCAGGCCAAATCTAGCTCCAAGGCTGATGTTGTAAATGCAGTGTCACTGGAACACAGCCACAACATGTGTTTACCTTCTTGTCTATGCCATGTTCTTGCAACAGCTGTGTTGCAAGAGCAGCTAGAAAACCAGAGCGCCTAAGATATTTGCTGTCTGGCCCTTGACAGAAAAGTTTGCCATCCCTGCCCTAGATAGAGGAGTCACACAAAAAAGACAGTGGATGGTAGTAAGTCCTGCCATTTTCATTCCTTATTACCTGTTCCCTACCCTTCAAAGATAAGAAGTTGGTAATGGAACCCTTTGGTGTTCCATGTTCATTTCTTATTAAAAAACAACAACAACGAAGAGCTTGGCGGGATTGGAGCCAGGGACATGGTCTCACCTTCACATCCACACCTTTCTCTAGGCGGCTTTCTGGCTCTGACTTCATCAGCCAGTAGCTGCTTACATTGTCCCCACATTTTTTAAGGGCTGAAGTCTCCCGAGGGCTGGATCTCTCCACTGTAGCTGGTGCCTCACCAGGGTTCTTAGTCTTGGTACGCTTTCCTGCTGGTCCCTTCTTGTCTGCCAGAGGAGAAGCAAGAAGAGAGCTGTCATGATTGCTGAGAGGTAAGGTTCCATTGTGGCAAAAGCACAGACTCTGGAGTCAGACTGGATTCAAATCCTGGATCTCTCCGTTACCAGCAGGGACAGCTTCACTACTGAACGTATTTCTTATCTACAAAAAGGGAAGAAGAATGCCTACCTCACAGGGTATCTTTGGAACATCCATTCAATGGGATCGGAATACCTTACATGGCTGTGGTTTAAAATGAAGGGTCCGCTGGGACCGGTTTGGCTCAATGGATAGAGCGTCGGCTTGGGGACTGAAAGGTCCCGGGTTCGATTCCGGTTAAGGGCATGTACCTTGGTTGCGGGCATATCCCCAGTGGGGGGTGTGCAAGAGGCAGCTGATCGATGACTCTCTCATCGATGTTTCTAGCTCTCTATCTCTCTCCCTTCCTCTCTGTATAAAATCAATAAAATATATATTAAAAAAATAATAAAATAAAATGAAGGGTCCTAGCAGAGTATGAGGGCATATATTAATTACGTCGGGGGTAGGGAACATCCGGGCCTTGGACCACATAAGGCCTGAGAAATCATTTGGTCTGGCCCTGCAATGTTTGAACAAATATAGCAGGCTAATTTTCAAGTTGGTAATTGTGTATGGCTTGTGAATGATGTTCTAAACATCCAAATAACCCTTGGCAGAAATAAGGTTCCCCACCCCTTGTAAATCGGTGTTTTTCCTTCCCTCCCTCCCTCTGTGTCTTCGCTGAAGCTATCCTCTCCCTTGAGGAAAAGTAAGCCCCTACTCCATGGACTCGTTCTGAAAAATGACATAATAGAAACCATGGCCTTAGACAGTGCCTGGCAATATAATAAATATTAGCGCTAATTATCATCATCTTATACTTCTTCCCTGCATGATCACTGTGCTTTCGTGGCCTGCTCTTTTTTGCTCCTTGAAGGTGTCAAGAGAAGTTGGAAGAAACAACTCATTCAGGGCTTTGTAGACATGATAAGGACTGGATTTCATCCTAAGAGAATTGGAGGAAAATGTGCCTGGGACATAGTAGGCACTTGAAGCTAACAGTTGTGATATTCTTACTACATGACAGACCCTAAGCTCTGGTACTCTAATTGTAATCCAGTTAATCTATATTCTATAGGATGATTTATGCATCTGGAAAATATAGCCCAGATTACATAACCAGTAATCAATCTGGTCTTTCTGAATCCACACTTTATGACACTCGAGTCACAGCCTCTGAATCAAGTCAAAGCTCCTCTTGTCAGTCATCCCTAAATACCACTTGTGGATGGCTAATGCTCTGAGCATTTCTAGCCTGGTTCCTAGTGGTCCCTTCCGAGCTAATGGGCACCCTAAACACCCCTGTGTTGTTCAATAGCACTGCCAGGCCTCCAAAAAGGTACTTTACCTTGTTTTGTTCCTGCTATTCATCTATTCAGAATGCCACTTATCCTTATGAATATAAAAAAAGACACCTTGTTTTCTTTGCCTGGGAAAGCCTTCCCATTCTTTAAGGCTAGTCTCAAATTCCACTTCCTTCTCAAGGACTTTCCGGTGATTCCTCCCTGCTCTTTCACACCTAGCAATCCAGTTCCCTGGATCCTTTTACTTGTCTAAATTCTCTAGAGCAGGAACTATATATATTTTTTTCTTTAAACTCTCACAGAGGTTATGTTTTCATTGATTTTTAGAGAGAGGAAGAGAGGGAGGGAAATATCCATGAGTTGCCTCCCACCGGCATCCCATCACCCCCTCTTCCCCCCCCAGCCTGGGTATATGTCCAGACTCAATCAAACCTGCAACCCTTTCAGTGTACAGGACGATGCTCCAGCCAACTGAGCCACACTGGCCAGGGCAGGAACTACATTATTTACCTTAGTCCATGCCACCCTGTATCAAATATTGTGCCCTTATCAAACAAGCATAAGGGGCTCTGAGTATAAGCTTGGCAGGAGGTAAAGAAGGCGGAGGGCCACAGGGGACTCTCCCCACAAGCAGGAAGTGGAAGTGAACAGTATTAAACAGAGAAACGATCTCAGGGAGGCCGCCTTTTTGCAGCCTGGGTGCAAGCTCACCTTGCCCAGCAGTCCCATACAGCCTCTTCCTGAGTCTCGGCATGGTCTCCCTGCACCTGGCTCAAGAGCGGAAGATTCTGGAATCTACTACGAGTCACAAGAGGAAGCTCTGCACCAGCCAGAGACGTGCGCCAAGAAAAACGGAGAAAACGAAATTTAAAGAGGGTTTCAGCCCAGAGGCTCCTTAGCCAAGAAGACAGACTGGGTTCCCATCCCTCAAATCCTCCTCCAATTATCTACACCCCCACTTCCCATCTCGTTTAACCAAACTCTTAAACTCTTTTCCAATTTTGCTGGGACCGCCTGCTCATTCGTTCGCCACTTTACCTGGAACCCTACACACTAATCCGCAAACAAGCCTTTCAGCGCCCAACCCTCCGGCCCCCAGGCCGCGGGGAAATCTGGGAGTTGTAGTCCCTGCTCCTGACGCAGACCCGTCTGAGCCCGGATCGCAGGGGCCGCCGGGAAAGCGGCTGCTCCCAGCGTGCACTACAACTCCCAGAGTGCACCACGCGCCCCCCAGCGTGCGGGGCAGGGCCGTGGCCGGGAATGGGGCCGCCGCCGCGGGGTTGGGTGGGGAGGAGGGCCGGCCTAGGTCAGGAGTTCTTGGGCCCTGGCCGGAGCTGGGAGCGGAGCGATGTGGCGGAGCAGCGGCCTGCGGCTCGGAGCGCGGCTCTGCTGCCCTCGCGGCGGTGCACGGGCTCCCGCCGAGCGCGGCCACCGGAGCCTGGTCTCCTGCATCGATCGTAAGACTCCCCCTGGGGAACGAGACCGGGCAGAGCGCGCTGTTGCCCCGGGAGGTCGGCGCCGCGGTCACCCCAGACCGGCTCCCCCAGCCGCCCGTCACCCTTGGCGGTCACCCTGTCCGATCCACCTGGGTAGCCTCCCAGCGGACTTGGCGCTCTCGGACCTCAGCCAGCCTGTTGCGCCCCTCGGCTTCGCCTGCTGTTCCCCCCTTATCCTCCCTCCTCGGACGGGGTGGCGGAGCCGGCTCTGAGCCTTGTGGTCCAGGCCTCGCGGGTTCCAGAGCCCCGTCCTCTCCGCACCGCCTAGAGCAGCGCTTTTCCACCGGGTGCCGCGGGAAGGTTCAGAACATGCAGCACCTGGACTACTGAGTCACGGGCACTGGCCTTCTTCTCCTTAGATCAGTCTTAGAGCACTCTGTCTTAGAGCACTAGTTAAGTATACACTTTTACCTATATGTTCCCAGGAATTCTAGTCTAGCACTTCTTAGTTGGGATTCAGGAATCTGTAGTTTAACAACTCCACCAGGTGATTCTCATCATGAGAGAAGTTTGGAAACACTGCCTTAGATTGCCGGATTTAAAAAAGGAAGGAAGGAAGGAAAGAGGGAAGGAAGGAAGGAAAGAAGAAAGGAAGGAAGGGAGGGAGGAAGGGAGGGCCAACACAACCATAGCGGTCTGGTGCGAATGAATCCGGAGTGTGGCAGAGTTTTTTAGTAATTCGTTTATGTGCCATGGGATGAAAAAGGTTGAACATTGCTGCTCTAGAGGCATTTGGAGACTTCTTGGCTAAACCAGTGTTTTCCTACCACGTGGGGCCCTCTGAAGCTAGATCAAGATCTGAAAGCACTTCACAGCGAATACGGATTACTCCTTAAGCTTAGTTTCTACCAATATCCCCTTGGTGTGTTTCATAAGCTGACTTATGAAATAAGTATAATAGCTTAAGGGTTTTACATTTACCTTCACAATCTCTGTTATTATCTCCGAGTTTAAATAAGGAGTGGATGCTTAGGTGCTGAAACCCGGGGTTTTAGTGGTGATTTTTTTTTTTTAATCATAACAATCTATATACATAAAAGCCTAAGTGACCATTGCAACCAAAACAACCCAATGGATGACCAAGCAGGCTGCATGGGCAACCAGGCTAGCAGCCAGGGCAATTAGGGGCAACCAGGCTGGTGGGGGAGCAGTAAGGGGTGACCAGCAGTCCCATACTGCTGGGGGAGGGGGATTAGGGGCAACCAGGTTGGCAGGGGGGGCGGCATTTAGGGGTGATCAGGCATGCAGGTGAGCAGTTAGGAACTAGTGGTCCTGGATTGTGAATCAGATATCCCCCGAGTAGTCCCAGATGGGAGAGGGTGCAGGCTGGGCTGAGGGGACCCCCCCCCCTCTTTCATGCATGAATTTTGTGCCCTGGGCCTCTAAGTAGTTCATAAAAGCTGTAAGAATGCAAAAAGTCTGATGCTTGTGGTAATTGAGGAACAAAAGCTCTAGGTAATATAAGATTTGCTAATCAGACTTTATAACTACATCTATAACTAGAAAACACTTTTACTCTTGAAATTCCTAAAAGAAAAGGGAGTATTGCAAATGGGAAACTACCAGAGTTTACAGAGCTGAATGTCTTGGGGGGGGGGGGGGGGGGCGGAGAGGAGAGGTCAGGCAGGTAGCACAGGTGTGAGTAACAGGGAGGGTGAGGATCCAGCTGACAGGTGCACCTATCCACTCTGTGCTTCTGTCAAGCACTGAACTACTTTTTTTCTTCTGAAACATACATTTTTAAACTTTAAATAAGTGACACTTTTCTTTACAGCAGGAGAGTCTCTGAATCCTTTAGACCAGTGGTCAGCAAACTCAGTCAACAGAGCCAAATATCAACAGGACAACGATTGAAATTTCTTTTGAGAGGCAAATTTTTTAAACAACTTCTAATGCCACTTCTTCAACATAGATTTGCCCAGGCCGTGGTATTTTGTGGAAGAGCCACACTCAAGGGGCCAAAGAGCCACATGTGGCTCACGAACCGCAGTTTGCTGACCACGGCTTTAGAAGGACACTGAGATGTAGAAAGTACACTAAGGTATAGGATACAGTTTTCCTCTCAATGTCCTAAATCACCTTCACAAGGTACAGCCCTGGTCTAGCACTTGAACTTGTTAAACAGGATTATCTTGGCAGAGGGAACAAATAGATTAAATAAGGTTTCCAGAACCTTGTGGTATAGCTTCAGCCAATGTGGTACTTTTTCACATTTTTAAAGGAAATTGTCTTTTTTTAAATGGTAAAATAAGAGAGAGTTGTCCCTTCAGTATATCATCCTGTATGTTAAAATATCAAATTAATGGAAATGATTAACAAATGTTTCTCATTGTTGCATGCATTTTTTAAAAATTTATTAATGAATCTTTATTTTTCAGATTATTACAGTTGTTCCTCCCCCCCCCATAGTTCCCCTCCACCCCGTTCTCACCCCACCCCATACCCTTACCCCCCACCACCACTGTCCTCATCCATGAGTGTAAGATTTTTGTCCAGTCTCTTCCCTTCCCCCCTGAGAATTCTCAGTCCACTCCCTTTCTGTGCCCCTGATTCTATTATATTCACCAGTTTATTCTGTTCATCAGATTTTTTTATCACTTGATTTTTACATTCACTTATTGATAGATATTTATTGTCTCTTTGTTTTTCATAATTTTTATCTTTACCTTTTTCTTCTTCCTCCTCTTAACACCCTTCATCATCATTTCATATAATACTGTTTGGTGGTGATGAACTCCTTTAGCTTTTTCTTATCTGTGAAGCTCTTTATCTGACCTTCAATTCTAAAAGATAGCTTTGCTGGATAGAGTAATCTTGGTTATAGGTTCTTGCTGTTCATCACTTTGAATATTTCTTGCCACTCCCTCTATGCCTGCATAGATTCTGTTGAGAAATCAGCTGATAGTTGTATGGGTGCTCCCTTGTAGGTAACTAACTTTTTCTCTTGCTGCTTTTAATATTCTCTCTCTGTCTTTTGCCCTTGGCACTTTAATTCTGATGTGTCCTTGTGTGGGCCTCTTTGGATTACTCTTGTTTGGGGTTCTCTGCGCTTCCTGGACTTGTATTTCTTTCACCAGGTGGGGGAAGTTTTCTGTCATTATTTCTTCAAATAGGTCTTTAATATCTTGCTCTCTCCTTTTGGTACCCCCATAATAGGAATGTTGGTCCACTTGAAGTGAAGAGGCTCCTTACACTATCTTCATATTTTTGGATTCTTATTTCTTTTTGCTTTTCTGCTTGGGTGTTTTGTTGTTGTTTTGTTTTGCTTCTTCATATTTCAAATCTTTGACTTGATTCTTGGGATCCTCTAGTCTTCTGTTGGATCTCTTTATTTCAGTCACTGTGTGCTTAATTTCTAATTGGTCCTTTTTCTTTTCTTTTTTTAATATATTTTATTGATTTTTTTACAGAGAGGAAGGGAGAGAGATAAGAGAGCTAGAAATGTCAATGAGAGAGAAACACCGTCCAGTTGCCTCTTGCACACCCCCTACCGGGGATGTGCCTGCAACCAAGATACATGCCCGTGACCGGAATCGAACCCGGGACCTTTCAGTCCGCAGACCGACGCTCTACCACTGAGCCAAACCGGTTTCGGCTAATTGGTCCTTTTTCATATCCTTGAGGGTCTCACTAAATTTCTTAGAGGTTTCTAGAAGACTCTTGAGTAACTTTATAACTGTGGTTTTGAACTCTGTGTCAAGTTGTTTGCTTTCCTACATTTCTTTCATTTGTGACTTGTTTCTCGTCTCCACATTTTCACTGCTTCCCTGTGTTGGTAGAGTAACTTTGTATGCTAGGTGTCCCATAGGACCCAATGTCTCAGCCTCACATGGTGACACTCTTAATGGACACTCTTAGTGCACCCTTTGTGGGCTGAGTGCACAGTCTTGTAGTTAAGCCTTGATTGTCGTGGTATCATTGGGAGGAATTGATTTCCAGGCCAGTTGACTGTGAGGACTAGCTGTGTCTACATTGGGAGATCTGCTGTGCTGGAGACACCCTTGTGGACCAGGTCTTGCTTAGTGGGGCTTTGGTGCTCACTGAGTCTTCCCCTTGAGTGTGTCGCTTATGGATGTGTAGAGTTGTAATCTGGTATGGGTACATTGGCTCTTGGATCTCCATGGAGGTGCAAAGACAGCCACTGCCTGAGGCCACTCAGCAGGAGCTACAGAAAGATCTGCAGATTCCTCCTGTTTGTTTGGGGTTTGAAAGTGCCTAGATGAGGCCCAGCTGTGAAGCAATGCAGGCTGTCACTGCAGAGCCTTAGGCCTTCTTTTGCAAGCTTTGGAGCTCTCTGACCCAGCTGCAGTTGGTTAGGTTTTAGGTTGCAAAAGGACAGGCCATTCCTATGTAAAACAACAACAGCACACACCCAATTGGCAGCCCGTTTCAAGCAGGCCTCCATATCTACGCATCTCCTACCCGTCTCCCTCCACTTTTCTCTTTCCTTCTAGTTGTAGAACTTTTAGTCAGCCAAGCTTTCCCATGGTTCTGGGTGATATCCGTTTTGTCTTTTAGTTGTAGTTTTGATGTGGTTGTGAGAGGCAGTAAGTACGGGTGTTGACCTATGCCGCCATCTTGGTGGTTTTCCTCATTGCATAGTTTAATGTAAAAAATAAATTTTAAGAAAGCTGGTTTTATAATAATTTGGTATATATTATGCATTTATCTAAAGTTTCCTCCTTTTGCAGGTACTATCATTTTACAAATGAGGACATTTATTTCGTGTCTAGTGGAGCCCCTCATTTTACATGTGATAACTAAGGTTCAAGCTGCACCTGACTTGTGGACGTTGCACGGTTAATCATTTCAGAACCAGAGCTCACATGACTAATTCCTTGTCCGGTGCTGCACCTTCCCACGCGTTCTTTGGACACCAAGCTTCTCAAATAGAATATTGGTTCTGTACTGTGAATGCATTTTAAGATTTATATTATTTGGAGTTTTCTTCGTGTGTTTTCACCTCTTTCTTATTATACTTCAGTTGCTGTACAGTAATGGCTTTCCTCGTCTCATTTGGACTCTTTTTCCACTTGGCTTTACCATTTTAGTGTGTGTGTGTATTTGTGTGTGTGTGTGTGTGTGTGTGTGTGTGTGTGTGTGCGCGCGCGCGCGTGCGCGATAGCTTTTTGAACTCTGTCAATGACTCCAGCCAACATCATGAGGTGTTTGTTTTGTGTATATGGTGTATGTTTGCTGGAACTGGAGGTATTTTTCATTAGTAACCATGCCTCCGTGTGTATAATTTGCCTTTTAATTTACTTCTTCCACTCCCCCCCCACCCCAAGTAATGCTCTCCTTTCGTAGCATCCCTTTAGCTATAACATCGACTATTTGGTCATCTTAAAAAATGTGACTATGTTGTATTTACTTGTACATATGACTTGCATACACTTAGTCCCTATTTTTTACTTAGCTTATCATTTTATTTTATTTTTTTATTTCTTAAATATATTTTATTGATTTTTTTTTACAGAGAGGAAGGGAGAGGGATAGAGAGTTAGAAACATCGATGAGAGAGAAACATCGATCAGCTGCCTCCTGCCCACCCTCTACTGGGGATGTGCCTGCAACCAAGGTACATGCCCTTGACTGGAATCGAATCTGGGACCCAAAGTCCAACTGAGTTAAATCGGTTTCGGCTTAGCTTGTCATTTAAATCTAATTTTTCCTCGAACTACTTGTTTTACTGTCAATAAGGACTGTAAATGTTTATGGAGCCCTTGCTGGGACTGAAATTCTGCAGCACGTCTCTTTTCCTAGTGAGACATTTGCACCGTTACCATTTATGTGAGAGTGGCCCATATGGATCTTGGTCATCCCAGCATGCTCCGCAGTGGACAGTCAATAAATCCCCTTTGGGGAATGTTCTTTGAGTGATCTCTGTAGGGCATTTCTGCAAGACTGTGCAGATAAGTGGCCTGACTCCCAGTTGGGAATTCATGATTTTATTCCTCATGCTGTTCCTTCAAGTAACACCTACCATAGGTTTCTGCTCTGGGCTTCTCAAGGTTGCCTCATCTTTTTAATCCTCACAGTGACTCATTTCTGAGTTTCCCATTTAATGAGAGGCCTGGGACAGACAGACTGCTTCCTCCTGCCACAGAGAAACACTGCCACCTGAAATGCTTCCTGCCAGAAGGGCTGTGCATTGCTGTTAGGCATCAATGTCTTTTTTTGTTTATTTTTGTTAATCCTCACCTGACGCTATTTTTCATTGGTTTCTAGGGAGAGTGGGAGAGAGAGGGAAAGACGGAGAGAAACATCGATGTGTTTGAAACACATCGACTGGTTGCCTCCTGCACGAGCCCCGATCAGGATCAGGGCCCAGGCTGGGGAGGAGCCTGCAACCCAGGCACAACATGCCCTTGACCAGAATTCAACCTAGAACCCTTTGGTCCGCAGGCTGACGCTCTGTCCACTGAGCCAAACCGGCTAGGGCGGCACTGAAGTCAGTTTTTTAAAGTCTGCATTGCCTTGCCAAACAGGAAATATATTTTAGATCTTACTGCATTAGCTGGTTGACTTGCAAGCTCTGCTCTCCAATCCACTCCTCCGTGTGTCTGTCTGTCTGTCTGTCTGTCTCTCTCTCTCTCTCTCTCTCTCTCTCTCTCTGTGTGTGTGTGTGTGTGTGTGTGTGTGTGTCTCTCTCTCTGCAGGTTTTTAAAAAGTTAGGAAAAATACATAATGTTCATGTCAGTAGGGGAACTGGCTGGCTAAGAAAAACTTGTAATGATATTGTACGTTGAACAGTCACTGTGTTAAGCAGGCAGATATAGGTATTTTCCTCCTGGAGGGAACCAGCCCTGCTGAAATGCACGGGGTGCAGTCTTCCACATGGCGTTTAGGCTCTTGAGAAACTTCTCCCGTTGGTGTTGCTCAGTTATTCATTGTCCTTAGCTTCTAAGTATCTTAGAACTAGAAGGGAAGGAATTACTCAGTCACAACACCAACAGTTAGGAGAGAGAGCATTCTGAGAATTCCCAGTCCTTGGGGTGACCACAGATTTAATAAGGCCTTAGCCATGCTTTCAGCACTGAAACACTCCCATCAACACGTCTCAGTGAGTGTCCAAGACTTGCCAAATGCCTGGCCTTATTACAGAACCTTGTCCTTATCTGCAACGTTAGCCAAAGTAAACAGCCTTTCCTTTCCCAATTGAGCTTTTAAAGTGAATATTGGTGCAGATAGACAGCTACGGACAGGTACCAGTATACATAGATAGGTCAGGGTTTTCCCAGGACACTAACACAGAACGGGTAGGACATCCTAAAGGAAAAATATGTTTACTGTAATTTGAGGGTCAGTATGTGTTTATTATTACTGCTAAGAGGCCCGGTGCACGAAATTTGTGCATGGAGGGGGGGGAGGGGTGCTCCTCAGCCAGCCTGCATCCTCTCCAATCTGGGACCCCTTGAGGGTCGGATATCCCTCTCATAATCCAGGACTGCTGGCTCCCAACCGCTCACCTGCCTCTGCCTGATTGCCCCTAATCCTTTCTGCCTGCCAGCCTGATCATTGCCTAACTGCTCCAGACCAGCCCAATTGCCCCTAACTTACCTCCCCTGCCGGCCTGGTCTGATCGCCCTCCCTGCTGGTCTGATCGCCCACAACTATCCTCCCCTAAAAGCCTGGTCCCCTCCAGCTGCCCTCCTCTGCTTGCCTGGTCACCCCTAACTGCCCTCCCCTGCAAGCCATCTTGTAGCAGCCATATTTGACCACATGGGGTGGCCATCTTGTGTCTTGGAGTGAGGTCAGTTTGCATATTACTTTTTTATTAGAAAGGATTTCAATGTGGATTTATGAGGAGGAAGAGATGAGTATTGAAAGAATAAACTGGTAGGTCAGTAAAGTCAGCTGATCCACTTGGGAGTAAAGGAAGGAGGAGAAAGGTGACACTATTTCGGCAGAACTGGTTGATGGTGGGTGATGTCCGTCTCTGGGTGTCAGCGGAAGGACTGTGAATGGAAAATGCTAGAGCAAGGCCACCGTCCCAGCTTCCTGGTGACCTTCATTAGCGGTCCTCTTCCCAGACCCATGTTCATGCATGCAATCTTGCCCACAGCTTCCATCGGGCTAAATGAAGAGCAGAAAGGATATCAGAAAGTGGCCTTTGACTTTGCAGCCCGGGAGATGGCTCCACACATGGCAGAGTGGGACCAGAAGGTAGGAGTTTTCCTTGCGTCTCGATATACCAACAATTGCCTTTCCTTCCTCTGCTTGTCATCTTAAGTGTTCGGTGTGTAATCCCCACCTGCGCGCGAAAGTACTGGTAACGATGGGATTCCTTTCCTCGGGGCATCCTCCTCATCCTGTTTTATTTAGTTTAGCTTATATTTAGTTTATATTCAGACACTTCTAAAGCCAGAACAGTTGTAAATAATGAAAGAAACCGGAACGCTGGAAAACCGGTTCTCTCAGAAGGCTTTTTAACGGATACCCCGGCATAGCTGACAGATGGGCATAGGAAGCGGAGAGAATCCCCCTGAGGATCGCTTACCGCCGACCCCCTCTCCGGTACACAGGAACTGTTCCCCGTGGACGTGATGCGGAAGGCGGCCCAGCTGGGCTTCGGCGGGGTCTACGTACGGACAGACGTAGGTGGGTCTGGACTGTCCCGGCTCGATACCTCCGTCATCTTTGAAGCCTTGGCGACGGGCTGTACCAGCACCACCGCCTACATAAGCATCCACAAGTGAGTGCCCGCATTTGGAAAGCACAGCCAAGTCTCGCCTGGGTTGACCGGGAAGTTTCCAATACTCAGGGAAAAGGCTGATCTTCTCAGAACCCCACAAGCTCTCCTTTCCCAGGAGGTCTGCTGCCACCTGTCAGACTCGAGTCTGTTATCTAGTGTGTTCTCAGAGAGGCAGGCCTCCTGCCTTCCCTCAAGGCTGAGGAGGAGAGGGACCAAGCACCCATCGGGGCCCTGCTCCCCTGTTCCTCAGGCCCAAGGGGAAACCTCCAGGACTCTGGGGAAGTACCCCAGCTCTGTGAATGTTAGGGAGCTCCGTTAGCCTAGTTAGAAGCAGCGTGAACATCCGAGTGAGAACTACGTCGCTGGCTGAGTTCCAGGAAGAGGTTTCCGATCCAGGCCTTTCCTTTCCAGTTGAATCTTCTCAATTGTGACTTTTTCACTGTCTCTTCTGTTTCTGTCCACTTCTCACTGTCTCTTCCTGCCTTTGTTTCCCCCCACCCCCACCCCTGCCCTCTCAAATGTCCTTCTCCATTCTCATCTCTGGGTCTTTTCTTCTCGCCATGCCTGTCAGCATGTGTGTCTGGATGATCGACACCTTTGGCAATGAGGAGCAGAGGCACCGGTTTTGCCCGCCGCTCTGCACCATGGAGAAATTTGCTTCCTACTGCCTCACGGAGCCAGGTGGGTTTGCTGTTCTCCAAGTGGGATGTCACTCAGGCACAGTCACTGATGTCACTCAGGCATGGTCACTGAGCACTCCTTAGCGCATTGACACACAGAACTGGGTACTTGCCAAGAGGAACAGATCGCCATGACTTGATGATGGTACGAGACTAAGAAGCCATGAGGGCACCGTTTTTCTAGGACAGCGTTCGCCAACCGGTGGCCCGCGGACCACTGGTGGCCCATGAGGTCCGAAAGGTTGGCGACTGCTGTTGTAGGAGGCTCCCTCTAACCTGGGAGATGGAGATGGAAACAGCCTGAACATATATGCAATTTGCACTCAGTACAAAGAGTCCCTTTGGCCATCTGGATTTTAAAGTACCACGCTCTGAGTTTGTTTATAAGGGAAGGTTTCCTAGGAGATGGGACCAAGCTGGGGCTCCCTTCACCTCACTGACTTCCTCCCCCACCCTCTCCTGTCTCTCCGGTCCCTGCCTTAGGAAGTGGGAGCGATGCTGCCTCCCTTTTGACCTCAGCTAAACGGCAAGGAGATCATTACATCCTCAATGGCTCCAAGGTACCAGCACGCTCTCCTCCCGGAGCAACTTGAGATTGTCCCCATCTTCTTGCTGACCCCGCTTGGATCCTTGCTGTCTGCGAGTTGATAATCCCGTGGGATTTTTATATGTTGGGAAGAGAGCCTCTGACCGCTTCCTTTATTCCCCTTCCCTGGTTCTGTCTCTTCTGATTATTCCCGATCATTCCATTAGTTTGTGTCTATGCTTCTTAGAGTCTCTTCAACTAGACTTCTCATTCCCTGCTTTCCCAGTCAGTACCGTTTCTCTGCGCCCCTTCTTACACCTGAGCCATTGTACCGCTTGGTGCAAGCATGTCAAACTCGCGTTGGTGGGCCGCATTCAACGGGGCGGGCGGCTACACGAGTTTGACATGCTTGTCTCAGTGTCCCGTGGTCGGGAGGGCCCCAGGTGTTTTCCCAGATGGCAGGCTCTGAGGACCCAAGTGTCCCTGACCCCTGTGCTCACCCCCCGCCCCCCACAGGCCTTCATCAGCGGTGGAGGGGAGTCGGACATCTATGTGGTCATGTGCCGGACGGGAGGGCCAGGCCCCAGAGGCATCTCGTGCATAGTGGTGGAGAAGGGGACGCCTGGCCTCAGCTTTGGCAAGAAGGAAAAAAAGGTAAGTGGCTGTTGGCAAGCGATCCAAGCTCTGGGACGACCCCCGCCAGACCACGCTGTGCTCCATTGCGCTGTTTGACGAAGTAGCTTCTCGTGTTTTCCAACTTGCCCTGGAGGCAATTGCTTCTAGAAGGACTCTGACGGGAACATAACATAGAATAAGGCATTGTCCGCACAACCCTAGGCCACTGGTGACAGTGGCAGTTGGCCCGTCAGTCCGCAGCTGCCTGTGCTTCACTGTGAGTGACTCCTCTGTCATCTCTCCTCTTGCCATTGTGGCCTGTGTTTCTCATCCAGCTTCTGTTATCCCAAGAATACATATGTATAGAAGTCTCAGAAATGATGTAGATGGGCCCCTTTTATTCTTTACGTAAAAATGAAGTATAATTCACTGGAGATAAGTGTGTGTGTTTCAGCCATGGTCAAAGGGAGAGGATTCCCATGGGTGCTCTGGGAAGACATTGCTAGGATTAAGGAGCAACTCCCTTATGTAAGGGAATAGCGAGGCCACAAAAAAGTCCAGGTTGACTTGGCGAAAGTTGAAGAATACGGCTAGCTAGTTAGTTGCATGGCATGGACTAGATCTCGGATCTTCAAAATTTCCTCTGGGCTCATGACTGGCATATTCAAGGTATCCTGGCAAATCAGCTAGCTAGCAAAAACCAAAACCAAAAACCCTCATGGTTCGCTAATTTCTGTGGTTTAAATACTCCCACTGTGGCCGATTTCAAGCCACTGATGTGATGTCACAGAAGCCGAGGTAGGAGATGTGCTTAACTGGCTCTCGGGAACCGGTGCCCACACGGCACTGGCTCTGCAGCTAAGCGCTTCACTAGGTGGCGCCCGCACAGTGAATGCCAGTCAGACCACCCTCGACGGACACTAAGCTCATAAGAGAAGTGTAGCTATTGTTAATAACCCTACTACTGTCCCATGTATCACAGATCACCCACATCGTTCTTATATTATCTGTGTTCTTTATAAAACAGTGTCACACAGAGGCACGGAACGGTGGCAGTCCTGCCCAATCCCAAGGGAAATTGAGAGAAATGCTTCTGAGTTGGTTCGTTCGGGAGAGCGGACATTAGAAAACGGATGCTTTCATGTGTTAAAAATAAAATGTTTAGCTGAGAACAAAAAAAAAAAACACCTGTCAGACGTTTCCCAGGCTCTGTCACAGAGGGCACGGCCCTGAGGGGGAGGGGCTGGGCAGCCACGGGGTCCCTGATCTTTGCTAGGTGGGGTGGAACTCCCAGCCAACCCGCGCCGTGATCTTTGAAGACTGTGCGGTCCCTGCGGCCAACAGGATTGGGAACGAGGGGCAAGGCTTCCACATCGCCATGAAAGGCCTGAATGGAGGGAGGATCAACGTCGGTGAGCACTCTGGGGGCCAGGGCGGGGAGGGCGGGGGGGGTGGGGGGGGCCGTGGGCTGGGGCGGGCAGCACTGTCCTCCGGCTGAATCCAAGTGTCTCGCTTTTCCTTCTAGCTTCTTGCTCTGTCGGGGCTGCTCATGCTTCGGTCACCCTCGCCCGAGACCACCTCAATGTCCGGAAGCAGTTTGGAGAGCTTCTGGCCAATAACCAGGTAACTGCCCAGGCCTGGCCCAAGACCTTAATCTGCACCCCCTGTTTTCCAGGAGAGTGTGGGATTCTGCCCCGTTTTAGCCGGAGCCTGTGCTCTGTCAGTAGTTTTTACCAGAGGCAATAACATCATTGCAGGGGCCTGAGCTTCAGGCGGTGCATTTTCTCTGCAAGAGGCAGCAGGCTTTGAGGCTGCGAGCCGCTTAGGAAAGGTGCCTCGTTGAAGATCTTACAGAGGCCCCAGCTCAGAGGCTGCTGGGAGCCCTCCGCTGGACTGGTTCTCTTCCCCCTCCTGCCCTAGTACCTGCAGTTCAAACTGGCTGATATGGCCACAAGGCTGGTGGCCTCGCGGCTGCTGGTCCGCAGCGCGGCGGTGGCTCTGCAGGAGGAGCGGGACGACGCGGTGGCCCTGTGCGCCATGGCCAAGCTCTTCGCTACAGACGAGTGTTTCGCTGTAAGTGATGACACGCTCGGCTCTCCCGTGACCTGGGAGCAGCTGCTGGGTCAGCTCCCGGGATGCTGCAGGGAGCCATCGCCTTGGGGCTCAGGGATAAGAGTTAACTCGGGAGGGCCTGCAGGGGGCGCCCCAGCTGGCTTTTCACCTGGTCCCAGGCGGCCACACAGGCTCCTCTGTCCCTGCTCTTCGGTTGTGTGCTCGCTGAGACCTGCCTTTGGAAGAAGGTGCAGAGCAGCCCAGTGCCTCCTGCTCCCATGTGCTGTTTACAATGCCAGGGGCAAGGCCATGCCACACCGAGGCTGTGTTGGTGCCACTAGATGGCACCTTAGCCTCGTAGAACCCCAGCCGGGGCGGTGGCAGATGGCTCCTCCCTGCGAGCCAGGAATGCAGGCCTCTGCTCTGCCTGTTGGATGGGGACTGATGTTCAGCAGGTGGACGTCCTTGTCTCTGACCACAGAGCGTGGCGCCCCTTTCGGTTTGGCTGGTCATCTGGAGGTGGCTCTTCTCTTTCTCATGTCAGTTCCCAGCAGCTTGCGGGCTGGGGTGGAGAGAGCAGCCGACTCCCTGGGTTAAAGATGCCTCATCTGTGTCTCCCTGCAGATCTGCAACCAGGCCTTGCAGATGCACGGAGGCTACGGCTACCTGAAGGACTACGCCGTCCAGCAGTACATGCGGGACTGCAGGGTCCACCAGATCCTGGAAGGTAAGCCTCCCAGAGTCCGTTCCCTCCCTCCAGGGCACCCCCGGGATGGCAAGCCAGGCCCTGTCAGCAGCACCTTCCTGCCTGCCGCCTCCTGCCCCCTTCCAGGAGGACCTGGGCTGCCCCCAGAGGGCACCAGAATGGGAGTCACTTCTCTTTTCGTCTTTTTCTTTGTAAGCTTTAGAGAAGGCTTAAGCTGATGATTTATGAGAAAACATTTTTGAAAACGCTAACGACGACTATTCTTGACGGTTGTAAAGTAAGTGCTTGGTCCTCAGAAATCCCTTGACTTCTGTATGGTGATTTAAAGGTCACATGAGCCAGTGTGATCACCGCTGCCTTTCCAGACCGGTGACCTGCCAGATGGTAAAAGACCTTTCTGTCAATATTGCTACTGCATTTTTCAGTGAAATAGTCATCAGTCTATGGGCATCTTCTTGGTCATCACACATTCAGGTGGGGAAAATGTGTAAGGCTTAACTGCAAGCTATTAGTCACGCCCAGACCTTGGCCTTCACTCTTCTTGACGCCCCTTCACTGTTGTTCCAGCCAGCGCAGGGGTCCGGGTTGTTACCCTGTAGGAAAAGCTGGCGGGCAACGGCTTGTCTGAGCGACTCTCAGCGGAAGGACGGGGGGCTGCCTTCCTGGGCGTAGCAGAGGCCTCTGAGCACCGGCTCTTCTGCGCTTCACAGCCGCCTCCACAGCCCTGAGCACACCGAGAGTCACTGGCGGGCTGTGAGAACATGGCTGGGCCCCACCTCCGGGGTTTCTGTCTCGGGGTCTCAGGTGGCCAGAATTTGCATCTGTAGCAAGCTTCCAAGTGGGGCTGCTGCTGCTGCTTGCCTGAGAGCCACACTCGCACACCTCATCCCAAGTGTGTGTTTCTGAGCGCAATTCTAGCGCTCAAATAATCAGTCATACTCCTCTCCTGCAGTGTCCTCTGCTCCTGCCATCCCTTTCTCACCAGCGTTATGAGTGGGGGAAACTGGACCTTCATTTAACCCAGCCTTTACCCCCTCAGAGGAAGTGGGAAAAGCAGGCACTTCTGTATCCGGCCACACGTCATCCACTCGTGGAAAGACCCAGCACTGATCTTTCTCTATCATGGGCCTTGTGATTGCATCAATCAGGAAGTTTAGACTTGATTTTTTTTGAGGTGTGTGATTACTCGTCCCTCAAGGGCTTCTGTTTCTCTCTGCATTGGAAGCCATTGTAAAAATGAAGCAAGCCATTCACACACACACACACTGGGTCAGGGAAAATGTTCTTTTAAAATTGAGTGTTTTGATTACCAAAGAAATTGATGTATTTATTGTTGAAAATTTATAAAATATAGGATAAGTTAAAAAAAAAAAAAATTACTATGGCCGAAACCGGTTTGGCTCAGTGGTACAGTGTCGGTCTGTGGACTGAAAGGTTCCAGATTCGATTCCGGTCAAGGGCATGTACCTTGGTTGTAGGCACATCCCCGGTAGGGGGTGTGCAAGAAGCAGCTGGTCAATGTTTCCCTCTCATCGACGTTTCTAGCTCTCTATCTCTCTCCCTTTCTTTCTGTTAAAAAGTCAATAAAATATATTTTTTAAAAATCACTTATGTTTCCACATCTAGAATGAATAATTTGGGCTTTTTTCATATGTAAGTCCAAACACATCTCCTTTGGTCTTTTTCTATGCTTTGATAGGTACATCTAAAAAAAAAAGAATTATACTATATATATCATTTTTTCTTCTTTTATCTAATACAAGCACTTTACCATCAGGAGAGGTTTCTTTATTTAAAGAATAGTTTATTGCCGAAACCGGTTTGGCTCAGTGGATAGAGCATCGGTCTGCAGACTGAAAGGTCCCAGGTTCAATACCGGTCAAGGGCATGTGCCTTAGTTGTGGGCACATCCGCGATAGGGGGTGTGCAAGAGGCAGCTGGTTAGTGCTTCTCTCTCATTGACGTTTCTAGCTCTCTATCCCTCTCCCTTCCTCTCTGTGGAAAATCAATAAAATATATTTTTTTAAAATAGTATATTGATTTTTAGAGAGAGAGGAAGGGAGTAGGGGAGAGAACATTCATCAACTGCCTCTTGCACGCCCCCTACTGGGGACAGAGCCCACAGCCTGGGCGCAGGCCCAACTTGGAATCAAACCAGCACTCCTCTGCTGCACGGTATGATGCACCACCTACTGAGATTCACTGGCCAGGGCAGGAGCGGTTTTTGTGAAAGTAAATGTAATCCTCACTTTCTCACCTTCCTCTGCACTTTGGAGAAAAGTCTGTGGCGATTTGGTCCCCTGCCGGCGGGATAAAAGCAACCATAGTTTGCATCATGCCCACCCTGAGCGAGGCGTGGACACCCTGGTCAGACCCCACAGAGTTCTCAGGCCGATTTCACTGCTACTCACGCCTGCCTTCTGGCTCCTCCCTCTTCCAGGCAGCAACGAGGTGATGAGGATGCTGATCTCGCGGAGCCTGCTCCAGCAGTAGCCCAGACGTGCTCTGCCCCGTTGTGGACTGTGCACTTGAATTAGGGTGGACTGGCCCGCTCTGGGCGGTTCTGTTACAAATGAGTCATAATAAGGTCATAGGACCGAGCCCTCCTTGGAGGACCTCCCTCAGTGTCCGCAGCAGGTACGGCGTCATCGGAGGCCTGGAGGAGCGGCCTGTGTTTCCTGAAGCTCAAGGTGACTGATGACGGGTCAGCGACCATGGTCCTCTCTGCATCCACATCGTCTGGCTCTGCCTGCGTGTGCTGGTTCACCGGATCCTCCTCCTGGAAGCTGGGTGCTCCGTGCAGGGTATTTCTATTTATAAAGCAACGGTGTGGGGAAGGGGAAGTGGAGGAAAGCGTTGTTTTCCGTCCCCTGCACCTCAGCTGGAGATGCAGGCTCCTGTGGGCACACTTCCTCCATAGCACACCTCTGAAGTAAACGGGCCTTAGGGGAACTTGGCCCTGGCTATGACTTAAGGTGTCTGGATGTCTGGACCACCTGAATCAAGGCCTGAGGTGATCTGGACCTTTGAAGGTTTGCTTTCTTTTAAAGAAGCATCTAGGAATAGTGTTCAAAGTTTCTAGAACCATTTCTAGGAAGTACTTGGGATATATTTTTTCTATCTACATTTTTTGTTTTTGTTTTATGAAGCTATTACTCTTTTTAAAGGTCTTTGATTGATAAATAAAATTTATCCCTTTCTGTACCATCTCAAGCTCCACTGAAGTTGGTTTTTATTCTTTCTCTCAGCCTTTACAACTATTTTTTTTAAATGTATTAAACACAACTAGATTTTGGAATAAAAAAAAAAAATAACTCTAGACCTAATTGGTTTTTAAAAAAAATAGTTCCCTGGACCCGGCCAGTGTGGCTCAGTTGGTTGGAGTGTCATTGCATACACCAAAGGTTGCAGATTCGATTCCCGGTCGGGACACATACCCATGTTGTAGGCTCGATCCCTGGTTAGAAGGCAATCAATCAATCAGTGTTTCACATTATTGTTTCTCCCTCTCTCCTTAAGTGAGGATTTTTAAGTTTCCTTAAATTACTTAGTTTTATTAACTAAGCATTGTTTGATTTATGAAAGATTTAAAGTAATATTCAAAGATGGAGACTTTACTGAGAACCGTTATAAATGTTGATTCTATTACTCTATCCCCTCATCTCTATAAAAAAAAAATACCCAAAATATTTTGTTAACTACAAGTCAGGGTTTAGAGAGACCAAAATATACCTCTTTAGCTATGACAAATACGTTCTGTTTTGATTGCATATTCTCTGTAAGGACCTGTGCTGGGCCCTGCAGAGGGTATGGTAAGCTGCAAACTTTAAATTCAAAGGCCTCGTTTAGCAGCTGTAGTACCAGGTAATGGCAGGCCTACAGAGGAGTGTGAGCTGGAAAGTGATTACATAGGATGAGATACCTGAAGATGGTAGAAATCCGATGTAAGCTTTCATGAAAAGAGAACCAAGACAGTTGGTTTCAGACCGGAAAGGAACAGGAAAAGGAAAGGATTTATGTAGGCGCTGTTGACAGTTATGCTTCGGAGTTGACAAAGGAAAGAAAGAAAATGCAAGTAGATTCTGCAGGGAGAGTCAGCCTGGAGCCGGTGCAAGCTCTCGGGTGCTGCTCGAAGTGGGGCGTCTGCTCCATTCTAAGCCATGAAAGAACATTCCATCCGGTTCCATTCTTTCCCTTCCCACCCATAGCTTGTCACATGTCACCGGGCTTCCGGGATTTGATTTCCGGTGGGAAGGACTTGTCCATGGGGTCTCCCACTCTGCTCTCTGGCCTCCGAATCGCTCTTCCTGCCGGCGGCAGTTAGGAGTTGGGAATTGATGAAGTGGGGACACAGGCGCCATTCTGCTCCATCTCTTGGTCAGAAGGCTGTGGCAGTGACCCTTGGGCTGCCCACACTCACCTGGCGAGCATCAGCCACGCACTGCTTGATCATAGCTCCCAGGATAAGACGTCTGTACGAGTGCCGAAGGGAAAACAAATCTTGGGGAAGAAGGATGTATATGGAAATGTTAAATAAATCAAAAAAGGATGGGCACTGGGAATTGTACAGCGGAGCTAATGAAAATAGGATCATAGTGGGAAGAAATGGCAAAGCCAAAGTTAATATTTTTATAAAACATGTAATGGACATTTTTGGGCGATATATGAAAAGACATATGAAAGACAGAAGAACAAAGTTTATTATAAATGAAAGGAATACATAAATATAGGACAGCAGAGATAAAATGCAATACATCAGGAACAAATTCAAAATATGTAGAAATTGAAGAAAAATTCAAAATATGTAGAAACTAAAGAAAAACTTAGAATAAATATAACATTCCTGAATCGTCATATGAAGACATGACGCCCTCCGACTGGCAGGCAGCTGGGCAGCGTGGCTCAGGCTCTCCGCCTTCCTGAGGCAGCACCAGCGGCCCCCTCAGGCCCAGAGCGGCAGCTGCACCGCCTCAGAGGGGTCCCCACGGAGGGCGGTCACAGCAGCACAGTGGACAGGGAGAAGCATTTCCAGGGAGATGGCACCTATAGCAGGCAGTGGCCCAGCATGGTGTCCCGGCTCCGGGCTGCAGGGGGCAGCTGCAGGCAGAGGCCCAGGGTGGTGTCCTGGGTCCTGGCTGGGTCAATGAAGGCTGCGGGTCGGCTGTTGGCGGTCTTGGGTCCAGGGTGATGTCCCAGGTCGGGGCTGGGCCGATCAGGCGGCGGGTTGGCAGCTGACGGGCTGGGGCCCCGGGTGGTGTCCCGGGTCCCTGCTGGACCTATGGAGGCATTGGGTTGGCGGTTGTCCGGCTGGGGCCCAGTGTGGTGTCCCGGGTCCAGGCTGGGCCCATGAAGGCAGCGGGTCGGCGGCTGGCGGGCTCTGGGCCAGGGTGGTGTCCCCGCTGCGGGCCGGGCCGGTGGAGGCAGCAGGTGGGCGGCTACTGGCGGGCTGGGGCCCAGGGTGGTGTCCCGGGTCCGGGCTGGGTCGATGAAGGCAGCGGGTCAGTGGTTGGCGGTCTTGAGTCCAGGGTGGTGTCCTAGGTCCAGGCTGGGCAGATGGAGGCGGAGGGGCCCAAGGTGGTGTCCTGGGTTCAGACTGGGCAGATGGAGGCGGTGGTGCCCAGGGTGGTGTCCCAGATCCAGGCTGGATCGATGAAGGCAGCGGGTCAGCGATTGGCGGTCTTGGGTCCAGGGTTGTGTCCCAGGCCGGGCTGGGCAGATGGAGGCGTCGAGGCCCAGGGTGGTTTTCCAGGTCTGGGCTGGGCAGATGCAGGAGGTGGGGCCCAAGGTGGTGTCCCGGGACCGGGCTGGGCCGATGGAGGCAGCGGGTCGGCGGCTGGTAGACTGGGGCCAGGGTGGTGTCCCGGGTGCAGGCTGGGCTGCAGGTGGAGGCGGCAGCCGGCGGCCCAGGGTGTCCCTTGACTAACATTCTCATCTATGTGAGTAGGCATTCATTGATGATAATGGTTAAAAGGGAAGCAATGGTTAAATCATCGTCTAACAAGAAGTACTTAATAGATGAATTAAAAATGAAAACCACATTCCTTCTATTAATATGTGATGATTTATTTCACAAAACAGATAGCAATGTTTGTGTTTGTTTTTCCATGCATGAAGCAAACTAAGTCAGTTCATGGATACTATAACAGCCAATTCAATAGTGAATTGGGAAGAAAGGATATTTTGTCCATTTTAATATATATTTTTTAAAACGCCCTTGATCAGGCCTCATCCGGTTTGGCTCAGTCGATAGAGCGTCAGCCTGAGGACTGAAGGGTCCTGGGTTTGATTCTGGTCAAGGGCATATGCCTTGGTTGCAGGCACATCCCCAGTGGGGGGCTTGCAGGAGGCAGCTGATGGATGACTCTCTCATTGATGTTTCTAACTATCTGTCTCCCTTCCTCTCTGTAAAATGTCAATAATATATTAAAAAAACAAAACACTTATGTTATGTGGCTCAACCTTATAATAACCTCATAAAACAGGTGCATAGTTCATCGCCTTTTGATAGGCAGTTAAGGAATAAGCTTATGGTCACAATGCGATTAAGCCACAGAGCTAGGATTGGATCCGGGCAGCCTGACCCAAACCCCGTGTTTCTCAGCATCATCCCATAACAAATACAGATATCTTACACGTGCCCGCTATGTCTCTGCACACTTCACATCGGACCAGGAACCGAGGCTGAGCGAGACTAGAATTGGGATGGACTGTTGGTTCTCTGAGCAAACAAGGACGCAGTGGCTCTCCTAGTAGAATAAGCATTGACAGCGTTCTCACTCGGGTCGGGCAGGGAAATGCTTGCTAATTTTCACCTACCTCTTCAATGCCTCCTCACATAAAGGTTGGAGGACGAGAAACAAACACAATCTGGCAAGAAGTGCTTTTTATTTCTTGCTTTTATAACAATGCAGGCTTCCTCTTTGGGAAGATAATTCATCGGAAAATACATTGGCTGCGAGAGAAACATAGTCATGTAAGTATATATATTTTAAATCAGAATCTCCAAGGTAGGGTAGCTGTTTCATTCATTTCCAGGGCCATTCATTGGTTTCTCCAAACAAAATCCACCTTTTTGGCCTTACCTGTGCCAATGCTTAATGATTTTAAGAACATTCCAATAAATCAACTCTTTGTCTGTAATCTATCAGAACATAATATCTATGTGATCAAATATAACTTTTTAAAGATAAGGCCAATGTAAGTGGTTTAACCATTACTTAATGAGATATACAATATAACGGACTGCATTCTGCAGGCTATACTTTACGTCCTGGGTGCTGTCACTATGAGACTTCTCCCTCTATCGGTTATGAGCCCGTGGAAGACTTCCACTCACCCCTCCCTCCCAAACCCAGGGCAGCGTGCACGTCTTGTACACTCACCTTGTCAGCTTCTTACGTGTGATGTGGACTCACCAGGGAGACACTAGGAGAGCAACATTTCAATAGAACAGAACGGAGGGGGCCTTACCGGAAGGCGAGGTCTTTTTGTTCCTGGAAAATGTGTCTCGGAGAACGTCTCAGTTGAACCTAGGGAAACACAGAGCAACGGTCAGTGCATGGGTGGCTGCTCACCATGAGTCCACTGCTTGCTGTGGACAAGGGGCCATGGTGTAGGGAAGAGGCTGGGTACCAAGTACGGATGAGGCAATGCTGGGTGGTCATACTGGGTGGGAAAGATGCCAAGGAAGAAGAGAAGTAAAGGTATGAGTTGAGAAATCCTTTTTATTAATGTGTTTTTTATTGATTTCAGAGAGAAAGGGAGAGGGAGAGGGAGAGATGGAAACATCAATGATGAGAGAGAATCATTGATTGGCTTCCCCCTGTTCGCCCCCCATTGGGGATGGAGCATGCAACCAGAGCATGTGCTCTGTCCGGGAATGGAGCCCTGACCTCCTGGTTCACAGATGGATGCTCAACCACAGAGCTACACCAGCTGGGCTGAAAAATCTTGTGATAGGTATTTCCTTACACATGGGAAATGGAACGTGCGGCCGCTATTAAAAGTGCATCAAGTTAGTGATGGAATTCCCACAGTACCTGACACACATTGGTCTATAGGGCGGACCCGGACGGTTCGCCAGTAGAAGCGCCTCCGCACAGACTGGAGCTCCTCTTCTGGATCTCTTACTGTAGGGAAACCCACCGGGAGAGACGGTGAGAAAGGCATTCACACCACACAGCGCTATGGACACCTTGCTGGTGAAAGGCCAGAGGAAAAGCACGAATCATTGTCGGTGCAATAGTTAGCACCCGTTGCGTAAGGGGTTCCCAGAAGTGCCATGTGAGTCAGCGTTGGACTTCAGAAACATCACGGAGTTTTGTGTGCCATGTGAACACCTATCAGAGTGAGTGAGGGACAAACACTTTATTTAGATGAGACCATCGAGAAGGCAGCGGGGCATAACAACACAGACTCTGGGTGCTGGTGTCTCAGGACCTGGGTTCCAATCCCACACAGAAGCCACAAGAACCTGGGAACGTCATGTTGGCTCATTATCCTCCGTTTTCTTCACTGTCACGAGGCAAGGTTCCCCATTCCGAGATTTGTTGGCACACAACTAGCAATGTCTCTGCTGAACAGTCAGCACAGAGAGTGGCCATCAGGACCAGCTAGATACCACCCAGGCCCAGGTGACAGAGCATCCGGGCCTCCAGTGTGACGTCACAGTGCACCCGGGGGCACAGCTGCTGCGGCTCAGAGCCAGACTGTCTCATCCTGAAGGCCAGAGGCACCCAGCGTTCCTCTCCGTCTTTGAGGACAAGATGGACTGAAAAATCCCACAACCCCCAATACAGTCAATTTTGAGAATTTCAAGTTGAGAAAAAATAAAGCAGACCCATTCATTCTCCCACACAAGCCATTGTCAACAATTCTTTTTCTCCAGATGTCTAAAGATTCCACTTCCAGCAGCTATTGGGGCAAAGAACCCCCGCCCTCCCCCGCACCCCATCCTCCCCCCCCACTTTAATAACAATAGTTTCACCAAGACTAATGCCTTTTTTTTTTTTTAAATCCTCTCTTGAGGATATTTTCCCATTTTAGAGAGCACGTGTGAGAGAGGGAAAGACAGAATATCCATGTGAGAGAAACACATCCATTGTTTGCCTCCTGCAGGAACCCTGACCAGGCCGGCGAGGAGCCTGCAACTGAGGTCCATGCCCTTGACTGAAATTGAATCTGGGACCCTTTGCTCCACAGGCAGAGACTCTATACACTGAGCCAACCCGGCTAGCTCTCTGGTAGACCAATAACTTCTAATCTTTTTATCTCAAAGAACGGCCAGTTCTGTCTCTGTTTCCTGTCATCTCCCAAACTGATTTCCTAGGACTCCAGACCCTTCCCTGAGCCTGAGCCCTGAGCTTCCCATCTCAGCCTGACAGTCTCTGTGTAAGAGGGACCCCAGTCTCTCCTGCAGCGGCCCCGCCCACTTCCACGGTGAACAGGCCCTTGTTGGGGGCTTGCTATATGCCAGGCGGGTTTTCAGGTGCAAGGATCCAATAGTGAACTGGACACTCTGTCCGACAGAGAACAGATTTGTGGGAATTGGGTACTTTTCTTTTTTGTTTAAGGAAGAGGTGGGCTGCATGATTTTATTGAAATGTTTTAGCGCAACATTGGAGCTTAAAATCTTATATTCTAAACCCATGGTTGGCAAACTGCGGCTCACAAGTCACATGCGGCTCTTTGGCCCATTGAGTGTGGCTCTTCCACAAAATACCACAGCCTGGGCGAGTCTATTTTGAAGAAGTGGCGTTAGAAGAAGTTTAAGTTTTAAAAATGTGACTCTCCAAAGAAATTTCAGTCATTGTACTGTTGATATTTGGCTCTGTCGACTCATGAGTTTGCCGACCACTGTTCTAAACCAATGCAAGCACTGTAGTTGAACTTGCTCCTGAACTGACATACCTGGCCAAGGAAAGCTAATTTAACTGAATAGAATTTAACGTGGAGACTGAAGAATGTTGGTGCATCTATCTTTCTCTGCCCTACCACCCCCCTTATGGCTAGACATACGGCAAGTCTCCTCCACTCAGCAGAGTCGCACAGGACTGACACCTTTGGTGGCTTCACTTAACATTTCCACTCCATGGGTCACAAGGAATGGGGCGTGCTGGGACGAAGACAGAGTCCTTCTGTTTTTGAACAACTGACTTGATCCGATTACATGATCACACTCTCTCTCCAAAGCCATTTTAAGACTCAGCAAAGCGCTAGTTTCTGGACCTGCAGAAACGATCCTTTCTGACTTCAGCGCCCCCTCTGCTGTAGGACGTTTTTCACCTTGAAGGTTGCTGTTCCAGTTTGCGAGTGACTTTATTTTCCACCCACGGGACTGAGGTCAGAGAGCTTGTTCTGTCCAGGATTCAGCAGGAGGGACGGACTGTCTTGACCGTTCCCAGGCTCTGCCTAGGCAGGCAGATCTTTCTCTTTGGGGCTGAAGAATGGAGTTCCCTGTCCATCAAGTGCATGTGATACAATTCCTGGAGTCAGAGCCAGACTTCTGCCCCCGAGGCCACAGGCCCCCTCCTGAGAGGATGTTGTAAGTAAAGGGCCCCCCTGGCATTCGGTGAATTTCCCCTCCATCCTCACTTTGGGTCTACTTTTTTTTTTTTTTTTTTTAAACATTATCCTAGCAGAGCAACTGATATTTGCTTATCTGTACTTTTTCTTTGTTTTCATGAGCACCTCCTACTCACATTTTTCATGTAACAGCTTTAGTTCAAATCATCAGTTGCCTTGAGGCTTGCTACTTCCAATGACAAAAGGCAAAAGGCTGTTTCATCCAAACGAGTAAAATGATGCTGACCTATGCACTTGGTGGCACGCATACCATTTCACCTTTTTATTTTATTTATTTTTTAATATATGTTATTGATTTTTTTTATAGAGAGGAAGGGAGAGGGATAGAGAGTTAGAAACACAGATCAGCTGCCTCCTGCACACCCCCTACTGGGGATGTGCCCGCTACCCAGGTACATGCCCTTGAGTGGAATCAAACCTGGGACCTTTCAGTCCGCAGGCCGACGCCCTATCCACTGAGCCACACCGGTCGGGGATCACCTTTTTATTGATGTCAAGGCAAAATCAGGCTCTTTGCTATCAAGTTGCTGTGAGGGCGGATCACAACCCCCCTCTCTCTGGAACACGGTGTGGCCCAAGCTGTCCTCCTTCCCTCCCACTCAGGTCTGCCTTTCTGTCTTGGTCGGCTGGTTGGTGACACCCAGTTGAAGGAGGGACCCTCCCGCCTCGCTTCCCTTGAGTAGGCAGTCCCACGCCCCGTGGGCACAGAGCGCTGACCTCGCTGCCCAGAGCCCAGACCTGTTGCTTGGTCCTCCCTGCCCAGCAGCGACTGGACTCCCCCGGACCCCCGGACTCGTGCCACGCCACGGTGGCTCACAGCTCACAGCCCACAGCGCACCTGAACCCGGTCCCCCTGGGGGAGTTGGCGGGAGCAGCGTGGCACCTCGGCGCCTGGCCTCCGGCCATGAGTTCCTCGATGCATTTCAGGTGACTCACCGCCCCTCCCTGGGACCAGGACACTTTGGTCCGCCGCCCTCCTGGACCCTCAGATCTGCCTGAGACGCACCAGCCCCCTTACAGGCTCTTCCCCTCCAGCTTTCTTCCACCGGCACCTTAGTGATGCGTCTGTCCCCTGCCCCAGGGCAGGACACCCTGTCCTTCCTGAGCCTGGTGCCCGAGGGGTCTCCACTGGTCACTGAGCCCTGAGCCCACCCCTTCTCCCCGCCTCCCCAGGGCCCTGCCCCATCTGGCTCCTGAGAGGCTCCTAGGACTGCAGGACTCTCCCCAACTGGAAGGGGCTGCAGAGGGGAGGGGGCTGGGCTAACTGGGAGCCCTGTGTGTGCCCAGCCTCCTGGTGCCCGGGCCCCTCGCCTGCCTGGAGGGCCCCTTGCCTGCCTGGAGGGACGGGTTACGGGCCGTAGATTCGGATGAGGCCAGTGCTGTCTCCTCAGAGTTGTTTCTCCTCTTTCCAGCCCGTGTCTCTCATGGAAAAGAATCCTGAGCGTCTTTATCCTGCCATTGATCTCAGCAGGCTTTGCTCCTCGGGCAACATATAAAGGGAAAAAGAACCTTCCTGTCAAGGAAGCTGGTCCGCAGCCGCAGGAGAGCAGGTCTGCCTGGGGGGAGGGGGATAGGATGGAGGGGGTCCGGGATCTCCTTTTCTGGAGAAAAGAGTATCAGAAGCGTGGACAGAGCTAGCAAGAATGTCTTCCGCTGGGCTTTGGCTGTCTCTCCTCTCTCTTCATCTCTCTCTCTCTTCATCTCTCTCTCTCTTCATCTCTCTTCATCTCTATTTCTTCTTCTTCTTCTTCTTCTTCTTCTTCTTCTTCTTCTTCTTCTTCTTCTTCTTCTTCTTCTTCCTCTCTCTCTCTTCTCTCTCTCTCTCTCTCTCTCTCTCTCTCTCTCTCTCTCTCTCTCTCTCAGCAGGTTTAACTGGTCACATCTGACCCCTCTGGAGCTGAAGGACCGCGCGGTGGGACTTCAGACGCAAAGCACCCCTGAGAGCAGCCCGCACTTCACTCTGGAGGGGCACAAGTTCCTGATCTTCGGGGGCTCCATCCACTACTTCCGGGTGCCCCGCGGGTACTGGCGGGACCGCCTCCTGAAGCTGCAGGCCTGCGGCTTCAACACTGTCACCACGTGAGTGCCGCCCACCCTCCAGGTCCTCGCTGCCCACTGCCTCCTGCCCCCGGGGAGAGTGTCTGTCTCTGCCTCTGAGCTGGGTCGGGAGCCCGGCCTGAGCATCCACCTTCCAATGAGCCCTGTCCAGCTGAGCCCTTTATGACGACGGGCCACCTGCCTCGCAGACTCACAGGTCTCGTGTGTGCACACGGATGATGTCACTTTCCTTAGTCTATGTCCATCATCGTTTTGAAACTCCTCCTCTGTTCTTGTTTCGATTAATTCCTAGCAATAACTTATTGGGCATATCTAGACACTGTGTTTTCCCTTCTCTTTACATTTTTAATGGGCATTACCAAGAATGGGTGGTGAGTGAGATAATTAGTGCATCCATCCGAGGAATCTAGAGTCAGGATCATTGATAGCTTAGATCACAACCGGTGGCAGAGAAAGGAACCATTGAAAGTAATCATTGTTCATGTAATACAGGTATAACTGCCATGGGACACTTCAGCTTGCTCCAACATAGTACCCTAGGTTTTCAAATAGGTTTGGGACTCACCTAGGACTGGTTAGGAAAGAAATAAGAAGATGCTTATTGTTCTTCCGTCTCTCCTGCCACAGCTATGTCCCCTGGAACCTCCACGAGCCCCAGAGAGGCACATTTGACTTCTCCGGGAACCTGGATCTGGAGTACGTGCTGCTGCTGCTTCTGTGATCCGGCCTGGGCTGGCCTGGGTCTGGGCCTGGGGCAGGAAGGGGCTGGCGGGTTGTTTAGAGACCATGGTAGCATCTCAGCTCTGCTTGGGGAGCCTGTTCTCAGGCCCCAGTGCCAGCTCTGCACCTGGACCAGGTGCTCTCCGGCTGGGAGCCTGCTCCTCCCAGTGCCCAGGCCTCCCCTGAGCCCAGCCCTCCTCACTGCAGTCCAGAGGCGCCTGGTCCGCTGTCAGCCCTTCCTGCTCTGCAGTGCAGACCTGCCACCTGTGCTGGGAGCAGGCTGCCCCTGGAAGCAGCAAGGTGGTCGGGTCAGGTTCATGGCGAGAACCCCGGCCCCTGTCTGACACCCCCTCCTCATGACCCGGTGGGCTGTGCAGAGGGTCCTGGGCTGGGAGCTGATGAGAACCCAGCAGCAGGGCCTCAGGCCTGTGACCACAGGTGCAGGGTGACCTGCTTGCAGGGTGGGGTTTGGCCTTCCCTCACTCTCCTTGTCTCTGGTTGGGAGGAGGGCAGGCCAGCAGAGGCTCCGGGCAGCTCCGCTGCCTGCGGTGTGTGCTGGCTCGTCCCCACCCCCCTGCTCGGACGTCCTCAGAGTGGCCGCCATTGACCTTGCCAGGGCCTTTGTCTGGCTGGCCTCGGAGGTGGGGCTGTGGGTGATCCTGCGTCCAGGCCCCTACATCTGCAGCGAGATCGACCTCGGCGGCCTGCCCAGGTGAGCGTGCTTTGAGGGGAGGGCTGTGACGGTTTGTTTCACTAAAAGCAGAGCTGAAATCTGACAGCTCGGAGCCCGTGTCTCGGGGAAGGCCTGAGGTGGCCCGGTGAGCTCCGGGCACTGCTGTCATCCTTGTCCCAGTCACAGATGCGGATCCTGGAGCCGTGGGCGCCTGGGCGGGGAGAGGCAGCATCAGGGTGGTCACAGCTCTTCCTTCCTGTCCCGTCTCTGGCCTCTGTCCTGGGGTAGAAGGGGGTTCTGATGACCTCTGGACTTGCTCTGCAGACCCCTCCCCCACCCTGGCTTTTCTCTTATTTTGTTAGTCGAAGACCATGCTCTCCACTGAGCCCAGGGACCTCAGCCCTCCTCCGTTTCCCCTCCCTTCCCTTTGCCTTCTCTCCTCTGTGCTGCCAGCCTTTAGTGCAGACAGCTGGGTGCAGGGTGAGCACACAGGAGCATGTTCCTGCTCACACCACAGCGGCCAGGTGTGTGCAGTCCCCGGCTCAGCTGTAGGGGGCGCCCTCCTCCCGTCGCTCAGTCAAGGCTCTGTTTCCTCAGGGATGAGCGTGTTCTCCCACCCAGCTCAGCAGCCGCAGAGGCCTGATCGTGAGGGAAGGGATATTTTAGCAAAGGAGCAATGGCCTGCTCTGCTCAATTGAAGGTCCCATCCCATCCCTCCCTGCCGAGGGCCTTGATGGAACTGCCACACCTCCTAAGCTGGGAACTGTCACCGGACACTTGTCAGTAGGACAGGCCAGTAGGATGGTCCAGAGAGCATCTTCCTGGCCCCTCGGGGGCTGTAGGAGATCAGAAGACATAAAGCTGGGCTGGAGGGAGCTCTGGAAAGAGCTGGTGACCTGCAGGGCCTGGCCTGACCCCTCCTGCCTCCTGCCTTCTTATGATATCTCAAGCCCTGAGCTTGTCTCTTTTCCCCCGCAGCTGGTTACTGCAGGACCCGGAGCTGAGGCTGAGGACAGCTGACCAGGGCTTTGTCCAAGCGGTTGATCGATACTTTGATCATCTGATTGCCAGAGTGCTTCCTCTCCAGGTAAAACGGCCTTCTGACATGTCCTTCCTGAAGTGAGAGGCATAGAGACAGCTGGTTCTACGTAGCCACAGAGCAGGCCGGGCCCAGGCTCTGGGAGCCAAAGCTGACACCCTTGCACTCTAGACCCTCATCTAAGTTCACCTTCGGCCCAGGGCTTCCGGGAGCACACGCATCACGCCCGCCAGGACCCACAGAGCAGAGAGCATGGGTGTATGATGGCGCTTTGAATGTACTTGATGTTCTCTAGGCTCACTGCTCTTTCTACTGCTTATTTCTACTCCTAAGTGATCTTGGCTATTTTATTTTTATTTTATTTTTTAAATATTTTTATTGATATTTTTACATAAAGAAAGGGAGAGGGATAGAAGTTAGAAACATCAATGAGAGAGAAACATTGATCAGCTGCTTCCTGCATGCCTCCTACTGGGGATGGAGCCTGCAACCCGGGCATGTGCCCTGACCTGGAATGGCACCGTGACCTCCTGATTCATAGGTCAACATGCAACCATTGAGCCTCACTGATCAGGGTCACCCCAATTTCTAAAAGTGTTATTTTTAAAGCGAAGGCTGTACAGGTCGCGTGTGAAAGAGCACAGGTTGTGACTTAGTGGAGCTTTAGATGGTTAGTGTCCTTGGCAGCCTGGTCAGGATGGAGCCTTCGGTGTGTGTTCATGTGTTGAGAGCATGCGTGTTTGTGTGTGGTGAGTGCTGAGCTGGAGTTGGGGCTAATATATATATATATAATATTTTAATTGGTTTTAGAGAGAAAGAGCAAGTGGATAGGGGGAGTGTTAGCAGGTGAGTGTGTAGCTATGAGCTCTCCTATTGAAGCAGCTAATTAGTATGAGAAGGAGCAGAAACAGCTGAAACTGGTTTGGCTCAGTGGATAGAGCGTCGGCCTGAGGACTGGAAGGTCCCAGGTTCGATTCCAGTCAAGGGCATGTACCTTGGTTGCACAAGAGGCAGCTGAGCAATGACTCTCTCTAATCGATGTTTCTAACTCTCTATCCCTCTCTCTGTAAAAAAAAGTCAATAAAATATATATTTTTTAAAAAGGAGCGGAAACATGGAGGGTGTGGTGAAAAAGACTAGGGCACTGGGACTCCTTGTGCCCCGAAGGGCCTGCAGGTGACTGAGCATCAGACAGGAGGAGAGAGCGTGCCTCCAGGTCAGGGTCACCCCAGTTTCTAAAAGTGTTATTTTTAAAGTGAAGGCTTTAAAAATAGGAGCCGAGTGCCCACACCAGCTGGGTCAGGGTTCCCAGCCCCGCCATGGCCCCAGTTTCCCACCCGCAGCCTCACTGCCCCTTTCTCTGCCGCCCCAGTACCGCCAGGGAGGCCCAGTCATCGCGGTGCAGGTGGAGAACGAGTACGGTGCGTTCGCCAAGGACTGGACGTACATGCCGTACCTTCACCAGGTACGGTCTCCGTGCTCCTGCTTCCTTCTTCCTCTGCCTCCGAGTCGGCTGGGGGCCCTGGTAGGCTCTGCGGGTGTCCCACGGGGAAAGGAAAAGGGGGTTCACTCTGTTTTCTCAACAGGCCCTGCTGAGCAGAGGGATTGTGGAGCTGCTCTTGACCTCAGATGCAGAGAAAGACGTGCTCCAAGGCAGCATAAAAGGAGGTACACACTTAGCTTATTTTCAGGGAGCATGGAAGCGCTTCAACCCCAGTTTCAATTTTGAACAAGGTCAGAAAGAACCAAGAATAAATATCTATATCTCTATATTTATATCTATATCTATATCTATATCTCTATATTTATATCTATATCTATATCTATATCTATATCTATATCTATATCTATATCTATATCTATATCTATATCTATATCTATATCTATATCTATATCTATATCTATATCTATATCTATATCTATATCTATATCTATATCTATATATCTATAACTATCTATATCGTTGTTGTTGTTTTTTACAGAGAGTAAGGGAAAGGGATAGAGAGTTAGAAACGTCAATGAGAGAGAATCATCGATCAGCCGCCTCCTGCACACCTCCCTCTGGGGATGTGCCCGCAACCAAGGTACATGCCCTTGACCGGAATTGAACCTGGGACCTTTCAGTTCGCAGGTCGACACTCCATCCACTGAGCCAAACCGGTCAGGGCTAAAACCAATAATATCTCTGAGGCCTCTCTTTGCCATGCACGTTGAAGTGTGCCCTGGAAAGGTGGTATCGCTAGGAGAGCCCAAGGTCAAAGTGAAGAGTTCCCATAACAATGCCATCCTTCTCCTCCATCCTGTTTTCCTTCTACCACAGCTGCGAGGAAGCTCTTCTGTCCTCAGCCCACCTTTCCATATTTATTTATTACTTAAAATTATCGGGGTGACATTGATTCGCAAAACCACACAGGTTTCAAGGGCACAACTCAACAAAGCTATCATCTGCACGCTGCATCCGTGCGCCCATCGCCCCAAGCAAAGTCTCTTTCCGTTCCCATTTTCTCCCTTTGCCTACCTCCTCTTACCCTCAGGTCTAATTCCTGGGTCTAATCAATTTGTGTGACCTTGGCCAGTTCCATTTCACTGCACAAAATATGGTTAATTTTCACTGTCCTTGCAAATGCCCAATGACAGCCTTTTGCACGTTACAACATGGGTACAAGTAGCATCTCATTACATCACTACTCAGCACAACTTTCTTCCGAGTGCAAGGCATGGGCCTCTGTCCCTCCCCTGGCAGCAATTGTCCCAGGGCCTCATGTAGCTTCTCTCCTTCTTTCTACAGTGTTGGCCACCATCAATATAAACTCATTTCGGAAGGATACTTTCATGCACCTTGAGACAGTGCAGGTAAGGATGTCTTCGAGAGGAAGAGTCATAGCCCCTTCGTCTGCCTTGACCCTCACGCCTCCACCGCAACCTGTACAGCTGGTGTTCGATGAGGTTAGGAGGCTTGACAAAGACTATACAGCTTTTCCCCTGAGGCCTCACCTAGGTTCCAAAGCATTTTAGGGAGTTTATCTGTTTCATCAGGGGGAATAAGAAAGACATTCTGCTTCTGTCCCCTCTGTTCATGGAGCACATAATGGAGATGACCAGAGGAAGGGGTTAGTTGTGATTTTGATGTGGCCCAGGGAGGGGAAGAGTGGAACTCCCTCTTACGCGCCATCTTGGATTCTTCTGGATGATGTCTTTAATGGGCAGTATAGTTCAGTGGCTGCTCGTGTTTGGCTCAGCCCTGGACTTGAGTGGAGTCTCTGGACTTTATTAGCACGTGACCTTGGAGCTTCAGTTTCCACGTGAGGAATTGCAGTCAGGTCTTTGTGGTTCCAAAGCTGGTTCTGCCCAGGCCAGCTTCTCATAGGACCAGGTTGTGATGTTTAGGGAAATGGAGAAGCAAGAGGTGTCACGGGGCCGACTGGGAAAAAAGTGAGAAGCCCAAGTTCCTCCGACTCTCATCCGTTGCATTCAGTGTTTCTGACTCTTTTTCTTGTTCTTTTTGTCTGACTTGGTGTTTCATTTGGTTTGCTTCCAGATAGATAAGCCCATTATGATTATGGAATACTGGGTCGGCTGGTTTGACACGTGGGGAGGTAAACACAAGGTTAAAAACGCGGACGGTAAGTGTTTCTCAGCATTTGGGCCGAGAAGAGGTGCCCCGGGTCATAGGTCATTCACACCCTGCTCTGCTAGTCCATCCGCTCGTTCAACCACGACTGTCCATTCAACGCATGGCCCGGAGGGGGCGAGGCTGGGTCTGGCGGGGCCCTGGTGAAAAAAAATCACCTGGTTCCTACCCCCGAGAGCTTGTGCTCTGGTGGAGCTGATAGATACGTAAGAAGTAAAACACTCACTACCTGACAAAGTGCTTGAGGCAGACAAAGAGGATGCAGTGATAGGAAAGAGGGAGACAGACCCGCAGAGGGCCATCCAGGAGGTGACAGAGCCCTCTGAGATATGACACCTCTGAAGTAGGGGATGCATTTACCAACATTCTTTTTTTTTTTTTTTAATGTATTTTTATTGGTCTCAGAATGGAAGGGAGAGGGAGAGAGAAAGAGAAACATCAGTGATGAAAGAGAATCATTGATCGGCTACCTCTTGCTCACCCCTTACTGGGGATCGAGCCCACAACCCGGGGGTGTGTGCCTCTGACCAGAATTGAACCTGGGACCCTTCAGTCTGTAGGCCAATGCTCTAGCCACTAAGCCAAATGAGCTAGGGCCATTTGCCAACATTCTTAATCAACTCTGGGAAGTGCACAGGCCATTGCTGGGGAGTTGGCACATGCGTGGCAGTCATTATCAGGAGCCGGCAGTGATGGTCGAGAGGGTAGATCCTGGAACCAAGGGCCGGAATTCAGTCCAGCTCTCAGCATGCACCCTTTGACCAAGGCAGCCTTCCTTCCCTTCCGAGTGAAGGGAAATCATATGGTATTTGTCTTTAGAGAAAGACTGATTGCATAACACCCTCCAGTTCCACCCATGTTGCTGCAAGTGGTAAGATTGCATTCTTTTCATGGCGGAGGAATAGTCCAGGTATATACGTGCTACCTGTTCTCTCTTCAGTTGTCTACAGATGAACATTCTTAGGCTCCATGTCTTGGCTGTGGTAAAAATGCTGCAACGAACATAGGAGGCGCATCTGTCTTTTCAAATCCACGGCTTTCAATTTTTCTCTCCTTCCTTATATTTCGCCTCTACAGCTGTCGTAAAAAGCGTGTCTGAATTTATCAAATCGGAGATCTCCTTCAACACGTATATGTTCCACGGCGGGACCAACTTCGGGTTCATCAACGGGGCCACGGACTTTGGGGAGTACAGCAGCGTCGTCACCAGCTATGGCAAGTGATCGCCGGTTTGGCCCCCCTCCCCTCCGGCAGTGGGGGTGCTGGAGGCTCCGAAAACATATTCTGGCACCCCCGGTTCTTGACCCCTAATCCATGCTGAGCAGTGAGGATTTTCTGACCTATGTATCTTTCTTTATGATGTTCGTATTGCCCCAGGCTATCATTACAGTAGATGGGGCTGCCCAGGACCTGAAGTTCATGTACATTAACCCCTTGACTTGAACCTCCAGAGAGAGAGAGAGAGAGAGAGAGAGAGAGAGAGAGAGAGAGAGAGAGAGAGAGAGAGAGAGAGAGATTACAAATGGTGATTGCTAGCCCTAACCGGTGTGGCTCAGTGGATAGAGCGTCGGCCTGCAGACTGAAGGGTCCCAGGTTCAATTCCGGTCAGGGGCATGTACCTTGGTTGCGGGCACATCCCCAGTAGGAGGTGTGCAGGAGACAGCTGATGGATGTTTCTGACTCTCTAACCCTCTCCCTTCCTCTCTGTAAAACACACACACACACACACACACACACACACACACACACACACAAAACAAACAAACAAAAAACCCCCCACAAATGGTGATCGCTAGAAGGGCATTGATAGCACAGCTGGACAGTCGGGATGGAAGGAAGAGGAGAGTGAAGCAGAGGATGAGTCCAGGGTCCCAGCAGCCTCAAGCCCCAGGAAGGGCGATGGGAAACACTCCTAGCTAGCTTGGCATTGGTCCCACACAGCCTAGCCTGGGCTGGACTGGGCCAGGGGTGGGGAGCCTGTGTCTTCTGTCTCCCCCTGGTGGATCTGTCCCATCTCCACCAGAAGTGCCCAAACGGGCTCTGCCAGTGACAGTGCCCTGGTGTCTTGCAGACTATGATGCTGTGCTGACGGAGGCCGGCGACTATACGGAGAAATATTTCAAGCTTCGGAAACTCCTTGGATCCGTCTTAGGTACTCAGCCACCATTTTTACTCGAGGGCTGGCCCTCCTGGTGTATTGGGAGGGCGAGGGCAGGGAAGGGTTTCCCCTGTGAGCATAAGCTTAACAAAGGGCTTCAGAGCAAGGGTCACAAGTTCAAATCCTGGTCTGCTCACGGAGAAGCTGTGTGGTCTGGCTGAGTGTTATTAAGCCCTTCCAGCCTCTGTCTCTTCCCTAAAACGTGAACACAAGGACACCCATCTTCTATAATGGTTGTGAAAATTACCGTTTGTAAAGCTCTTACTATGATGTATAACACAATACCCTTACAGACAATAGCAAAAATCATTCTGTTCCATTTCATTTCTCTAAGGAAAGTTGGCTAACCATCTACTGTTTGCTAGAAAGTAGGTATCCACTGGCTTTGCCGAGAGGCATAAGGCAGAGGTCTTACCCCCTAAGGGCCTTCAGTCTATACAGCCAACACTACCCCCTTCAGTGTGTCTATCTGTTAGCTCTCCATGCATACAGAATGACTGCAACCTCATTCTTTCTTTCTTTTTTTAAAATTCTCACCCAAGGATATTTTTTTCATTGATTTTTAGAAAGAATAGAAAAGAGAGGAAAAAAACAGAGAGAAATATCAATGTGAGAGAAAGACATCGATCGGTTGCCTCCTGCATAAGAGGAGCCTGCAACTGAGGTACATGCCCTTGACTGGAATCGAACCCGGGATCCTTCAGTCCACAGGCCAGCACTCTATACACTGAGCCAAACAGCTAGGGTTGCAACCTCGCTCTTGACAGTTTTTCATCACTCTTGGAGAAGTACAGCCATGCGCCAAGGGAGGACCCCTTTACTGGTTGGTCCTGGGATATGAGAGCTTACATATAGGGATGGGGAGGCTGGGAGAAGGCACGTCTCACCCCATGGCCCACTCTCATTGCAGCATCTCCCCTGCCCGCCTTACCTGCACTCATTCCCAAGGCTGTGTATCCTCCTGTGAGGCCCTGCCTGTACTTGCCGCTGTGGGATGCCCTACAGCACTTAAACGAGGTGAGTACTGTCTGGGCGCTTAGGGGGAGCAGGTCTAGGCCACACAGAGATTCTCTCAAGGCTTTTTCCTGGACAGTGTGAAAACAAATTCTCTGCATTTTGCCCCAGTTCAGAACTATGGGGCCAGACCACGTGCTCCTTCCTGGCGGACTGTGAAGGGGAGGACGAGTGAGATGGGGGAGAGGCTGGGATGAGAGGGTCCTATTTCCCAGCTCCGATGAACCCATTTGGTGAATGCTCTTGTGGGCCCATGTGGGCCCTTTGGGAAAGGCTGCTGAGCTGGGAACTGGGAAAGTGGGTTTCCTATTCTTCTTCACCATCCACTAGGCCCGTGGTCGGCAAACCGAGGCTCACGAGCCACTTGCGGCTCTTTGGCCCCTTGAGTGTGGCTCTTCTACAAAATACCAGGGCCTGGGTGAGTCTATGTTGAAGAAGTGGCATTAGAAGAAGTTTAAGTTTAAAAAATTTGGCTCTCATAAGAAATTTCTATCATTGTCCTGTTGATATTTGGCTCTGCTTACTCATGAGTCTGCTGACCATTGACCTCGGCCAAACCTCAGAAGTTCTACAGGTCCCTGATCGCCCTTTAAAATGAGACAAACTGCCTTGTTTTAAAGAAAAGTTTGGAAACTGAAACATGTCAAGTCTTGAATTCAGATTGATTCTATCTCTTCTCATCACCATTTTAGATAAAAGGCAGTGCCTGACATGCTTGTTTAGTGCATAATTATGCTTGTTGAGTGCATAATTCTTTACTCGGCTTCAGTGATGATAGAACATTACTTATCTGCTCTGTTTTTAAATATATATATATATATATATATATATATATATATATATATATTATTGATTTTTTTACAGAGAGGAAGAGAGAGGTATAGAGTTAGAAACATCGATGAGAGAGAATCATCCATCAGCTGCCTCTTGCACGCCTCCTACTGGGGATGTGCCCGCAATCAAGGTACATTCCCTTGACCAGAATCAAACCTGGGACCTTTCAGTCTGCAGGCCGATGCTCTATCCACTGAGCCAACCCGGTTTTGGCTCTGCTCTGTTTATCAATTGATGATGACAGTCTTTGCTCCCTGTCCCATGTCCCACCTCTCCCGCTGTCCTGCGTTTCCTGGTCAGTGAAGATAAAAAGCATTAGCACACAGATGTGTTAGCCTTTCTCATCCAAAGGACTTTGGGGAGCATTAGGAGGCACAGCAAAAAGACAAGGGTCTTAGGGGGAAGGATCCTGACTTCTCAGCGCGGCTCCCATGTCCACCTCGGCTCTCTCACAGCCGGTCATATCCAGCGCACCGGTCAACATGGAGAGTCTCCCCATCAACTCTGGAAACGGCCAGTCCTACGGGTTCGTGCTTTATGAGACGCGCATCTGCTCCGGAGGCTGGCTCCGTGCAGATGTTCGAGACACGGCACAGGTAGGAGCCAGCAGGCTGGCCTTGGCCATAAGCAGCACACACAGCCCAGCTCTGCTCCTGGGCAGGGTGGTTAGACGCTGGTCAACTTTACTGTGTGGTAGTAATTTATTTATGTTTAGTTAAAAAAATATTTTTATTGATTTCAGAGAGAGAGAGAGAGAGAGAGAGAGAGAAACATCAACGATGAGAGAGAATCATTGATCGGCTGCCTCCTGCACACCCCTCACTGGGAATCAAGCCTCGAAACCCGGCTAAGTGCCCTTGACCGGTATGGAACCTGGGACCCTTCAGTCCACAGGCTGATGCTTTATCCACTGAGCCAAACCGGCTAGGGCTGTTCAGTAGCAGCTTAAAGCATCTACTATGTGTGAGGCATTGAGAACATAAGCTCACACCAAAGAGCCTGGCTTTCTGCTTTATCACAACCAAGTCCACTGGGGCCTCCCTGCCAGCTCCCAGCCACGTGTGAGCACCAAGACTGTGCCTCCCTTACAGTGACCTCCTGCCTAAACCAGAGCCCTCTCCGTCCTCTCCTCAGGTAGTCTGACCCCAGCTCTTCTTCTGCAGGTGTTTTTGAATGAAATACGCATAGGGTCTCTGGATGATGGTCACGAGACCTTGAACATCCCTGCAGTCAGGGTAGGTGATTCAAGAGTCTCAATGCTGCTGAGACCGGTTTGGCTCAATGGATAGAGCGTCGGCTTGGGGACTAAAGGGACTTGGATTCGATTCCGGTCAAGAGCATGTACCTTGGTTGCGGGCATATCCCCAGTAGGGGTTGTGCAAGAGGCAGCTGATAGATGACTCTCTCTCATCGATGTTTCTAACTCTCTATCTCTCTCCCTTCCTCTCTGTACAAAATTAATAATATATATATATATATATATATATAATGGAGTCTCAATGCCGCTAGACCTCCGACTCCAATGCAACCACTCCCTGGCTCTGAGATGACCGCCTCGCCTCTACCACTGCCCTTTGGCATGGCTGGTCACGTAGGGCCCCGGCAGGAAGTGTTTGTCTGGAGCTCTGAGCATCACCGCCTCTCCCAGGCCCGGATACATCAGGCACTGCAGTCTACAAGCTTCAGCGTGAATGGAATTTCCCCTTTAAGCCCCGAGCCAACCACCAGCCGTGTGTCTGGTCTCTACCAAAGGCACAGCGACGTCTCTCTGGCCTCCCTAAGGCAGACCAGGGGAAGAGAGGAGAGTGTGGGTGTGGGACAGGAGCACACGGGGTCCTTAGAGAGAGGGAGGACGGCCAGCCGCGGGGGTATCCTGTTTCCTACTTGCTTGCCTTTCCATGTGGGACTCAGAGGAAAGACGGGTGCCAGAGTAACCCCCTGCGTGACTGTGGGGGTTCTGTGAACTGGTCTATCCCCCATAGGAGTGCCAGCTCCTGAGGATCCTGGTGGAGAACCAAGGACGAGTCAACTATTCGTGGAAAATTCAAGACCAGCAGAAAGGTGGGCTCTAGGTCTGAGACACAGGTCGTCCATTCTCTTCGTGGTCACTCGGACCCTCCGACGGGGGCTGAGTTGGAGCTGGGAAGGAAGAACGAGCCATGTAGGCAGAGGGAGACTTAGGGTCCAGGATTGAAGGTGAAGACTCCTTTCCTCTCTATTGTCCTGCCTTCTTCATTTTTTCAGGGAAGTGAGTGCTGGTTTGTCCTGTAGCAGGATCCAGGCTCAGCTGGCGAATTCCATCTGGTTTTATAAAAAATATTGATAAAAAGTATTGATTTCTATTGATTTTATTGATTTCAGAGAGAGAGAGAAACATCAATGATGAGAGAGAATCATGGATCGGCTGTGCCGTACATGCCCCTTACTGGGGAATAAGCTTGCAACCCGAGCATGTGCCCTGATCTGGAATCGAACTGTGACCCTCTGGTTCATAGGCTGATGCTCTACCACTGAGTCATGCCGGCCGGGCAAAAGCTCCGATATTAAGTGGGTTGACTTCCTCAGTAGGCCTCGCGTATGAAAACATACAAGAAACATTCTGTCGCAGCAAGTTAGACAAGTGTATGCCCCCCTGGCTGAAGCCTGGCACAAGATGTCTGCTGCCTGCTTTTCTTGGTCCCAGATGCCGAGAGAGAGCATCAGTGCCTCGCCGTGTTCTTTCCTCCCTCTCCCCGCAGGAGTAACTGGCCCCGTGACCATCAATGGCACCCTCCTGAAGGGGTTCACTATCTATTCTCTGGAAATGAAGACGAGCTTCTTTGAGAGGTATGTTCCCACTTATTCCTGGGAGACTTGGAAGGATCAGGGCACTCAAAGATTTCTTTTTCTTTTCTTTTTTTAAAATATATATGTTGATTTTTTTTTTTATTTTTTTTTTTACAGAGAGGAAGGGAGAGGGATAGAGAGTTAGAAACATTGATGAGAGAGAAACATCCATCAGTTGCCTCCTGCACACCCCCTACTGGGGATGTGCCCGCAAGCAAGGTACATACCTTTGACCGGAATCGAATCTGGGACCCTTCAGTCCGCAGGCTGACGCTCTATCCACTGAGCCAAACCGGTTAGGGCCACTCAGAGATTTCAAACTCTGCACTTTGCAGGTGAAGAGCCCAAGGTTCCGAGAACGGAAGTGATTTACTCAGGATGATAAAGTCTTTAGAGTCAGGACCGGAGTCCTGGAACAAGCCTCCTGTTTCTCATTTTAATGCTTCACGTCTGAGTGTCCCATGGAAACAGAGGCCTAGTCCCTGCGTGGGAATCCCGGGTCCATCCTGGGACTAGATCAGGGAAAGGGCTTTCCTTTCCCTCAAGGGGTGGTTCCCTTTCCAGGCTCCGCTCTGCCGCCTGGAGGCCTGTCTCCAACAGCTCCCTGGGCCCCGCCTTCTACCTGGGCACCCTGCAGGCTGGCCCTTCTCCCAGGGACACCTTCCTGAGGCTGCCGGTAAGTGAGCCCCTCTCCTCTCTGCCCTCTCAACCCCCTGTTCTTTCTTTATAAAAGCATGTCTTACATACCGTTATATTGGCTGGGTCACAAAAATATTCATCGTGGGCAGCATGCGGCCCTTGGGCCTCGAGTTTGACACGCTTGTTCTAGAACACATCCCGTTGTGAACTCGCTGCCAGTGCCACGAAGCTTCTCAGTCTTGTTCTCACTCCCCAAGTGCCTTAGCTTGTACGTTGCCTGTGTGAATCTGTGTGTGTGTGTGTGTCTGTGTGTGTGTCCCCTATCTCAAGCCTCCATCCCTTCCAGGACTGGAGTTATGGATTTGTGTTCATCAATGGCCGTAACCTTGGGCGATATTGGAATATCGGACCACAGCAGACACTGTATCTTCCTGGTGCCTGGCTGCACCCAGAAGACAATGAGGTGAGGTACCCTCATCCCTGCCTTGACACCTCAGACATTTTCAGATCCACCTTCATCCCCAGGAGCCAAATTGCAGCATCTTTCTCATCCTGTACTGAACAGGCTTACCACCTCTCACTGTGAACCCTTTTGTTCTTCCTAGATCATTGTGTTTGAAAGAAGCAAGAGTGGTTCGTCCATCCAAACTACAGATACACCCAAACTTAAGATGGTGCCGTAACATGTCTTTGGTGGATTGTTGGAGTTGTCTACAAGCAGATTTTCAGGAGGAAGATTTATGTCTAGAATACTAAACACACTGTTGTCTGCAAGAGCAAATACTGAAAATAATATTCAGCAGGGAAATGGTTATATATATTGTGGTATAGTCATATACTGCCTATTTTTAGGCCTCAAAAAAGCCTTCAAAAGACTAGATTTACGTAGTTAAAGTTTAGTCCTTAGCAGGTTATTATCCTCTAATTAAATGTGCCTTTAGGCAGATGGGAATACAATAAAAACAAGCTGTGTGTATCTCTGCTTCTTCATACTTAGTTGGGGGGTCTCTGGCCTAAGAAAGACTAAGAATTACTGCTCTCTCCATGCCAGAGTATTTCATATACTGACCGGAGAATTTGTGTGTGTGTGTGTGTGTGTGTGTGTGTGTGTGTGTGTGTGTATGCACGCTTGTGTTGTAGGAGGAAGAGTGCAGGGGAGAGTGAACAATGTCCCATGGCATTTCCCAGCAGCCTGTGTGTTTCCAAGGTGACCTGGTGCATCACCTGCAATCAGAGAGGAACAGACATTTGGTTGTTTGGTGCTAACCTGTCCGACAGCGAAGCCTGGCCCTGGGCACTCTATCTTCTTGTTCCTCAGCCCTTTGGGTACAGACTCAGCTCTTGCTGGTAGTGTCCAGATATTAGTGGGACGAGATACATGTGCATGAACAAGCCAACCAATTTTTGCAAATGACCCCTTTGACAACAAATCACATTCTTTTCTTTTCTTTTTTTTTTAATATATTTTATTGATTTTTTTTACAGAGGGGAAAGGAGAGGGATAGAAAGCTAGAAACATCGATGAGAGAGAAACATCGACCAGCTGCCTCTTGCACACACCCCATCGGGGATGTGCCCGCAACCAATGGTACATGCCCTGGACCGGAATCAAACCTGGGACCTTTCAGTCCACAGGCCGACACTCTATCCACTGAGCCAAACCGGTTTTTGGCAACAAATCACATTCTTAAAATAAAAATATAGCATTTCGCCTAAATTAAAACCAATGTCCTATAACAGCGGTCGGCAAACTCATTAATCAACAGAGCCAAATATCAACAGTACAGCGATTGAAATTTCTTTGGACAGCTGAACACCGGCTTCTGTGCAGGGGCCACAAACTTTCAATCGCACTGTACGTGCATGTCCGCATGTGGCATTTTGTGAAAGAGCCACACTCAAGGGGCCAAAGAGCCTCATGTGGTCGCGAGCCGCAGTTTTCTGACCACGGTTCTAGCCCATATTTGCTTTTCCTCTTCTTTTCTCAATACTGAGTGCTCCAGGACTCATTTGGTCCTCTTTCTCTATCCACACTTACTTCACTGGTGATCTCATCCAGGTTCAACTCTCTATCAATTCCTACATTTATGCCTCCATCCCAGATTTGTATATTTAACAGCTCATATGCTCTCTCTTACTTGAAAGTCTCCAAGATACCTCAAACTCAACAAGCCCCCTCAGAGCTTCTGATAGTTCCCTACACACCCATTCCTCAGTCTTCTTCATCTCAGGCGATGGCAACTCCAGTTCTGTCTGTTTCTCAGGCGCCACATGTGGGAATCATCCTTCAGTCCTCTCTCCGCCTCTCACCCCACAAGCAATCCCAAAGTTTGAGATTGTCTTTGCTTTTGAAATATTTCTAGAAATCCACTCTGCTCATCACCTCCATTGCTACCACCCTCGTCTGGGACATCCTCTTTCACATGGTCTCATGCGGATTACTGCAGTGGCTTGGTTCTATTCTCCCTGGTCTGCTTGCTTCTACTCTTGCCCACTCCTGGTGACTCTCAACACAGCAACCCAAGTGATGTTTAAAGTACAGTTGGCGTGCCCTGACCGGTTTAGCTCATTGGATAGAGCGTCGGCCTGCGGACTCAAGGGTCCCAGGTTCGATTCTGGTCAAGGGCATGCACCTTGGTTGCGGGCACATCCCCAGTAGGGGGTGTGCAGGAGGTTGCTGATGGATGTTCTCTCTCATCGATGTTTCTGACTTTCTCCCTCTCCCTTCCTCTCTAAATAAATAAATAAATAAATAAATAAATAAATAAGTAAATAAGTAAATAAGTAAATAAATAAACTAAAGCACAGTTGGCATCATGTTGTAAGCCTGCAATGGCTCTACCTTTCATTCAGGTCAAAGTCCTGCTCTGAAAGACCCCACGGGACCGGGCCCCGATATTTCTCTGATCTCACCTCTAGCAGTTCCTGCCCGCCCCTTCTCTTCCCACTCGGGGGCTCCTTGCAGTTCCTGGAACACAGTGTCATGAATGCCTGAGTGCCTTTGCACTCGGGGTTCTCTCTGCTTGAAGGGTCCTCCCTCCGGATATCAGCTCCCACCTTCCAGCTCTTTCTTCCATTCACATCTCAGTAGGACCTCCTCTGTGTAGGTCCCTTCCCACCAGACTCCCACAGTTCCTTCCTTTATTTTTCTTCTGCAGCTAGAATATGTGTCAAAGAGATCTTTGTTTGTTTTGTACAACCGCTGCACCTCCATTGCACGTTTTGAGTTTGTGATCGTTAGAAAACATGTTTTGCCTAACTACTACACAACGTCCTTGGTGATACCATTCTGTACAATAGTAAGAGAAGTTTATTCGTCTTTTTCTAAAATGTGAAGGGATTATCTGGAGATGTTTTTTGTTGTTGTTTTGTTTTGTTTTGTTTTGTTTTGTTTTGTTTTAATAAAAACGACAAGTGGAAACCAAAGGCAGTAAATAGTTCGGTGCTGCCCCCTAGGCACCTCCTCTCCCCAATGAAATTCAAACGTGAATCACCCTAAGCCACAGGAAATGTCTCAAGGATATTCTACCATGTCCTGGCTTTTCACACGATTAAGTCACTACTGCACATTTTTCTCCCTTCACAAGGGAAATGGTTTTAAAAGTTTGTGTGGGCTTTGCAGGAGGAGCTTTGAATGAATGCTTGCATGGTGGTGGTGAGGGTGGCCTGGGGTTCTACCCTGTATAGAACTGCACAACAGGTGCTCAGTATTTCTACACGTGTTTGCAGATCAAGTGCATATAAAAGAGCTTCCACTCGAAACCGGTTTGGCTCAGTGGATAAGAGCGTCAGCCTGCGGACTGAAGGGTCCCAGGTTCGATTCCTGTCAAGGGCATGTACCTTAGTTGTAGGCACATCCTTAGTAAGGGGCGCGCAAGAGGCAGCTGATCGATGATTCTCTCTCATCGATGTTTCTGACTCTCTCTCTCCCTTCCTCTCTGTAAAAAATCAATAAAATATATATTTTTAAAAAATAAAATAAGAGCTTCCAAAACTTGGAGCGCCTCTCTAAGACCAGGAAGGCAGGCCCCCGCGGAGATGGGAACCCCGCCCACAAGCCGGCGGAGGCCCCGCCCACAAGCCGGCGGAGGCGCGCTCCTGCCTCTCTAAGCGCTGCGGTGTGGGGCGTGGTCTCGGGCGGCGGCGCGGTTGCCCAGGCGACCAGCGAGTGGCCCCGCCCCCCGCGCTGAGCCCGGCTGAGCGTTGACCGTTGAGCGCCGGCCAGAGTGGAATCCTGGTCCCTGCGCGCAGCGCGAACGCGCGATGACCACTTGGAGTGCCCCGCGGAGGCCCTGCCGCGCGCTCGGACTCGTGCTGCTGGTGGTCCTGGGTTTCCTGGTGCTCCGCAGGTGAGGGGACCCGCCCGCGCTGCCTAGAGTCTGCAGGCACCCAGCCCTCCGCACCTCGTCCCCGTCCAACCTCCCGTCTAGCTGGAGGGAGTTACCTCGACCCGCAAACCCCCGAGTTCCCACCGGGAACAGTCCACAAGCTTTTTCCTTTTTGTAGCTCCCCAATAACCCTGCCCAACCGCTGCACCTCCAGCAACTCTGGTTCTGCTTGGAGACCCAGACCTCTGGGGGACACCAGGCGCTGCCCTCCCGGTCCCCAGGCACCTGCGCTCTGGAGTCTCCTCACTCCTCTGCGTCCCTGTTGCCCGGCTCTATTTTCCTTGTGGATACTGCCCGCCCTCTGGAAGGTCAGCACGACTAGTCTTCAGATCCCTCTCCTATGTCCCTCATCACTGTCCCGCCTTGGGGAGCCCCCTTCTGCTGTTTTCCCAGGTCCCCACTTTCTTTCTTTTTTCTTTTTAATATATTTTATTGATTTTTTTACAGAGAGGAAGAGAGAGGGATAGAGAGTTAGAAACATTGATGAGAGAGAATCATTGATCAGCTGCCTCTTGCACACCCCCTACTGGGGATGTGCCTTTAACCAAGGTACATGCCCCCAACTGGAATCAAACCTGGGACCTTTCAGTCCGCAGGCCGACGCTCTATCCACTGAGCCACACCAGTTTCGGCCAGGTCCCCACATTTCCCACCAGTTCTGCTGGGAGGCTTCTCTGTTCCAGAGGCCAGAGCTCCAGTGACCAGAGCCATGGCTGACCGAGCCTGCCCAGCACTGTCCCAGAACACTGCCCCCCCGGGGCCCTCTGAGCTCCTCTGCCCTGGATGGGTGTGCCCCTTTCTAGTGTGGGGTGCCTTCTCTCTCCACTTGGCCCCCCACTCACCAGCTCCCCTTACACAATGTCAGTGGCCAGGGTTGGCCTGTAAGCGATAGGATGCTTTCTCCACAGCCTGGGTAGCGGCCCCTGTCCGGCATTTTTCCAGTCTGAGCCTATATATATATATATATATATATATATATAGGATTCTGCAGCCCTGACCCTATCATTCAGGCCGATGCCTGGCACTTTCCATATTCAAAACTTCAGGTGTTGCTGTAGGGCAGGCCGTCCGTCCCTAACAAATGCCCGGGCACTGAAATGAGCGTTGGAGAGGCCGGAGTCTGAGCCACTGCAGCTTGATCTTTCCTTCTTCCCTACCACCCCTCCCGGCTCCTCTGGACCTCGCTGCCCGGGAGGAAGAGGGGAGTTTTCGGTGGAGTGAAATATCAGAACGTTTTCGGTTGCCACAGCATCCCCCATCAGAAACACTTTCCTCGTACACCTCTTTTGTCTGGGAGATGGTGAGGGTGACCTTGATCGTTTGGGAGAAGAGAATGGTGCTCTTGTCATTCCGGGGCCCAAAAAAACGTAAGAAGCATTTTGTTTCCACGGTTGTTTTTTCTTTTCTTTTTAAAATATACTTTTATTGATTTCAGAGAGAAGGAAGAGGGAAAGAGAAACATCAATGATGAGAGAAAATCATTGATTGGCTGCCTCCTGGAGATCAAACCTGCGACCCGGGCATGTGCCCTTGGCAGATGCTCTATGCACTGAGCCAAACCAGCTAGGGCATGGTTGTTTTTTTTCAAGACTTTTCCCCTCACCCCCCTAGCTTGTGATGATGTCTAACCCTTTCCTCTTTGGAGATGACTGGTCCTGGCTCTGGTAGGATGCTCAGCCCTCCTCCCAGGACAAGCCTGATGCAGAGCCCAGAAAAATTACTCAAAGCAGAGGCAGAGGAGCCTCTGGCACACTATATAGCAGGGCAGCTTTGGGGAGCTGCGCTGTCAGGATCCCCCCTTCTTCTGTACCCCAGAACCTCAGGAGGCAGGGGTTTGGGTAGAGGAGGGGCTGCTTGGCTGCTCTTGGGCGGGTTCATGCTCAGTCAGAGCTGTTTGATTACATCCTATCCAAGAACAAGGTTCAGGGTGATTTTGGAGGAAGATTTCAACCTTAATTATTCTAGCTTGAACAATAGTCTTTTAAAAAAAATGACTTTGCTGTAGCTGGTTTTGGTTCAGTGGATAGAGTGTCAGCCTGTGGACTGAAGAAGGGTCCCGGGTTCGATTCCAGTCAAGGGCACATGCCTGAGTTGTGATGCAGAAGTTGTGATGCAGATCAATGATTCTCTCTCTCATGGATGTTTCTTTCTCTCTCCCTTCCTCTCTGAAATCAATAATAAATAAATAAAAATTTACCTTTATTGTAGTGGAATTGCCATGAGGTAAGCTGCACGTTTAACATGCCCAGCTCGATAAGTTTTTACATATGTACCCACCTATGAAATTACCACCGTAACTAAGATTGTGAAGATATTCATCAACCCCAGAGATTTCCCTGCACCCCTTTGCGTCTCTCTGCTGTGCCTCTGCTCCCCTCTCCCCAAGCACGCCGGTCTATTGCTTTCCACCACCAGGTGATCCTGAAGTCTGCACTCTGACTTGGTTGGGCTTCTTCCACTGGGCATGCTCCTTCGAGGGGCCTGTGATGCATGTATTCATGTGACCTGTGTCTTTGAACCAGGTGCCTCTCATTCCCTTTCTTCCTCCCAGGCCACAGGAATGCCTGCTTGATCAGATCAAGGCATGGTTCCTGCTCATGATTTTTCCCCTTAATAGCAATGCACCCCTGAGCAGGAATGGAACTAATTCTTCATCTCTCATACCTGAGGCATTAGCTGGCGAAGGTCGGGAGAGAGGAGAGCCACCAGGAAGCAGCCTGCATGGCGCCCCTCAAGGGCAAGTTCGAGGCTTCCCTTGCCGGGCCTGCGGGGCGCTCTCTGGATTCCAGCAGGAGAACCTGTCAGACTTCTCCTTCCGAAGGTGGATAACTTAATGGGACCAGGTCGCTTGCTTTGATCCAGATCGTGGCGAGTCCTGTCTTCCCAGAGAACGTGGATAAGCTGTGCCTCCACTTCCTGGGATTCTGTGAGGTCATTGATTTTATGAGCTTTGCTTGTAGAATTCTATTGGGCTTGAGGCCTGAGTCACATCCTGGAATGTTTGAACTCTTTGAGTGCTGTCCTTTTCATCTTACAGTAGTGATGGGTTTTGTTTCCCCCCCCCCCCCGCCCCCGCATCTGGGGAGTGTCCTTTCAGCAGGTGTCCTCTCTGACATGAGTGGGGAAGTGTGGCTCACTGGGAGAGGTGGGGTGTCTGAGCCACTCTAGCTCTGGGAGTCTCACAGTGCCATGCTGGCCAGGGACTGAAAGGGACCAGGGAGCAGAACATGGCCCTTATTGGGGTACTAGAGGCCCGGTGCATGAAATTCGTGCACTGGAGGGGTATCCCTTAGCCCAGCTTGCACCCTCTCCAATTTGGGACCCCGAGGGATCAGACCTAAACTGGCAGTCGGACATCCCTCTCACAATCTGGGACTGCTGGCTTCTAACCACTTGCCTTGCCTGCCTGATTGCTCCTAACCACTTCTTCCTACCAGCCTGATCACCCCCTAACTGCTCCCCTGCCAGCCTGATGGATGCCTAACCTTCCCCTGCTGGCATAATCGACACCTAACTGCTCCCCTGCCGGCCTGGTCATCCCCAACTGCCCTCCCGTACTGACCATCTTGTGACAATGTGGGGGCAGTCCTCTTGTGATGATGTCGGGACGGCCATATTGTGATGACATGGGGCGATGAATGGAAAGACCAGAGCAGCTCAGGGCGCTTTTGTCTGCAGAGGAGCCCTGTTGGGCGAGATGCCCTCGAGTGCCAGGAACTGTGCTGAGAAGTGGGTACCGAAAAGGCAGCCACGCAGATTTGCTTCTGCACCAGCTCCGTGCCCGGCTGTTGTCTGTCTCCGCGTTTTCTAAACTTCCCGGCTGGAGGCTCTGGCCCCAGCTCCTTGAGCTGGCCTCCTTTCTCGGCCCCCAGGAGACTGGAGCACGGAACCACGGGGCTCCCCGTGGCCAACCCCAGGGATGTCATAGGTGCCTTTTCAGGGACTAAAACTTCTCAGAGGCCTCCTTTTGTCAGGCGGGTGAACTTGGCCGTGACACTTGATCTTTCAATGATAATCGAGCCCTGGAAATTTGGTTCGTGAACAGATGCCGTTTCTAACCCAGATGCCTCTTTACAGGTATTTGTGCCTCGAGCAGGGCAGCTTCGGCCAGGAGGGGGCTCAGAGGTACTATTGGAAGTAGCGGCTGCTTTGATGTTTAGTCACATGGCCTAGGGGGCCTGCCCCCGGCTCTTCCCAAGTGCCCCCAAGTCCCAGCCCTGCAGATAATAGCCTCTTCGCCCACCTGCACCCCCTTCCCACAGCTGTGTGCCCGCGTGTCCTCTGCCCTGTCTCTGTGTGTGTCCAAGGTTGTGTTTGCCTCGGTCCTCAGTGCAGCTCAGCTCGCTCTCGCCGCCTTGCAGCCAGGCCGGTGAGCCAGCGGGAGCCGAGAGGAAGCCCGTCTGTGCCGGGGCCCCTGCCACTGCTGCAGGACGCCTGCGGGCCTCCCGACCGACCAACCGACCGACTGACCGCCTTTCCTCCCCGTAGGCTGCACTGGCCCCGCCTGCTCACCCCCTGGCTGAGACACCGGCAGTCCGGGCTGCGCACCGAGGGCCAGAACTTCATGCTGGAGGACTCCACCTTCTGGATATTTGGGGGCTCCGTGCACTATTTCCGCGTGCCCCGGGCCTACTGGAGGGACCGCCTGCTGAAGATGAAGGCCTGCGGCCTGAACACCCTCACCACGTGAGTGCCGCACCATGCCTCGTCCCTCGAGGGGCTCCTGGAGTCCAGTCCGGGCTTCTCCGTGGAAGCCCAGCCTGGGGGTCTCCTGGGTGCCAATGGGAGGGCCCTGGCTGGTCCTGCTCTGAGCAGCCAGGCTGCCCTGTGGTCCTGTCTTATACGTGGCTCACACCTTCACCTCTTGTTGGCCTTCTCTCCCCTCCCTGGGGACGTGAGCTCTTTGACCCTGGGACTGGCCCTCGGTTCTCTAAGGCCCTCAGCCTCTTCACTTAGTTCTTGGTCCTGATGTCACTAAGACAGTGCACTGCTGAGACAGTTTTAAAATATATATTTTTATTGATTTCAGAGAGCAAAGAAGAGAGAGAGAGAGAGAGAGAGATCAATGATGAGAATCATCGATTGGCTGCCTCCTGCACGCCCCCTACTGGGGATCGAGCCTGCAACCGGGGCATGTGCCTTGACCGGAATCGAACCCAGGTCCCTTCAGTCTGCAGGTCGATGCTTTATCCACTGAGCCAAACCAGCTAGGGCATCAAAGGGGGTTTAGGGATAAAGGGGTAACTGGGGGATGAGGTGGAATAAACGAAGAGGCCAAGCCTGTACTCTCTCCTGCCACAGCTATGTCCCCTGGAACCTCCACGAGCCCCAGAGAGGCACATTTGACTTCTCCGGGAACCTGGATCTGGAGTACGTGCTGCTGCTGCTCCTGTGGCCCGGCCTGGGCCTGGCCTGGGCCTGGGCCTGGGGCAGGAAGGGGCTGGCGGGTTGTTTAGGGACCATGGTGGCATCTCAGCTCTGCTTGGAGAGCCTGTTCTCAGGACCCCGTGCCAGCTCTGCACGTGCTCTCCGGCTGGGAGCCTGCTCCTCCCAGTGCCCAGGCCTCCCCTGAGCCCAGCCCTCCTCACTGCAGCCCAGAGGAGCCTGCTCCCGTCAGCCCTTCCTGCTCTGCAGTGCGGTCCCGCCACCTGTGCTGGGAGCGGGCTGCCCCTGGAAGCAGCAAGGTGGTCGGGTCAGGTTCATGGCGAGGACCCCGGCCCCTGTCTGACACCCCCTCCTCATGACCCGGTGGGCTGTGCAGAGGGTCCTGGGATGGGAGCTGTGAGAACCCAGCTACAGGCCTCAGGCCTGTGACCACAGGTGCAGGATGACCTGCTCTGCAGGGTAGGGCTCGGCCTTCCCTCACACTCCTTGTCTCTGGTTGGGAGGAGGGCAGGTCAGCAGAGGCTCCGGGCAGCTCCGCCGCCTGCGGTGTGTGCTGGCTTGTCCCCACCCCCCTGCTCGGACGTCCTCAGAGTGGCCGCCATTGACCTTGCCAGGGCCTTTATCCGGCTGGCCGCGGAGGTGGGGCTGTGGGTGATCCTGCGTCCAGGCCCCTACATCTGCAGCGAGATCGACCTCGGCGGCCTGCCCAGGTGAGCAGTGTGCGGCCTCTGGCCACAGCTTCCGTTGTCCGTATGCCTATGTCAAATGTGAATCACAAACACAGGTTTAATTTTGCTTTTAAAGTATATTTTTCCGTTTTGTACTGAAATTCCTTTTCAGAATAAGTAGCACCCAAAGGGGGTCATTTTAAACCATGTCACCCTCACCATCCGTGTCTAATCCTATGTGGTTTCCATGTGGCACCCCTAGGTGTGTCTCTCCGAGGCGTGTGCTCCGTCAGGGCTCTGCTGTGAGTCGGCCTCAGTTGGGCCATTTGTCCGCCCTGGACCTCACCTTCCTGTCTGCAAATTAGGGACTATCACACCCACCTGCCTGTGTCTCGGGGATGTGACCGGCATTTATTTGTTAAAGTATACCAGAAGCAAATGATTTCTTTTGTTTGCTCTCCTGTCTTTGCATTTCAGCCCTCAGGAGTTATTTAGCATGTGTAGTGCCCACCGGCGCCAATGGAGGGCGGTGTGGTTGGAGTAGAAACTGGACCACCTGCCCCCACATTCATGCCTCATCCTCATCATTATTTCCTTTAATTGTCAGGGGGGAAAAATTAATATATTTTATTGATTTTTACAGAGAGAAAGAGAGAGGGATAGTTAGAAACATCGATGAAAGAGAAACATCCACCAGCTGCCTCTTGCAGCACTTCCCCCCCACCCCCCCCCCCGGGAATGTGGGGATGTGCTCGCACCCAAGGTACATGCCCTTGACCAGAATTGAACCCAGGACCTTTCAGTCCCGCAGACCTACTCTATCCACTGAGCCAAACCGGTTTCAGATGGCCAGGTCTGCTCCTCCCCCAGCCCGTGCTGCCCCTGGGGGCGGGAGGCTGATCCTGTTGCCAGGCTGTCTCCTGCGGGACTGGCTTCCCCCCCAGAGTGCAGCCTCCCCTCAGGCCTCCGCCTTGCTTTGTTTTTGTTCCTCTGGTTTCCAGCGCCACCCAGCCCTGCCCCAGGGGCACAGGCAGGCCGTCTCCACCTCCTGCACCACCCAGGACCACCTGTGTGTCCCTGGCCCATTCATCACGCCGAGAGTGCCCTCAGCCTGGCTGTGAGCCCAGCCACAGCGGCCTCCCCACCCCTGGGGATTAGACATTTGTCTGTGTCAGCAAGGAGCCTCTGGCTGAGCCGGAGCGGGTACAGGATGACAGGGTTTAAGTCTCAGCTCAGAAGCAGCAAGGACTCCGGCACTCGGACCTCCTGGGCAGGTGCTGGCCATCCAAGCCCGGGTGGCATAGCGGTGGGCCCACGGACAACCCGGGAGGCGGCTGCTCCTCTGGGAAAAGGCTGAGCGCCCGTGGGGTTGCACAGCAGACCTGTCTCGTGGGGATGGCGAGGAGCCGTCAGCCCTGCGGAGACTGCTCTCCCTCGTCCATCATGACCTCACACAGAGGGGCACTTCTCTGACCCTTTTCGGGACTTCTCCACCAGGGCCTTTTCGGAGAGCCTTTTGTAAGAAAATATACATGTTTCGCAGAATTTCATATGAGATGGAAAGGACCTTGACTCCAGCTCTGGAACAATGCTCCGTTTTCCTTGGGGAATGGGGACCCTCCCTCCACTCCCCGCATCCCAGACAGATTGCAGGAAGAATGAATGTCCTTGCTCCCTGCTTCTCCCCTGAGCTGAGCTCTGCACAGCTGATGCTGAGGATGCAGATGAGCCAGCTCAGGGGGAACGCAGCCAGGCCAGGGCAGGGCAGGGGCCAGGGCGGCGGGAGGCAGCGTGGCCTGGCACCGCACAGCCTGCTTCCCGCCTGCTTTCCTGGGTGACGCGGGAGGCTGCCTCTGGTTCTGCAGTCCCAGCCCCATGCCTTTGGCTTCACCCTTTACAAAGGGATGGCCGAGTAAATGCTTGAAGACCAGGCCTTGCGTCCAATGAGAAGCTTTTCTCGCTCTGACTGGCAGCCACACCTAGAGCCACGGAGTTGGACATAAGTTGCCACCCGGCTGGTGCCCCCTGTCAGGGGGGCTGGGCCAGGCCACACGTGCTCCTCTCCGACGGGTGGAGAGTGTTGGGGTGGGGGCGTCTCGGGCACGGCCTCCCTGTCCCACCCTGCCCAGAGCGACCCACACTAATCCCCACGCCCTCCCTTTCTGTTCAAGCTGGTTGCTCCGAGACTCCGGCATGAAGCTGAGGACGACGTACAAGGGCTTCACCAAGGCCGTGGACCTGTACTTTGACCACCTGATGGCCAGGGTGGTGCCGCTCCAGGTACAAGCACCTGCCTTCGCACGGGGAGTCAGCAGCCCGAGGGCGGCTCTCAGCCCAGAGCTCCCAGTGCCTTCCAGCACAGGAGCTCCTGCCTTCCCGCTGCCTGCGACCTGTAATGGATGTAGTCATTGGTTGGTTATTTTATTTTTTTTATTTTAAATTTTTATTTATTTTACTTTATTATTTAATTTAATTTTAAAATGATTTATTTTAATTTAATTCATTTATTTTACTTTATTTTATCTATTTTATGTTATTTACTTCATTTTATTTTACTTCATTTTATTTTATTATTTTATCCCATCACCCTATACCCATGTTTGGCAAACTGCAGCTCGCGAGCCACATGCGGCTCTTTGTTCCCAGTTTTATTGCTTTCCACTCTGTGTCTTACTGCCCTCCCTCTCCATCACACACCGAACCTTTGGAGACTTTGGCTTCCCAGTGGGATGTTACGCTAGTACCGGGTGGGAAGTGCAGTGGCAGGAGACCATCAGTTCCCACTGCAAGCTGGGCTTCAGGCTATTTCTCTCTTTCCCCAGTACAAGCACGGGGGACCCATCATCGCTGTGCAGGTGGAGAATGAGTACGGCTCCTATAACAAAGACCCCGCCTACCTGCCTTACGTCAAGAAGGTAAATGTTGCTGAAACCGGTTTGGCTCAGTGGATAGAGCGTCGGTCTGTGGACTCAAGGGTCCCAGGTTCAATTCCGGTCAAGGGCATATACATTGGTTGTGGGTACATCCCCAGTGGGGGATGTGCAGGAGGCAGCTGGTCGATGTTTCTCTTTCATTGATGTTTTTAGTTCTCTATCTCTCTCCTTTCCTCTCTGTAAAAAAAATCAGTAAAATGTGTTTAAAAAAAAAAAAAGAAAGAAAGGAGGTAAGTGTCATCGCAATTCATTTTCTCACACTCCGTCCTCCCAAACTGTTACAGGCTGTGGTGTCACAGGGGGTCTGATGCTTCTCTCAGTACCAGTTCTTAACTAGCACATTTTTTTCCTCCATACTTTAAAAAAATAAAAATAATATATATATATATATATATATATATATATATATATATATATATATATATATATTTTCCCCCTATGGATTTTAGAGAAGAAGGGAGAGAGCTAGAGAGATAGAAACATCAATGATACGAGAGAATCATTGATTAGCTGCCTCCTGCACGCCCCCTACTGGGAATAGAGCCGGCAACCCCGGGCAAGTGCCCTAGATGGGAATTGAACCTGGGACCCTTCAGTCCGCAGGCCGATGCTCTATCCACTGAGCCAAACCAGCGAGGGCTTTCTCTGTCCTTTTATCTCAGTAGGGTTGTCGCACATTGGCCCTTTATTGAACAAGTATAATAGGGGACGGCAGCGCCGGGGGAAGGACTTGTATGAACTGCCTGGCCCTGAGCCATGCCGGACTTCCAGCCGGGGGAGCTCTGCCCACCATCGCGCACACGGACAGAGCGAACAGAGCGGGCTTCTCTGTTTCCTGCAGGGAAATCCATGCTTTGTTTGAAGCTCCTCCTCCTTCCCTTCCTGCTGCCTCCTTCCCAGCAGCGTGGCCGGCAGGGGCTCTGAGGAGGGTGGATGGTGACCCTCTCCTTCCCCTCCCTCCCTAGGCCTTGGAGGACCGAGGGACTGTGGAGCTGCTCTTAACTTCAGACAACAAGGATGGCCTGAGCAACGGGGTCATCGACGGAGGTGCGTGGAGGCGGCCGCGGTCCTTCTCCCTTCTGCGTGGCCCTGGGCCCCGAAGCACTGGGCGCCCCTGTCCCAGACTTGCTGTTGCCGGCTCTGTCGTTGATGATGTTCCTCTCATCTAGCTCTCTATCCTAATCTCCCTTCCTCTCTCTTTAAATGTCAATTACAAAAAATTTATATATATTATTGATTTTTTTATAGAGAGGAAGAGAGGGGGTTAGAGAGTTAGAAACATCGATGATAGAGAAACATCGATCAGCTGCCTCCTGCACACTCCCCACTGGGGATGTGCCAGCAACCAAGGTACATGCCCTTGATTGGAATTGAACCTGGGACCCTTCAGTCCGCAGGCCGATGCTCTATCCACTGAGCCAAACGGGTTTCGGCGTCAATTAAAAATTTTAAGAAATACCACCTTCAATTTAAAAAATACAACACATGATTGGGTAGAATAAAAAATTAGCCCTCATCTAAGAAATACACGGGAATCGACCATCACCCACCCTGTTCTGGTGCTTGAGGTGCAAAGTCAAGATCTGACTCCGGGGCTCCTTCAAGGGAATGGTGAGCGGAAATGCACTCTGGCTGGGGAAGTGACGTGGATCAGAACAGAAGGGCGGTGAGGTCTGTGCCGAGAGCTGAGGATCCAGGTGCCTGAGACCATCGGACCTCAGAGGACCCAGATGCTGATTGGGGGGTGGGAAACGATGCCAAGACGAGGCAGCTCGTTTTGCTGGTGAACTGAGAAAGGTCTGGGGCAACTTGGCGAGTCTTCCCTGCACTGCGCCAACACATACCCTTCCCTTCTCTCCTCTCCATCCCCAGTGCTGGCCACCATCAACTTACAGTCGCAAGACGACCTGCAGTTACTGACCATGTTCCTCTTAAGTGCCCGGGTAAGCCTGGCCCGGGAGCCGTCGGCCGCTCAACATGCCTGTAGGGAGTTCTGAAGCGGAGGAGTCAGGGGAGCCTCTTGCTCAGGAATTCCACTGTTGCTCTTCGCCCTGCAGTGGCCTCAGGGTGCCTCTGGGGGAGGGGAGCTCGGGCGCTGACAGGTTTTCTCACCAGCCCCACATGCAGGGGTCTACCGTGTCATCGCTGGGAGCGTGTTCGCCCTCCACCTGCACAGTGGAGGCCATGCCTGGAGGCCAAGTTGTGGCAGGTGCCTCTGACTATCTCTGCGCTCAGGGACCTTGGGGCCAGGGGGCAGCTGGCAGAACAGAGGGCGTGGCCTCACTGGGAGGGGCTTTCCTCTGTTCCCCTCTCTTGACTAGCTAAAGTCTCGTTTTGTGGTGCCAGGGGGTTCAGCCCAAGATGGTGATGGAGTACTGGACAGGGTGGTTTGACTCCTGGGGGGGCCCCCACAACATCCTGGATTCTTCCGGTAAGTGCTCGCAACCCCTACGTCTAACGGGTGTGGGAGTAAGTTCCGACGTCCCCCTCATTGAGTCTGCAGCTACTCGTATGTCATAGTCGGCTCTTGATACTCCCAAACCATGATTCTTGACACATGATTTTTTTTTTAATTTTATTTAAGAAAATATATATTTTTTATTGATTTCAGAGAGGAAGGGAGAGGGAGATAGAGAAACATCACTGATGAGGAGAATCATTGATCAGCTGCCTCCTGCATACCCTCTACTGGGGATGGAGCCCACAACCCGGGCATGTGCCCCTGACTGGGAATCGAACCTTGACCTTCTGGTTCACAGGTCAATGCTCAACCATTGAGCCATGCCAACTGGGCAACAGTAGGATTTTTAAATTGCTTTATTATGTTTTTTGTAATTAGATAAGTAACACATGCCTACGACACACATCCAGCAAACAGAGAAAATGTCTAAAGAAAAAATAAGAGCCCTGGAGCCCAGACAGTGCTGTGATGTGCACTGTCTAGGCAGCTCTCGCTCTGCCTCTGTCTGCAGCCCTGTGTACACGTACAGACAGAGGTGTGGACAGAGGCCATCACGTCTGTTTCTGTACAGAACGGGTCGCCTGCTTGTGCTGGCGGGAGACACACATGGGCAGCTTTCTGTGCTGTTTGCTATGATCCCATCACTGTGTCCAAGAAGCCCATGGTGCTGCGTCTCAATCAGCTCCCGTGTCCCGTCTCTTAGAGACGGGCGCTGCGGTGGCTTCCAGTGTGTCCTGTGAGTTGAACACCATGGCACTGAGCCTTCTGGAACATCTCATTTTGCACACCTGGCCTGTTTTCCCCAATGACATGTTCCTAGCAATATGATGACTACATGAATGCAATTTCTGTAAATATACTTGCTAAACAGCTGCCCAGAAGGATTGCAGCCATTCTTAACTCTCTGTGATTAAAGGAGAATGCCGGTTTCCAACAGATTCCCACAGATTGTGGGATGTGCCCACAATCAAGGTACATGCCCTTGACCGGAATCGAACTTGGGACCCTTGAGTTCTATCCACGGAGCCAAATCAGTGAGGGCATGTTTATCTTTTTCTATTATTTGAACTAAAAAACCAAGTCATTTTATGGAGTAACAGGACTGTCTTAAAATGACAGCGTTTACAGTAACAGAGTTTACACAACAAGGGGTTGACTAACAATAGCAGAGAATTTTAAACAGCAGTTTTCTATACCAGAGGGAGGTTACTGTGCTTCCTGACGTTGCAAAGCCTGTCAGGGGCAGGCGGAGGCCGCCCCGGGTCATGGCCAGCGAAGGCTTGTCTGTGATTTTATAAACAGCTGCAAGGCCCAAGCTCCGGAGCTGAGACCCCGGTCACTTCTCCTCCTCCTCCTCCGATGACAGGGGCTTCTGGGAAGCAGAAGGACAGCCAAGGGGTTGAACTGGAGGAGGGATGGGGGTAGGCGAGCATGCTGGGGGATGGGGGGGGGGACTTTGGCTTGTGTCAGACTCAGGCTCACTGCGCGCCCCCCTCCCCTCTCTCTCCTTACAGAGGTTCTGAAAACCGTGTCGGCCATCATCGACGCCGGCTCGTCCATCAACCTCTACATGTTCCACGGAGGCACTAACTTCGGCTTCATGAGCGGAGCTATGCACTTTCACGACTACAAGTCTGACGTCACCAGCTACGGCAAGTCTCCCCCGACGCTGACCCTCCCCGGAACGCCCGCATCGGCGTGTCTGGGGTTTACGGAGAGTCCCTCGGGGAGGGCTCTGGCACCTGGAACGCATTAGGCCCGAGTGCCCGGGAGCGGAAGGGGGAGATTGGGTGCAGATGGTCACTTACTTTATGTTAATGCACATAAAGACCACTTAGGTAAGGTTTTTTTATAATTTATTGATTGATTTTTTACAGAGAGGAAGGGAGAGGGATAGAGTTAGAAACATCGATGAGAGAGAAACGTCTATTAGCTGCCTCCTGCCCACCCCCTACTGGGGATATGCATGAAACCAAGGTACATGCCCTTGACCGGAACCGAACCTGGGACCCGTCAGTCCATAGGCCGACGCCCTATCCACTGAGCCAAACCGATTTCGGCCGGATGGTCACTTTCCAGCCTGCAGGGCAGTGGGAGGCCGGAGCCCCCTGGCAGGCCGGGAGCCCTGGGGAGTCGGTGGGAGGAAGTGAGAGAGGCCCCCCCCTCCCCGGGCAGGGAGGCCCTGGGGGTGGCGTAACCCCTGCCCTCGGGCAGGCAGGAAGGAGGCCTGAGGTGTGGGGCTGTGCCGTGGCCGTGGGCAGTTCAGGTGGCACCTGCAGTGGTTAGTGTTCAGTCTCCCGCTGACCGCTCACCCCCAGAGGGTTTTGTCTCCCGCTTGGGGAGATGAGGTCCACGCTGCCGGACCCCAGCCTCTGCCTCCTCTTTTGGCTGCGTGACTGGCTGGGACCCCGGTGTCTTGCAGACTATGACGCGGTGCTGACCGAGGCCGGGGACTACACGGCCAAGTACACCAAGCTCCGAGGGCTCTTCGGCTCCATGTCAGGTACCAGGAGAGCGAGCAGCAGCTGAGCACTAGCGTGGGCCCTAGCCCCTTCCCCTACAGCTAGTGGTCGGCAAACCGCGGCTCGCGAGCCACAGGCGACTCTTCGACCCCTGGAGTGTGGCTCTTCCATAAAATACCACGGCCTGGGCGAGTCTATTTTGAAGACGTGGCCTTAGAAGAATGAGTTTAAAGAATGTGGCTCTCCAAAGAAATGTCAATCATTGTCCTGTTGCTATTTGGCTCTGTGGACGAATGAGTTTGCCGACCACTGACCTACAGAGTTCCTCCCGTAGTCGGCCTGCATGTGAGAACGCCTTAAGGCGGGGACAGGCACGCTGGAGGGACTGTTTGCCTGTGGTGTGTCTTGCCCAGGTTGCCCATTTACAGATGCTGACTTCTGAGGGCTTGAGAAAGCCCCTTTGTGCCCCCTGGCATGCCCTTCGCAGAGAGTCTAAGAGCATATTGGGCCATGGATAGGAGTGGAGGGGGCTGGGAGGTGGGGGAGGGGGGGCGCTGGAGGAGGCAGTGACTGTCTGGTCCTTTGCGGGTGGCCCTGTGGTCTCTTTGCAGGTAGCCCGCTGCCTCCCCCACCCCAGCTCCTCCCCAAGACCGCGTACGAGTCGCTGAGGCCGGCCTTGTACCTGTCGCTGTGGGACGCCCTCCAGTACATGGAGTCGGTGAGCGCTGCCGCGGGGGTCCAGGCCAGGGGGCACTCCCTGCAGGTCCAGAGCAGGAAGTGGGAATGCTCAACAGGAACGCGAAGGGACGCTGGGCAGCACGATGGGGTTCCATCCCCGCAGGCTCCGGGGGTGGGGAGAGGGGGGCACCTCCTGTAGCTGATGCAGAGGGAGCTGTGTCATCTGAAATGGTGGTGGATTGAGAAGCTGCAAGGCCCCACATGGCAGGGCTTTATTCTGTGTATTTTGTGGGTTTTAAATATATATATATATATTTTATTGATTTTTTACAGAGAGGAAGGGAGAGGGATAGAGAATCAGAAGCATTGATGAGAGAGAAATATCGATCAGCTGTCTCTTGCACCCGCCCCACTGGGGATGTGCCCGCAGCCAAGGCATATGACCTTGACCGGAATCGAACCTGGGACCCTTGAGTCTGCAGGCTGATGCTCTATCCACTGAGCCAAACTGGCCAGGGCTGTTTTGTTTTTTTCTCCCACATCATCTTCCTCTTTCACATCCCCCTTTCCTGCGACTCTGGAGAGCCGTGAGAAATCAGAATAGAAGAAATTGTTAAAGGTCCCTGCCTACCACCGCCCCCCACCCCCAGGGCACTGGCCCCCTGGGGGTGCTGTCTGCCACCCTGCACTTCCCCCGGGGATCCAGAGGAGGTAGCTGCCTTTGCCAACCCCCTTGGCTAGCCCTGTGCCCGCTCCTGCCTGTCCTTTCTGCAGCCAACCACCTCGGAAAAGCCTGTCAACATGGAGAACCTGCCGGTAAACAACGGAAACGGCCAGTCCTTCGGGTACACCCTGTACGAGACCGCCATCAGCTCCCCCGGCATCCTCAGGGGTCTCGTGCGTGACCGGGGACAGGTAGGAGCGTCCCTTCATTCCTGTGCCTGTGCAGGAGGGATCGGGCTCACCATACCCCTTCCCCCCCTTTCCCCACCCTTTGCACTCACATGCCCAGCTGGTACCGGCTCGTGGAGGTGGGCCCTTGCTGTGCGGCCTCTTCCTCTGCCTGGCAGAGGTCCCGCCGCCTCCTCCCTCCTGACAGCCCACAATGCTTCCCGTCTGTCTGTCCGGCAGGTGTTTGTGAACACAGTCTACCTCGGCTTCCTGGGCTACGAAAGGAAGGAGATCGTCATCCCCTTAATCCAGGTGTGTGTCCAGGGGAGCTGGGCGGTGGGTCGCGCCAGCCTCCTCCTTCACCGGGGTGGTGGGCCTCCGAGAGGGAGACCTGGGAACCAGGTGCTCCTTAACTAGAGCTGTGGGTGGAGAGTGGGGACAGAGCCTGGCGTTCTGATCGGAAGGGGCACCTCCATGCTCGTCCTGGCTGCTCAGGAAGGAGCTGAGTTCTGCAGGGTGAAGAGACTATCATCGCTGAAACCAGTTGGGCTCAGTGGATAGAGCGTTAGCCTGTGGACTGAAAGGTCCCAGGTTCGATTCCAATCAAGGGCATGTACTTTGGTTGCGGGCACATCCCCAGTAGGGGGTGTGCAAGAGGCAGCTGATTGATGATTCTCTCTCATTGATGTTTCTAACTCTCTATCCCTCTCTGTAAAAAATCAATAAAATATATTTAAAAAAGACAGCCATCACGGACTCAGGGACTAACGCTGTGTTCCCGGCAGGGCTACACCGTGCTCAGGATCTTGGTGGAGAACTGTGGGAGGGTCAACTACGGGCACAACATCGATGACCAGCGCAAAGGTTGGTCCCAGGGCATGCAGGGAGGGGAGCTGCCGACACTCAGCCTGTGCCAGCTCTGCCGCCCCCACCCCAGCTCCTCAGCAGGCCTCCAGGCTGGTTGCAGGAAGGGGGGTGGTCATGGGGAGCCATGGGAAGGGGGGCCCCGGGAGGCCCACAACAGCGAGCTGGAGGTGGTTCTGAAAGGCCCACTTGGGTCTGACCTCTCCCCTGTCAGCCCTCCCTGTGCGTGCTGTCCACACGCCCGTGGTGAATCCACGGTGAGCTCTGAGCTGGATTCTGTCACTGCCCTCCACCTGTTCTCTCGCGCACATCCGGGGGCCTGGCTGACATGGGTGATTCCTCCTCTGCCCCTCAGCGCTTGATGGGGGCGGTTTGCTGCCCGGGGCCAGCCCTGTAGGGAGCATGCACTTCAGGAGAAACGTTGACCTTCCCAGAAACTGCCCCTGCTCACCCTTGCCTCCCTCCCACAGGCGTAATTGGAAATATCTACCTGAATGAAATTCCGCTGAGAAACTTCAAAATCTATAGCCTGGAGATGAAAAAGAGCTTCTTTCAGAGGTAGGTCCCAGCAGGGGGCAGAGTTTGGGCCCCCGGGTGACGTGCAGAGAGAGCCAGCAGACCCCCCTCAGAGCTGCTCTAGCCTCGCCCCTGCTCTCACTCACCTGTGAGCCGACCAGGGGCCCTGCCTCTTGCCCAGGTGGGGGAGTGCCCACGCTGGAGACAGGGCCTTGCCCCAGTGCTGCCCTCTGCCATTCCTGGGCCCTGTGACCGGCGCCTTTGCAGCTGGATGCTGGTGGGGCCGGATCTGAGGAGTTCCCTCCGCCTCCCTGTCTTCTGTTCTGTCCGTAGGTTTGGCTCCAGCGCATGGAACCTGGTCCCCGAAGCACCCGTGTTCCCTGCCTTCTTCCTGGGCGCCCTGCCCGTGGCCCTCTCCCCCCTGGACACCTTCATGAAGCTGGAGGTGCGTCGCTGCCCGGCCCGGGTTCTGGTCCATCCTCAGCTGCTCTGAGGCTGAGCCGGGAGGAGGGGCCGCTCCCCACGAGGCTCTCCTAAGCCTCGCCCTCTCTCACCTGCACCTGGACCGTCAGGCTTCGGGCCGCCCCCTCTGCAAGGGTCTGGCCTCCCCGGGGAGGGAGCCGGTGGGCTCACAGCAGAGGGGCCACCCTGGAGGTCTTCCCAGGGCCCGGGCTCCTCCGTCCAGGGTGGGAAGTCAGGGCCATTGGGACAGAGAGACAGGGCACTCCGCCTGGCCGTCTCCTCGCTGTCACTTGGGTCGTCCGGAAGCTGAGGATGGAGCCTTCAGGGGGGGCGGGGTCCCGTGTGCTGGCTCTGTGGCTGACGCGCTCACTCTGCCTAAAGGGCTGGGAGAAGGGCGTCGTGTTCATCAACGGCCAGAACCTGGGGCGCTACTGGAACGTCGGGCCCCAGGAGACCCTCTACCTCCCAGGTGTCTGGTTGGACCAAGGCATCAACCAGGTGGGAGCACTCGCAGCCCCGTCCCTTCTGCCCAGGCCTCTTCCCTCCCCCCCCCACCCCCCCCACCCCCCCCCGGTATCACAGTGCTCCCCCAGGGCGGGAGGGAGGCCCTGGCCACAGTCTGTTAGGGCCGGTTAGGGCCGGAGTGGGACAGCGTTCTGGCCGGTTCCCTCTCAGCTCCTCCTTGGTGCTGTCCCTTCCAGCCCAGTTCCCAGCCCCTTCCCTAAGGCTCCCTCTCCGGTCTCAGACACACCGCGGTGGCTGTCAGCCCAGCGCCTCTCTCCCCAGGTCATTGTTTTTGAGGAGAAGGCGGCGGGCCCCGTGATCCAGTTCACCGACACCCCCCACCTGGGCAGGAACCAGTATATTCACTGAGCAGCGGGAAGCAGGGGGCGCCCCTCCTCACGGCTGCCTGGAGGCCTGATGGGCTGCCCCCCAAGCCCATGTAGGGGGAGCTCACCGGTAGCATTTCCTCAGGGAGCCGAGGGCAGTACCTCTGCCCACTGCTGCGGTTCAAGACCCCGAATCTGCTGAAGGGGGGGGGCTGGTGAGGGAGGGCGGCCCTACTCACCTGAGGGGGCTCCTGACGGGGCTCTGTGGACGGCACTATCTGCCCCCTCTCTCCTGGGAGGGGGCAGAGGGATGGGTGTCTGGGTGAGAGTGGTTGGGTCTCCGTTTGGTGACGCCTGGGCCTGGGGAAGGCCTGACCGGCCGGGCGTGGCTGCTGCCCCCAGCTGTGCCCGGTGAAGGTTCTGGCCTGGCCTGGCCCATCCCTTAGGGCCCCTGTCTGTTTCTCAAGTAGAGGCCATGGCCCTATCTGTAGAGGATAGTGAAGAGGTGTCTCTCCAGAACCGACTTTGTTTCTTTTTTTCTTAAAATATATGTGTATTGCTTTCAGAGAGGAAGGCAGCAGGAGAGAGAGAAAAACATCAATGATGAGAGAGAATCATTGACCAGCTGCACGCCCCCTACTGGGGATTGAGCCTGTAACCTGGGCATGTGCCCTTGACTGGAACCGAACCTGGGCCCCTCCAGTCCACAGGCCGATGCTCTATCCACTGAGCCACACCAGCCAGGGCCACTGTTGTTCTTCACAGCCCTCCCTGAGCCTTCCCTGGGGTCCCGGAAGGAACTCCATTTGAGAGACATGCACATTTTCTTGCTTCTTTCCCGCTCTAAGCGCCTCCGACAGGATGGCAAGCCGGGCTGAAGAGAAACAGACATCTCGGCCCCTTGTTCTCCTGAAACGGAGCCTTTCCAGGTTCACTCAGTGAGTGGAGGGGAACTGAGGGTCCCAGCGGGAACCACACCCCTCTCAGAGGCACAGGGGGCGAGGGCAGAGGGCTCAGCTCCAGGACATGGGGAGGCTGCAGGCTCACGCAGACCTTGCCGCCGGCTCCGTCTCCCCCCTCGCCTCCCGTGACGAACTGCAGGGAGGAGAGGCAGGCTTCCCGGCAGTTGTCTGTCTGTCCACAATGCAGCTGCTTGTCCTGGGGACCGGCTCGCTGTCAGAGCTGCAATAAAGCAGTCGCGTTAAACCCTCTTTGGTGGTGGCTCTCTGACCCTGTCGGTGCAAAGGCAGCGTGCAGCCGGGCACTCGTGCGTGCAGCCCAGCCGGCACTCGGCGTCCGTGCTGACTCCTTGCCTCCTGGCCTCCATCCTCCGAGATGCCAGTATGGTCGGGGGGCCCTGGGAGAGAAGCCCAGGACGGATCCATTCTGGTGCCGGTGGGCAGCGGGCGAGTGCCAGGCCCCTGTCCCTTCCAGCCCAGTTCCCAGTCCCTTCCCTAAGGCTTCCTCTCAGGCTCCCAGACACGCCTCGGTCGGGCGGCCTCAGGTAGCAGGGTGGTGTGGGGCTCCGGGGCCCAGTCCCCCAGATGCCCTGAGCTCGCCGCCAGCATGTCCCTGGTTTCTTGTCTTGGTTTCTGTTGGCCCGTCTGCGAATGGGGCTGACGGTGAGGACTGACCCCAGCCACGGTGTGTGAGCCGCTGTGCCGGTGCAGGGTCCTGCAGGAACCCCTTTCACGTCCCACGTGGTCCAGGGTTCGGGTTCAGGGTTCGGGCTCTGGAGGAGGCCGCACACAAATGAAAGAGTCTTGAAAAGTATTACTTTGGGATTATTGGGGGCCAGGCAGGAGCCCACCTCTAGGGGGAGGACTCCACCCCACTCTGGCCTTGTTAAAAAAATATATATTTTATTGATTTTTTACAAGGAGGAAGGGAGAGGGATAGAGAGCTAGAAACATCGATGAGAGAGAAACATCGATCAGCTGCCCCCTGCACACCCCCCACCAGGGATGTGCCCAAGGCACATGCCCTTGACTGAAATCGAACCTGGAACCCTTCAGTCTGCAGGCCGGCGCTCTGTCCACTGAGCCAAACCGGTTTCAGCCTTGCTATCCCTTTTATTAAGACGTTGGGCTCCACCCATAGAGGCAGGCAATTCCAATAATAGCCAATCAGCAAGGATTTCCATAAGATGGACAGGTAGAAGTTGCTTCAGCTACCAATGTCTCCATTAGGCAGTGAGTGGTTGGCTCTGGCCTTTCAGAGCTGCCCAGGTTAACCAGTCTTCCAGGTTCCTTGTCCACACCGCTCTGCTGGCAGGGACAATGGTCGGTTTCCGTCGGGGTCCGGTGCCTGCTGAGCTGTCCCGTGGCGTATTTGGTCCTGCTCTGACGTGGGCTGGAGCCCGCCCCCCGGTGTGTGGGTTCCTGGCCAACATGGCGGATCCGTGTCAGATGCCGCCTGGGACCCAGCCACAGGCCGCCTGTGTGGAGCTGGAAAGCCATGCACAGCTTCTGGGGGCCATGGCTGGGCCTGGGTGTGCATGGGAGGGGCCACTCCATGTGCCAAGGTTGACTTCCACCAGCCCTGAGCCTGGGGGACAGGTCAGCAGAAGGCCCAAGGCACCCCAACAGCCAGCTGCCGGCGAGGCCCCATCGCAGGAAGGACCTCTCGGGGCGTGTGCGTTGTGTGAGGTAGGCTCCCAGGAGGGGCGAGAAGTGTGCATCCCATCGACACAGGTTCATACACGGCACCAGGGCTGGGTCTGAGGCCGCTCGGCAGAATTCTCAGGGATCACCAAGGCCAGCCTCTCCCCTTCCCCACAAAGGCCTCCGGGCCTCGGGTGTTGGGGTGCGATTTGGGGGAATCATCAGGGTGAGTTCATCGGGCTGAAACAGACCCAGACTGGGCTGTGTGCAGGGAGGGCCCGGCACTGGCTGGGCGTTTCCCGGGGAAAATGGTCCGAGAGCCACGCACCTCGGTGTCTGCTGTCGCCTCTGCCCCCCTGAGTCCGCCTGGCTCCTGAGAGCCTCCCAGGAAGGTGTGTGCCAGGAGCTCAGGCCAGCCCGGCCAGCAGACTCTGCAGGGCGCAGCCACGAGGAGAGGGAAGGTGGGGTACCCCTAGGCCAGTGATCGGGAAACTCAGTCCACAGAGCCAAATATCAACAGGACAACGATTGAAATTTCTTTGGAGAGCTAAATTTTTTACACTTAAACTTCTCCTAACGCCACTTCTTCAACATAGACTCACCCAGACCGTGGTGTTTTGTGGAAGAGCCACACTCCAGGGGCCAAAGAGCCGCGTGTGGCTCTCGAGCCGCAGTTTGCCGACCACGGCCCCAGGCTGATGGGTGTGGAGGGGAGTGCTTTGACTCGAGCAAGATGGTGCCTGTGGGTGACGTGGGCCCAAGGGGAGTTGGCGATGGTCCCTCGGCTCTCTCCCTGGATCAACTGTCCCTCTCAGTCACCTCCAGAATCGAACTGCTCTCCACTCCACAACTGGCACCTCCCTCCGGCTCCCCAGCGCCTGGACCCGGCTGGTGGCCACACTGCCTCCCCCCCGCCTGCCCTCACCTTCCCTGCTTCCCGTCAGCACAGAATGCAGAGTGGTCCTTTTAAAAGGCCGGTCAGGCCACGTCTGTCCTCGGCTCCAAACCCTCCAATGGCTTCCCTCTCCCTCACAGTAGAAGGCAAAAAACGTCACCCCGGTCCCCAGGACCAACCACCATGTCCTGCCCGTCCCGTCTCCCACCACTGACCCCTCCCACCTTCCCCAGTCTCAGTCGCGTTGGCTTTGTTGTTGGCTTTTAAGCAGCCAAGCTCTCTCCTGCCGGGGGCAGAGTTCTCTTTTCTGGAAGGCTCTGGCCTAACACGGGCACGTCTGCCTGCTGCTCTTCTGCTCAGATGTCACTTTCCCCGGGCGGGGGGCCTCTCTGACCACCCCGTGTGGGGCTCAGGTCTTCCCACAGCGACCCTCTGCGACCCCACCCACTCCCCCACCCAGCCCCATGCTGGTTCTCAGACTAGATGGCATCCGAAAGGCTGTGGGTCTGTTCGCTGTCTACTCGTGCCCCCTCACGAGAAGGGGAGCTCCGTGAAGGCTGGTGCTGGCCCCCGGAATAACGCGGCTCATGGTAGGCCCCCGACAGGTGCACGTTCGGCGGACAGTGGCTGGAGCCGTCCAGGGGAATACAACAAAGCTGGGCCGAGAAGGGTTAGGGATGTTAAAAACTGTATCCGACTTTTAATTTTAAAAACAAAGGAAATACAGTTAATGAACTCAGACCCGAAGGTTTGGCTGCCCTGGCTCCACCCTCCGTCTCCGTAGGGGACGCCCAGCCCCCCCCCCTTCCCCCCCCCCCCGCCCCCCGGCTTCACGCCTCTGCAGTGGGAAGTTTGGAAAACGAATGGCATAATCCTGGACCACATTCTGATTGATCACAAACGCATCCCTGGCAAGGAAGGAAGCTGCAGGCCCCCAGGACGACAGTGACCGATAAACCCACATGCAGCTGCAAGAGGACAGCTCCCACCTCCCAAAAAATAGTAAAAGAGAGGAAGCAGGAGAAAACGCCTCATTTTGTTCAGTCCCAATTTCCTGAAGGCGAGCCCTGGGCTGTTTCTGGGTTTTGTTTTTTGTTTATTTGTTTTTGGTATTTTTGTTGGTTGGTTGGTTTTTGGCTGAGAAGGTGGCCGGAGACCAGCCCAGATCACCTGAGCACAGGGCTGGGGAGGCAGTGGAACGCCTGGGCCTGGGTTAACGCATGGGATGGTCGCCTGCGCCCACCTCGTCCCTCTTCTCCCACGCCAGGCCACGCCACGCCACGCCACGTGATGGCGAGAAGTCGATTTCCAAAGCCACCACTGAATACGTAAGAAGTTGTGGGGGGGGGGGGTGCCCTACAAGGTGGCTCAGGGGATAAGGTCCCATTGGATGGGCTCATGACTACTGTGGGGAATTCCATCCGTTTCCAAACAGGCAACCAATGCTATTTTTTTTTTTTAATGTTTAGGTTGTCGGACTAAGTCCAATCCCCCCCACCCTCTTCATATTTCCCCCCCTTTCTCTAGAAGTGGGTTCTTTGTGGCCCTCAGACTGGTCCTGTGAGTTTAAACGAAGTGTTAGCGGTTAAAAAATAAACACCCCTTCCGTAGGCTCATGCCTTTTCCTTTTCCTCCATGAGAGGAAAATTGTGCTTCTGAAGTTCAGGAGCATGAGGAGTGAGATCGCCACCAGAGGGCGCTGTCCCCCAAGCCAGAATGCCAGGGGCCTGTCCGGCTGCGGCGGGAGAGCCGGACACACGCCCCCTGGCTGTGGGAGCCGCCGGCGCATGCACTGTTCTAGCCAGGCTCGCTCTGCAGACTCCCCACCTGGAGAGAAGGGAGATGTTTCTTTCCCGTGTTGTGTTTAAAATAGAATTATTTCCAATGTCGTGTGTGCTCGGGTATCCTTTCCCCTCGGTGTCCAAATGATCTCAGTCCCTTGCCTATAAATATCTCTGCTACGCAGTCCTCCTGCCCACCCCCCCCCCCCCTTCCCCAAACCAGGGGCAAGAAGGAGGCTTGGGACTGCCCCCACCTTCCCTGTCCCTGGCTCACTGAGGTCTGTGGCTCTCAAGGGCTTCAGGAAGAGGGCTCCTGCCCTCCCCGTCCTGGCCCAGGCAAGGGGCCCTGGTGCCCAGGGGGCGTGGGGGTGGCAGCGAGGGGGAGGGGCCCACGTGGTCGTGGCCCAGGCCAGCCTGTGGCCTGAGCTGGCCTGAGGCCCACCTGCTTCTCTGTGCGGCAGGGCTGAGAGGCCTGGGCCCGAGGAAGGGGCTCCTCTCCCACCACAGCCCAGAGCACAGGGGGCGCCAGGAGGGGGGGGGGCAGGCCTGCACCTCCCTCCCATAGGGCTGCCCGCTGCCGGCATCAAAGACAGACGTATGATCTGGAGTCAGGGACTAGAGGAAAGCCACGGAGGCATGTGGACCTGGGAGCAGCTCTCCGAGGAGGGGCGGGCGCTCCTAGGGCCCAGGCAGGGCCTGCCGGCTGGTGTTCCAAATCCTCTGGACCCAGGAGCTGGGAGCCAGGAGGGCCACCTCCGCGTGACCGACCGCCGCGTCTTTCCCGATGCCCACGTGGATGAGCCCACGTGGATGAGCCCACGCGACCGCCCTGCAGGCCTGTGGTGCGGGAGCCCCCGGGGAGGAGGGCTGGGCCGGGCTGGCCGCTGGGCCCTGGCCACGCCGGGTGGAAGAGAACGACACATCTGGGATTTCTGTGCTTTAGGCTCTCCGTCCTTCGTCCCGGCCTCGGGCTGGGCTCCCAGAAGCCCCGGGAGAGAAAGGAGGCTGCTGGCCATCCCGTTAGAGTTTGCCGTGGAGGACTGTCGGCCGCGGGGAGAGGACGGGAGGCCAGGATCCGGGTGTGAGAAGAGGCTCCTGTGAAGAGGGGAGGGGCAGTGGGTCAGGCGGGTGTCCGAGCAGCCTGTGTGGCCGAGCTGCTCAGCTCTTAGCTTAAGGCAGTGTTTCCGAAACTTCTCTCATGATGAGAATCACCCGGTGGAGTTGTTAAACTACAGATTCCTGAATCCCAACTAAGAAGAGCTAATCTAGAATTTTTTGGGAACATATAGGTAAAACTGTATAGAGGAAAGCCACGGAGGCATGTGGACTTGGGAGCAGCTCTGGGGTCCCTGAGGCACGGGGGACATGCACAGGTGACCCAGACACTGACCCTGAACTCCAGGCTGGCGTCCAGCTGCGCCCGCTGTCAGCTCCCACCTCCGGGAGGACGGCCTGGACACACAGGCCCAGCAGGAGTTCCCGGCGCAGCCAAGCCTCTGGCCCAATTCACCGTCTGGAACTTTTCCTCTACACCAGTGTTTCCCAAAGTGTGGTACGCGTCCCCCCAGGGGTACGGGAAGAGTTTGGTGGGGGTACGCGTTGCACTGGAGTTTGGTGGGGATATGCACTATAATACCTACAGAGGACGCAGCATGCATGTGCCAGATACTGTTCTTGGCGTCCCCTCAACCACCCACTTTACAGATGGAGAAACGGAAGCCCAGAGCAAAAGACGTCACACTGTGGAAGTGGCAGGCCCGGAGCTAAACCGGGCCCTGGGCCCCCCATTTCACCACGGCACCCCACACGGTCACGATGGGAAGACACATGGACATGCGTGGCGAGGGAGAGGCTGTGAGGGAGGGTCCCGCGTCACAGCGGCGTGAGCGGAGAAGGATCCACGGCCCACGGCATTGCCTGCGACGGGACAGGTTGTCAGTGGTGACCGTGCCACATCTGGATGGAGAGGCCCCCCAAGGATGGCAAGGGGGCCCAGCTGTGGGGGAGAGGCTGGCTCACGCTGATTTCCAGACAGGGTAAGGGGGAGGAGGAGAGGGGGGGGGAGGGGAAGGGAAGGAGAGGGCAAGTGGACGTCAGCTATGCCTCTCCTCCTCACGCTGGCATTTCCCTGTCCTCCCACGATGGCAGACCAAGAGGAAGAGTCTTGGCAGACGGATCCTGTGTCCGCACGGGGTGTGGGCCCACCCCGTGCGGACACAGGCGCCCCTCTGCCTGGTCAAACCTACCCTCTGCTCCCAGGAATGCCCTCGGCCCGCCGTACCTGTGTCCCGGGGCTCAGATCTCCACCGTGGGGTCCGTGAAGCCCTTTTTGCCCTCGTTCACCAGCACGGGCTTCTCGGTCCGTGTGTGCCAGACCAGGATCTGCAGGTGCAGAGATGGGAGATGCCGTGGGACAGGCCCCTGGCCTCTCCCTGCCCCCTCCTGCTCCCACCCGGACCCTCAAGTATCGCCCCCGCCCTCCTGTCCTGCCCTTGTCCCATCAGGATGTTCCCCAATGTTCTTCCTTTCTGCTGACGCTTCCACTCTTGCTATGCATACACACAGGGTGCATTCAAAATAGCAGCGGGGGGACAGAAAGTGCACAACTCCAGAAAAGGAGACGCGATGAATCTGAGGATTCCTCTCTTCCTCTTGCTTCTCATTCTCTCCTGCATTACCTTTTTTTTTTTTTTTTAATATAACGTTTTTATTGATTTTAGAGAGAAACACCAATCAGCATGCACCCTGACCAGGGATTGAGCTGCAACCTGGGCATGCACCCGGACCAGAAATCAAACCGGTGACCTTTCAGGGCACGGGGTGACCGTCAACCCACTGAGCCACACAGCCCAGGGCTCCCTGCATTCCTTAATGGCTGGGTTCATGGTCGAGAGAGGCAAGAGGTGGTTCTGGAGCCTTCAGCTCAGCCAGGTGGCAGCCCAGGCCGGTGCTGGAGAAGCTCAAACTAGGAAGTATGTATGTGTGTGTGTGTGTGTGTGTGTGTGTGTGTGTGTATGCATGCGCCTACACACATGCATTTGTCCATGTGTGTGCACACGTGAACATGTAATTGCAGGGAGGCCGTGAAGCTCACCTCTTTTGAGGTGCGGGAGGGGACTGTGTCCTTGGCTCTGCCTCACTGATTCCCTCCTCCCCCCAATTTCCCTGCCTGACTTCAGTGTGGCTGCTGCATGCGTGACAACCTTCCTTCCGGGCCAGGTGTTTTCAGAAGGCACAGCTCTAGGCTGGCTCTTCTTTGCAAGGCTGTTTCCAGGCCTTTATTCCCACCCCTGACCCCCAGGAAGGGTTTGGCCGGGCGTTGGGACGCCCGCACCCCGGCCGTCCGCTCCCCCAGGCCTCACCTTGGTGCAGTTGGCGGCCTTGGGCTCCAGGTCGCTGAGGGTGACGAGCTCGCGGAGGAGGCTGCTCTCCTGGTAGCCCCCCTTCACGCCGCGCAGCTTGAAGTAGGCCTGGCTCCGCTGCAGGATGAGCCGCAGGTTGACGGCGAACCCGGCCATGTCGATGGCGAAGGGCCGGTGGGGGTCGAACACCGTCTTCCAGCCGACCACCTTCCCGGCCGCATTCACCCGCGGGGCCTCGTACCGGAGGCCCCCGACAAAGGCCACCGGCCACACGGACACCCTCCTGGTGCTGCGCATCTGCAGGGGATGCAGAGTCAGGCCCGGGAGCCACGCCCGTCCCCACGGGAGGTGACCTCAGCCATGCACGCTGGGCTCACGGGCCATCGGAAGCCACATCTGTCCGGGCACAGGCCAGCCTGGCCCCAGACGTGCCCCTGGGGCGGGCACCTGCGGAGGAACCTGGCCTCTCTCACCAGCCGATCCCCCCTCCTCTCCACGCACCTGCTGCCACTTTCTTGTAAAAAAAAACCAAAAAACTCTCTTTCCAATTTAGAGTGGGACTCTCCTCTCGCCTCCCCCAAACTACTGTGACTCACAAACCCCCAGGACATGACACTGGCCCCCAAATCATGCAGGCCAGCTGCTGTGGTCCTGCATCTCCAAGCATCTGCCCCCTTTAACCAGGGGACCCCTGACCACAGCCGCCCCCTCTAACCAGGGGGCCCCTAAGGCCACGGCCACCCCCTCTAACCAGGGGACCCCTGAGGCCATGGCCACCCCCTCTAACCAGGGGATCCCTGACCACAGCCACCCCCTTTAACCAGGGGACCCCTGAGGCCACGGCCACCCCCTTTAACCAGGGGGCCCCTGAGGCCACGGCCACCCCCTTTAACCATAGGACCCCTGAGGCCACGGCCAGCCATCAGTCCCTTATCTGGCCCCTGAAGGCTGCACCGCCTCCAGCCTGGCCCCGCCTGTGACCTCTCTGTGCATCCCTACCCAAAGGGTCACCTGAGGAGCACCCTCATTTCTCTCCCCGCCCCTGCGTCCTCCAGGTCCGCCCCTGCGTCCTCCAGGTCCGCCCCCGTGCTCTCCAGCCCCGCCCCGCGCCTTCCAGCCCCGCCCCTGCATCTTCCAGCCACGCCCCACACCCTCCAGCCAGGGCCCCACGCCCTCCAGCCCGCTCCCGTGCCCTCCAACCACGCCCCTGCGTCATCCAGCCCCGCCCTCACGTCCTTAGCCCCGCCCCCGATCCCTCAAGCCCCGCGTCCTCCCAGTCCCGCCCTCGCCCTCCCCTCCCTCCCCCCCCCCCGCACGGTGGCCCCCACCTCCTCGAAGAGCTCCAGGCTGTAGGTGTTGTCGTCGTCCGCGAAGTACACCACGCCGGGCTGGCTGGCGTTGCGCGGGAAGGTCTCCCGCAGCCAGCGCAGGGCCAGGTTGCGCTGCATGGTGCCGCGCGGGATGCGCGGGTCGCGGGCGTCGCCGCGCAGCTTGTAGTTGCGGGGCGTCTCCACGTGCAGGTGCGTGTAGTTGAGGCCGGAGTCGCGCAGCAGGCGCGTGGCCAGCGGCGTGCGGCGCGGCGCGTCCTCCACCAGCAGCCAGTGCAGGTTGGGCACGTGCAGCAGCGTGTTGGCCAGGCGCGTGAGCTCGGCCTTCTGCACCGGGCGGCTGTAGGTGGGCGTCACCACGTGGATGGTGGGCAGCGTGTCGGACCAGGGCGGCGGCCGCGTGTACACGTACTCGGTGCGCACCACCTCCACGATGTCGCGGTCGGACATGCAGTATTCTCTGGGGTCCGCACCGGGCGGGGCGGAGCGCCGGGGGTCACCGCGATCATCTGCGGGGATGAGGATGGGGGGTTCAGGGGGAGAGATAGGCAGTGTAGGGGACAGAGCAGGCCCTGGCCTCGGGCATGGGCAGGAGGCACCCCTCTGCCTGGTCAAACCTACCCTCTGCTCCCAGGAATGCCATCAGACCCCTGCCTGGCACTGCCTGGGTCTCCCCCACTTTCCTAGTCCTGACTCCCCACCCAGCAGAGGGAACCTGGGCTCCCTGTGGCTATGTGGGTGCAGCCGGTCTGGCCGGGTTGGGGGCTCACCCTTGTGCGCGGTGAGCAGGGGGGCGATGGTGCTCTGGTGCCACACGGTGACCAGCAGCGTCCAGGGCAGCACGATGAGGATGATGGCAAGGATGTCCCTTCTCTTCGGCATCTCCAAGGCTGGCTGGGCCCACAGCTCCTCATTACCTGGGCGGCGGCAACAAGGTCCGGAGAGGAGGATGGCGGTGCCAAGGATGAGCACAGGGGAGAAGAGAACAGGAATGGGCCGGGCAGGCCAGGGACGGGGACAGCAGAGAAGCCGGTGCTGGCTAGCGGGTCTTACCAGCGCTCACAACCCACCCATTGCGGAAGCAGGTTTGCGGAGTCCAGCGCGGCTGGAGTGTCAGAAGGGGTGGTGGCGGCTCAGGGCGCAGTCAGGAACCCTGTCAGGCGCATCCCTGCAAGAGAGAGCAGAAGAGGATGGCCAGAGACCTGGGCAGGGGGTGGGGCGGCCTCCGGGAGGGCCAGGCCAGGCTCTGGCTTGTCACGTGGAGCCTGGACTGCCTTCTCCCAGGTGCTCGGCGGGGAGGCAGAGGGTGAGGGCACAGACGTCAGACACTCCTGCCTTGGTTTTAAAACACTGAACCCTGCCACCGACAAGCTGTGGTTCCTTCGCCAAGGTACGGCAACGGTCCGTGCCACAGTTTTCTCATCTGTGAAATGGGTGGGTACCATCGGTACGACTTTACAAGGTGGTTCTGAGAGCAAAGCAAGTCGGCGCCCCTGACGTCCTGAGGATGGCGCTGGCGTGTATATACTGAGTCTACGGTGGTACTGGCCACCTGTTTGGGCCCGGGTGGTTTCTTGAGAGGCTGGATAAAGGGGGGCAGGCCTGGGGTGTAATGAAAGGGGGTGACCTTACACCACACCCCTAGCCCCGGTCCCCAACTCCAAGACCAGTGACGGGGCTGCACATGGGCCGATGGAGGTCTCCGTGTGGCTGGCTGAGCTCGGGCCGTTTGGTGGATGGCAAGGGGGCTTCTAAAAGGCTGGCTGGGAGGTTGCCTCTGGGTCCTCCCTGTCTCCAGTGGAGCTTTGTCAAATGCCCTTTATCCCAGGGAGGGTCCCAGGTGCTGGGTGGAGAGGGCCAGGCACAGCGAGCTGTGTGCCATTCGGCGTGCACGCCCAGCTTATGTGGCGCTCACGTGGCCGCCCTCACGCGTCCTCTGGGCAGCCTCTTTATTTTTTTAATATATTTAATTGATTTTTTACAGAGAGGAAGGGAGAGGGATAGAGAGCTAGAAACATCAATGAGAGAGAAACACCGACCAGTTGCCTCCTGCACACACCCCGACCGGAGATGTGGCCGCAACCAAGGTACATGCCCCTGACCGGAATCGAACCTGGGACCCTTCAGTCTGCAGACATGCTCTATCCACTGAGCCACACCGGTTTGGGCAGCTTCTTTATCCCACGCCTCTGCCTCTGGCACTCCCTTAACCTCCCGCTAGTCTGGGCAGTGGTTCTCAACCTTTCTAATGCCCTGACCCTTTAATGCAGTTCCTCGCGGCCCACAGGTTGAGAACCGCTGCTAAGACCACCGGAAAACACAGATAATTTACATTACGATTCATTAACAGTAGCAAAATTATAGTTATGAAGTAGCAACGAAAATAATGTTATGGTTGGGGAGGGTCACCACAACATGAGGAGCTGTATGAAAGGGTCGAGGCATTAGTAAAGTTGAGAACCACTGATGGGGTGTCCGAAGGTGACGCTCAGTGGTTCGTGTTCAGGATTACAACCCCGGATGCCATGCGTTGTCCTTACCGCTACTTCACATGGCTTGCCCAAGGCCACAGCCAGGACGGGGTGCAGCCAGACGTAAACCCAGGCCCTTTGGTCTCCTGCAATCAGGGGCATTGGGGAGGCAGCTTCCAGGCCCCAGAGCCCCCAAACCTGTTCAGGCATAGATGGGGTGAGTCCTGGCACAGAGCAACCCCCCTCCCCTAGGAGAGCCGGCCCGGCTGCTGTCCCAGCACCTTCCAGAAGTTGGGAGAGGGGCATGGGGAAGGCAAAGATGCAGGGGGCTGTGGAGAGACAGTTCTGTCCCATTTTGTCTTTCTGGTCAAGACATCTACGAAAGGAAAGGGGGGGGGGGTGAGGGAGAAAAACTCTAAAAATAAACTTAGCAATAAACCCAGTTGTGCATTAATTACCCTGGAAGCCATTACGGCCTGAAAAATCCCATAACTTTAATGGAGGCGATTATAAGCATCGTAGCAGAATCGCGGAGCTAATTACCAGGTGGTTATTCAGCAGAACAGCCAGAGCCCTGGTCGGTTGGTCTCAGAGAAAGCCAGCTGGCCGGCAGGGCTGAGTTTGTGGGAGATGGGGCCTGGGACCAGAGCCTGGTGTTGGTGGTGGTAGTGTGGGGGGTAGGTCCTGGGGGAGCCTAGGGCTGTGGGGGCTCATGGAGGTGTGACCTGGGGGGAGCTGGAGACGGGGGAGGGGCAGGGGGACTGTGGGAGGGCTGGGGAGAGGGGGGAGGCTGCACCTACCCAGACCTCGGCTCTGAGATGAGGCTGTGAGGATGTCTAGGTCCCCACAGCCTCCTTCTCCCCGGGCCTGGAGGAAGGCAGCAGCTCGCCTGTGGCCGCAGGCTCAGCCCTGCAGGCTGCACCCACATAGACCTGGGCCTTTTGCACATGTATTCAGGCACATATGTGTGTGTGTGTGTGTGTGTGTGTGTGTGTGTGTGTGAGAGAGAGAGAGAGAGAGAGAGAGAGAGAGAGAGAGAGAGAGGGAGGGGGAGGGAGAGAAGGTCAGCTACAAGCAGGCTCCGAAACCATCCAGACACGTGTCTCTGCCATGATAGAGCCGTGGTGAGATGGTGGAATGAGTCCGCTATACAGCGAAGAGTCTCTCCAAACTTGAGTGATGCTTGCTTCAGCTTACGCAGCCTTTAGAGAGGCAGGAGTTTCCTGCACAACACGAGGTCATTTTCCCTGGAATCCTCCCCACTCCGTGCTGGCCGCTCTCAGCACTCCGGAGGGTGTTGGATCTGGGGGAGGGGTTGGGGGGGAATTCTGGGCGTTCCTGGCCTTACCCCCCTCCTCCCAATGCGCCCTATGACCTCTTTGTTGATTTCATTGAAGTGACCCAGGACCTGAAGGACAGTTGGTGTGCCATCTGCATGCGCTATCCTTGAGCATTTTTACGACATTTCCCACCTATTTACGAGAATCCTTTTTCCAGACTCGCTTTATGGAGCCTTTTGAGAACACTCAGCTTCGTTTTCACAGATACAGCGTATGTCTCTCTTTCCAGCCCATGTTTCGTGGTTTCATACTATTCCGTGGTGAGGACCCCAAGCCTGGCCTTTAAAAACAGGCTGGGAATTAACCTTAGGGACCCTCAGACTCCATCCAGGCCAGCCTGTGACTCAGCAGGTGTGAGCAGGGGCGGCCCCTAGAGGCGAGAGGCAGCATGACAGGAGCCCGGACACCTGCTGGAGGCCTTGGCAGATGAAATGGACCGGGTTTGTGAGCTGCAAAGGTCAAGGGGTCTGGGGAGCCTGGTTAGGGGAGCTTCCGCTGTGCGGGTGAAGGAGGAATGCTGGTCTCCCTCCTCTGAGAGCCCGCATCCGGGGGTGGACGGGACAGACACTGAAGCCTCCTCACGCAGGTGCAAGCCAGGCCCGTGGCTCCACTGATCAGCCCAGGAGGGGTGAAGGTGGGGAGGGGGCTGGGCCAGGCACCAGCCTTCTGGGCATGGGGTCAGGGAGGTGGCAACAGGCGGCAGAAGGAGGGGACGTCTTAAAAGGAGATGTGGGACGGAGTCAAGGCCCCAACTCCAGCTGCAGACAGTTCCTGGGCGAAGGGAGGCCGGGGTTTGTCCCAGAGACCTGCAGGGACTCCTCCCTGGATCAAGGGATTAGTATTGATTCTGCTGCCTCCGCCCAGGAAAAGCCCCGTGCCAGAGCTAATCAGCTCCCGGGCCAGTCAATCCATACTTCATTAACCCAGCCCTGTCCTCCTGCGACCCGGCCGCCGTCTCTGCCCCCGAGCCTGGCCCTGGTTCCAGCCACGAGCTCCTGCTGGGCCTGCAGGGCACGGGCTTGGCCTCTCTCTGCACCCCCAAACCCCCAGCCTCCTGCTCACTTCCTCCTCCCCCACCCCATCCTCAGAGGGGAAGGGAGGGCAGGGGACAGGGATCCAGCCGCTCATTCCACTCCAAGAGGTGAAGTGAGGTCTGCGCGGGATGCTTAGTCGGAATGGCGAGCCTTCTCCGTGACATCCCTGTGCTGGGCTAGCAGGATTCATTGTCTGCACGCCTCCCAGTCCAAGTAAGGGGGTCCCCTTTCACATTTGAGGAAACCGAGGCTTAGCAGGGCTGTGTGACCAGCTGCAGGGCTGGAGGCCATCTCCCCCAGGGTCGCTCAGGCTCGGCCTCTGGACTCTGAGTTGGTGCAACCCCACCTCATGCTGCCCTCCTCCCCCCTGCAGAACCAGCAGGTGGGCTTCCGGGCCACCCACTGGGTGTGTGTGCTCTGCCAGCTGGTGCCAGGCAGAGGGCTCCAGGGAGGGACTCCCACCTGCTCTCAGGGTGCAGCACTGATGGGGGGGGACGCGGGGAGGCCAGGCCCTGGTGAGGTCCGCAGCCTGCCTCGGGGTCACACAGGCTGCAAACCGCTGGCTGGGCTGCCGGGGAGACCCTGCTTTCACGCTTGCGCAGGCTCCAGGCCCGAGGCCGTGCTCCTGCTGGCTGTGGGCTGCCCTCGGCTCCCAGGCTGCGTGCCGAGCCTTCCACACGGGTTTCTCAAGCGGGCACTGAATTCATCAAGCAGCACGGAGGGAACGCGGGGCCCGTCTGCTAACAGGTGGGCCCTGCACACGCAATGTCACTGTGTGAGGGCGGGAGGTTAGAGCCTGGGCCCAGGTGCCGTCCACCCTGAAGGTGGGGACAGCTGGAGCCAGGGGCCGTGGGGGCACCTTAGAGTAAGGTGACCAGATCGTCCCACTTTTGACGGGACAGTCCCGATCTTTAACAATTTGTCCCGAGTCCCACAGTGTTTTTAAAAAGTCCCAATTCTCGCCAAAACCGGTTTGGCTCAGTGGATAGAGCATCGGCCTGCGGACTGAAGGGTCCCGGGTTCGATTCTGGTCAAGG